TGATGCATTATTCTTTTATTCTTGTTATATATTGCCAATATTAAAAAAATATATCTCCTTGTTGTATATTGCTAGATTCCATTTGGTGGTGTTTTGTAAGGATTGTTGTGTCTATTCTCATGAGAGAATTTAGTTGATATTTGTTCTTGTAATATTTGTCCAGGTTTGGTGTCAGGGTTATGTAGGCCTCATAAAATAAGTTGGGAAATATTCTTTACCATTTTCTCAAAGAGTTTGTGTAAAAGGGTATAAACTTCTTCCTTAAATGTTTGATAGAATTTCAGCTGGGCCTATAGTTTTGAGAGATTTTTAAATTAAATGTTCAATTTTTAAACTTTTAAACTTTACCTTTTATCTTGTGTTGGTTTTGATATATTTTGTTTTTTCAAGGAATTTGTGTATTTCATCTAAATTGTCAAATTGGCATAAAGTCATTTGTAATTTTTTTATTATGCTTTTAATCTGTAGGATCTATAACATCCTCTCTTTCATCCTTGGCATTTCTAATTTATATTTTCTTTTTTCCCCATCCTTTGAAATTCAGTGAGACTTGTTTTATAAGCCAGCGTACACTCCGAGAGCAGTGACTGTTGCATATTCACTTGAAAAGAATGAGGATTCTGCTTTTGTCAGGGGAAGTGTTCTGTAAATGTCAAATGGATTGACAGAATTATCAAATCTTCCGTATCCTTGCTCACTTTATACTTTCCCTGGCTTCAGCTCTGGAATCAGCCATTCCTCCAAGGACTCTTTTTAGTGTAGAATAGCATTTAGAAACTAAGATCTGGGGCTTTTGTTATGAGGGTGTCATTGCTTCTAGGCTCTTTCAAGAAACAGAGGACATTATTGCACACACACACACATTTATAATAATTTCTAGAACTATCTGTATAAAAATTACTTATTTATCATGAGTTATATTTCCAATTCCAACAACATTCCTGTATTCTTTTCAGACACTGAGAAACTTGGCTCCTAGTAGCCTCAATATATTTAATTACTAGTGGCCTGGTACACGGGTCCGTGCACATTGAAAGGGAAATAATTAGAATATTTTAACATTGCTATTTGCCTTTTCTCCCTCAGTGCCTGGGAGCTGGGTGACGTGTTCCCCCCCATGGCTATCTGCAAGGCGATCAGGCCCCGCTCGAACCCACCTTGGCCTGGCGCTGCCCACTCACCTGCTCCACCATGCCGCCGGGGGCTCACTCTCATAGGGGCCCTTTGGGACCAGCAGCACCTCCACTGTTGCTGCTTGCTGCCAAAACTGCATTGCTGAAGCCTGCCATGTTCCGCGCCGCCCCCTGATGGTCAGAGGATGTCATAGCAAGCTGTTGGGACTTCTGATCAAACCACCACCCGAGGGGCCAATTTACATATTAGGCTTTTATTATACTGTATAGGATTTGCTCAACCAGTTCACTTATTTGCTCAATGTAGCCATTTCCCACCCACTCTTCTCCAACACCTCCCTTAGCTCCTCTGCACCCTCCTTCCACTGCAGTTTTCTCTGTCACCAAAGCCTTTACATATCCCTCCCACTTTCTCCCACATCCTCAGCCATCAGGGCATCCCACGATTGTCTCTGGTGTCCCTCTTCCTCTGCCATGGCCCTTCTGGAACCCTGGGGCTTCCTGCTGCTATATCTGTGCAGCATGCTCCCTCACAGCCCCTCCTCCTCCACTGCCAGAATTTCTGTGCCAGGAGGGAAAGGAAAAAGATAGGAAGAGAAAAAAGAAAACATTTTTAAGGTCTTTGTTATCTTACCATCCATTTACTCTGTCTCTCTGGGGCTCCTCATTCTTCCCAGCAGACCTGGCCTTTCTTCTGGGATAATTTCCCGTCGGCCTGAAGAACATCTTTCAGGATTTCTTGTGACACAGATCTGCTGATGACAAGTCTCCAAGCTTTTTCTATCTGAAATGTTTTGATTTCAGTCTTGAAGGATAGAATTCTAATTTGACTGTTCTTTCACTTGCAATAATTTAAAGGTGTGTTTCCATTGTCTTCTGGCCTTCATTGTTTTTCATGACATATGTGATGAGTCTCTGTTTTCTTCCGGCTGCTTTTAGATTTTTCTGTATCTTTGGTTTCAGCATTTTGACTATATTGTGCATAAGTTGGCTTTTCTTTGCACCTGTCCTGCAATCCTATTAACTTCTTGTCTGTGGGCTAGTAATGCTTTAGGTGTTCTGAGACCCAATTTCAGTGTGTGTAGAAAGAGTTGCCCACATCAATAAGCAATTTTCAGATACCAGCAGAGTGCCCAAGAATTTAACCCAATTCTGAACTGTCCGCACAGAGATAGCATCAGATTCCATAGGTTCTGGGCTCAGACCTACAGGACTGCACAGCCACCCACCTCCTCTTCAGATGCCAGTCACAGGTTGTCACCTGTACTTCTGACTGACTGGCTATAAATCAGAGGTTCCCACAAACCTCTCTCCTTGGGTTCTATTAACTTGCTAGAGTGAGTCACAGAAGGAAGAAAAACATTTTACTTATGAGATTATTATAGAAGGATATATAAAAGGATATCTATTATAAAAGGATATCACTAAGGAACAGCCAGATGGAAGAGATGAACAAGGCAAGGTAGTGGGAAAGGGCATGGAGTTTCCACTCTTCTCCAGGTGCACCACTCTTTCCAAACCTCCAACCTGGAAGCTCCCCAAACCCATCCTCCTGGACATTTATGGAGGCTTCATTATATAGGCAAGATTGATTAAATCACCGATTATTGGCAATTGATTCACCCTCCAGCCCCTTTCCCCTCCCCAGCAGTTGGGATGAAAGTAGGAATGAAAGTTCCAACCTCTAATCACATGAGTGGCTCTCCTGGCAACCAGCCCCCATCCTTCTGTGCTTCCCAAAAGTTAACTCATTCAGGTAACAAAAGACACCTTTATAATTCTCAACACTTAGGAAATTCCAAGGGCCTGGGGAATTGTGAGTCAGGAACTGTGGACTAAGACTACCAGTATATGAGAAATATATTTTGGTTATCTGAATGGCCAAATATACATTTCTTATAAATCATGGCATTGCAATGTCATTCAATAATTTTTTAAAATTAGCAGCCATTCTCTTATAATGATATCAAAATTTAGAAAAGTTTAGTAACTTGCCCCAAATCAATAACTATTCAACGATAAAACAGATTCAAACACAGAATACTTGATGCCCAATTTCACAGTATTAACCATTATGCTATGCTTTTTTTTTATTGAAACAAATGTAGGTTTATTAATACTAGAATAAAATATTCCCATTTAGAAATCTTCAAAGATATACAAAAGCAGACAGAACATTAACTAAACTGCAGACTTCACACAAATTTTCTCAGATTTCCCCTAGTGTGCCTGTCCTGTTTCCAGATCCCACTGAGGATACGCTTCACACTTAGTCATATCTCCTTAGTCTCTTCGGATCCTGTTTTTCAGTCTTGCCTGTTTTTTATGACCTTTGTGGTTTAGAGGAGCACTGGCCAGGTATTTGGTAGAATTCCCTTAAATCTGTGTTGTTCACAGTAAGACTGGGGTGATTGTTTTTTTAAGGAGAAAACCACAGAGGTGAAATACCTTCTCATGGCATCATATTAGGGGTACATGTTCTTAGCATGACTTATTTCTGATGTTAACCCTGACACCTGGCTAAGATAGTCTTTTCCAGGTTTCTCCACTGAACAGTTACTTTCACCTGGTCTAAATCAACTCTTTGGAAGTGAGCCACAGTACAGCACATACTCACCGTAGGGGACTAAGTGCCACCTGGACTGAACAGCATCCACATAAGAAATCTGGAGAGACTCCCGATGACTTTAAAGGTGGAGAGGCACTGATCTAAGTCAACTTTCATTTTATTCCTCTTGGTCTAGAAATAAAGTGGAAAGATTTTCCACCCCAATAAAAGGAGAGCTACAACAGGGGAAATTTTCCCTTTTCTCTCTGCTGGCAAATGGAGCCTTCCTTCCCTTGTCTGGGCTGCTGGTGTGAATAAAATACCTTGCAGTGGCAGCCAATGACTTGCGATCACGAGGCAATAAGCCAGGAACCAAAAACCAATGTTTAGGATGGCAGAGCAGAAGCTGTCTCCAGACTTCTTGTTAGACAATTAAACTTCTTCATTGCTTAAATAACTCTTCACTGGTGTTCTTCAAGTTAAAAGCATTACTGATAAAGATTCAGATGTCTCACCCTTCTTTTTTTTTTTTTTAATATATTTTTTATTTGTTTTTTTACAGAGAGGGAGAGAAATAGAGAGCTAGAAACATCGACCAGCTGCCTCCTGCACACTCCCTACCGGGGATGTGCCTGCAACCAATGTACATGCCCTTGACTGGAATTGAACCTGGGACTTTCCAGTCTGCAGGCCGACGCTCTATCACTGAGCCAAACCGGTTTAGGCTCATCCATCTTTTTAAAAGTGTATCCTTTACAGGTAGGACATGGAGGTACTTAATTAGTTTTTGAGTAAGTGATGGACTGAAGGAACTGAATAACAGAATAATGTAACTAATGCCAGCATATTTGCAATTAGATTCTGTACTTCTATTTCTTTTCTCAAATACAATAAAGTTGTATACATCCTGCCACTAGAGAAAAATTAGTATGAACATTTGAATGATGATGAAATTTTCTGATGTATGCTTATCAAATTGAGGTTTAATGAATGAATAGTTGATTAAATTTTTAGGACTGATTTATTTATTAACCAAAATATCTTGAATGTGGTTGAGGCAAACAATGGAATACCTACTATAAAGCTATGAGAATGAAAAAACTACAGTTGGCCCTTGAATACAGGGAGTGAACAGAGTGGATAGGACACCGACGTCTGTGCAGTCAAAAATCCATGTATAACTTTTGACTTTTCCAAAACTTCATTAATAGCCTCCTTTGGGTGGAAGCCTTACCAATAACATAAAGAGTTGATTAAAACATATTTTGCAAGTTATATGTATTATGTACTATCTTCTTACAATAAAGAAAAAAGAAAAATCACATGGAGAATACATTTACATTAATTATTGAAAAAGATCCACGTATAAATGGACTTGCACAGTTCAAACCCATTGTTCCAGGTCAACTGGATAACGTCACTCGACAGTGCGGATTATTCACAGACACAATGCTGAGTAATAGATGCCGGACAGGAATACATGCTGCATGATTCCATCGGTAAAAAGTTAACAAATAAGCAAAACTATGCTGTTCAAAGTCAGCACAGTGCTGGCCCGTGGGTGTTTCTATGGAAGGGCTCTTGGGCTGGTGGTGGTTGTTTCTTTCTCGATCTGGGTGTTGGCTATGTAAGTGTGTTCAGTTTGTGGAAATTCTGAGGTTTGTACAGTTATGACTTGTGCATTTTCTGTATGTATGTCATACTTTGATTAAAAATTTATCTGAAGTTTCTAGGTGGAACAGAACTAACCACACTGAAACTACAAAAACTCACAATTAGTAACAGGAACAAGAAAAATAAGCATCTAGGCTAGACTGATGATTAAAAGTCATATTCCATTATATTCCTAATGTATTAAATTGTGATGAAAAATAATATAAAGTCAAATTATTGCCAACTGTTAAAGTTTTGTGGGTTTTTTTTTTTTTTTTTAATTCTAGGGTACACATAGTAAAAAAAGGAAACTATGCACACAAAAGAACAGAACATCAGCTCAGGGGCTTTTTTCTGAACAAATGACCCCTGAGTCTTTCCCACAGCATGCTTCTTAGCAAGGCTCTAAGTCTAGCCTGTCACACAAGATACTAAGTGAAGAGTCTCTTGCATCTGTTACTTTTAATATCTAATATTTTCACTTCTGGGTAAGAGAAAAAGCATTTTGGTCCATTAGTTCACCTACTCGCTCCTGGAGGACACTGACAAACTCTGCTATGACGAAGACATGGGTGTCATCAATGTCTTGAATGATGAACTTCTTCCCTAGGGCATTTGACTCGTCCAAGTACAGCAGGAACTGCTTCATGGCAGGGTCACTGTGGAGGGAAACTCATACTGGTGAGAAACCTTACTGTCAATTTACACCAGAACCTGAGTGGTTAGAATTTTGAGCATGTAGAATTTTTAGGTTAAGTTAAAAATCCTAAACTCTCACTCCCATGCTGCCTTAAGTGGTAATGATTTATAGATGTAGCTTCATTTTAGAGCTGTTAGTATAAGTTTAAGAGAAAGAGGCCAATAATGTTTTGAAGAAGTAATGTTCAAGGCTTTGTAGTTAATAGGGCCTAGAATCACAGCCTCCTTGACTGACTTTAAAAATGAATTTCCTTACTTGTCCACAACCATTACATTTAAAAAGCCAATAGCCTTTCACTACCTTTCCAGTGACACATTAATTTACAAAGCCAGTTAAATCGTCACTTTATAAAGCAGGGTGCACAGTACAGTCAGATCTGGATTCAATTGTGTGACCTTAAAATGTACTGAATCTCCCAAAGCCTCAAAGAAAACCTACATAAGAGAATTGTTACGGAAATTATAGGAGAAAAATGCCAAGGATAGTATTTGATCTGCAGTTGGTACTCAAGTATTTCCCCCTTCCTTAAAATACTGAAGCCTGTAAGTCTGAAATATCATGTAAACAGTACCATTATCTATATTATGACTCATATTAGGGGCATAGAGATACAGGTAACAGTATTTCCAGACAATGGAAGTGTTCACAGAGCGAGATTCCCAGATGAGACAGAATTACTGGTGGGGCAAGCAAACAAGTGGAGACTGAGCAGTTCAGGTCTCCAGCTGCATGATAACTAAGCCCCGTAAGCTGGCTTTGCGGGGCTGACAGGTGCTGGGCATGAGGGCCTCTGCCCATTTAGGTTTCTCCTTCCTCCTTTGAAGTGTATGACTAGGTTAAGCAACCTTCAGCTGGCTCGCTTAGCTTTCCCCCTGCATGTTTGGAAGACCATAGCTTGTGAGGTGAAGACTTTGCAGACCCTGAAATTCTGTGGCAGGCAGTTAGACAGACAGGAGCAGAGCAAGGATGGTCACTCCCAGGATAGCCCTTCCTCCCCTAGCATATTGCCGGTCATTCAGCTTAGACTCCCTGGCCTTTCAGATCGCTGGCCATGCCGCTCTGGGACCCCTGGCCTGTTGCTGGTCACGTGGTAGACCCACAAGTATGCTGCCTCCCACCAAAACTGGTGGAAATAATGCCAAACAGATCAGTTCAACAGAAACATGGAAATCTGGCACCAGGAAGAAACTTAGCAACAAAATCTGTTCCATTTTTTATCTAAATAAGAAAACTGAAGTCGAGCAAGGTGAAAAACTTGATCCATTCAGATCTTAAAACAAAAAAGAAATTTAAAATGCTCATTAAGTATCAAAGCTACTAACCATTCTATAAGCACTCCTTTCAAGACGTTGACCATCTTTTCCTCAGTCAGAAGCAGCAGATGCCCTTAAAAATGCGAATAAAAGGAAGACGGTGACATACAATTCAAAAGCATCAACATTAATACACTTTGGAAATTTACCTCTGAAATGGGGCAGAATATGAATAAACATTTAAGTCTGTGAAGACAGAGAGCTAACATTAAGAAAACATACAGATATTCTGACCTTTCAATAAAATTACAAGTCTACTGGAATATTAATGTATAAACCTTACTGGCAAACAAATTTTACCAGTCAATCCTAATGAAAGCAAGCGGCTTACCTACACCAGTGTGTCCAAACCCATTTTAAAAACATTAGTTGAGCCCTAGTTGATTTGACTCAGTGCATAGAGCGCGGGTCTGCGGACTGAAAGGTCCCGGGTTTGACAAGGGTCCCGGCTCCAACGCCAGTAGGGAGCGTGTAGGAGGCAGCCAATCAATAATTCTCTCTCATCACTCATGTTTGTCTCTCTCTCCCTCTCCCTGCCTCTCTGAAATCAATAAAAAATATATTTTTAAGTAATAAAACATTAGTTGAAAGATTTCTCTTCCCACCAGGAGTATGATTTAAAAAATAAAAAAGATTCTGGGAGGCAGAAACCACAGGATGGCAGCTCCGAAAGAGGCCTTGAGAATTATATATTGAGTCCAATCACCTCGTTTTACAGCTGAGCCAGAGCCTTTGAGGCGAGTAAGCAGTAGCTCCCCGTCCTCTCCTCAAAGGGTACAAGGTCTTCAGACTTGTGTTCATTTACAAAATAAATGACATTCCTAAGGATCTAAACTAAAGGGGAAAAACCCAGCCGTGCACGCGGTCCTAACCCTTCAACTCCCGCCCTGGTCCCCGGCCATGCCTCCCGGGGGAAAGCCACGGTTCAGTCCCTGCGGGCCAGCCGCGCGGCCCGTTAGATGGGGCCCGAGGGGGTGCGGGACGCCGCCCTGCACCCCCGCAGCTGGAGGACAGGCTTCGGGGCGCCTTCACCGCTCCTCTCTTCCCCCGGGACCCCCACATCTTCCCGCACCTCACTTTCCCCTCTCGTCCTGGGAGCAGACGCCACGCACCGCCGCCCACAGACCCAGCAGCTCTCCGGCGTCGCCTACAGAGCACGCCACGCATTGCGTCATTGCGTCGGCGACGCCCCGGAGGGCGGGAGGCGGGGCCGGGGGCGGGGCGAGGAGCGCGGGGGCGGGGTCACGTGCCGCCCGCCTCCAGGTGGAGGCGCGGGCTGGCGGCCGGGAGGAAGGCGGCGGCCGCTGACCCGGCCCGGAGAGCTGCTGCGGGCGGGCCCCGCCGGGGCCGGCAGGTGGGAAGGGGAGCGGGCTTGCGGGGGCGGCGAGGGCGTCCGTGCGGCGGGCAGAGCGGAGAGCGGGGCCGGGGGCGGCGGGCGGCTGTGGCGCGGCGGGGCGCCCCCGCGTGGCCTGGCGGGCCTCGCCTGACCCGCTGACCCTCTGCCGGGCGCGAGGGCCGCCCCTGAAGCCCTAAACGCCCTCGTTCCCGGCGGCGCCGTCCTCTGGTTCTCCCCCAAGACCCGGAGGGGCCGGGGGTGCTGGGGGGCAGTGACGGAATGCTGGTCGGGAGGACAGATCGGGCCTTCCAGACCCGGACTCCAGCGCTGACCCCGAGGGCCAATAGGTTGAAGGCTGATAGGTCTCTGAACCCAGTAACGGTCATGTTAACCCCAGAGACCCCGGAAGGCTCCAAAGTCACCCCTTCCCCAAATTCTGGTCTGTGTTCTAACAGCGCTGTCCGTCTGTCTGTCTGTGCTTTTACCAGCGGAGGTACAGGGTCATGCTTTCTGTTCCTGAGGTTGCATTGTACCTAATGAGCTCATTCATGCTGCTTCCTCACTTCGTGTGTTTCTAGGATTTACACACCCAGCCCCCACTTATTTCCCTTTTCCTATTCCTCAAATCTGTTCCTTCCCGTTGGCTTCCATTCCTGTTGTGGGCAGCTGCGCCCTCTTTAATCTGCCTCTAAATAGAGTTCTTCCCAAGTTTCTTTCTTTTCTTTTTTTTTCTTCTTCTTTTTTTTCTTTTTTGGTCCTTGCATGCGTTCTTCTCTTTGGCCATCTCAGCAGTCCATCACGTTGATCCTCCCTCCACCCTGTGCTCCAGGTGCCATCCTGATGCACATTAACGACCTGTGAGTTCTTACGTGTCTCCCTCAAGCCGCACTGTTGTAGGTGGTGGAACAGCGCTGGGTGACAGAATTAGGACAGAGGGTCCTCGTGGAAGGGAAAAGTGTTAGTCTTTAGAAATCCCAAGTCAAAGGATGGGCGAAAAATGAAACATTAGTTTGGAGGGTGGTAGCCAAATGTTTAAGAAAAATAAATTCAGGATCCAGTTCAATTTATAGGTGAAAAATAAAACTTTGAAGACAGCTAATTAAATTAGAGTCTAATATTCACAACTGTGTATTATAGTCTATTGAATCGCAATAGACCCCCCCCCCCAGTGGGGGTCATGCAGGAGGCAGCCAATCAATGATACTCTCTCATGATTGATGTTTCTATCTCTCTTCCTCTCCCTTCCTCTCTGAAATCAATAAACAAACAAAAAGTCAGGGAACCTGACAGGGATCAAAGAAGATCCCTCATGACCTATGTCAGTCAGCTGGGAGGCCTGACAGACCAAGCGCACCTCAGGCCCTGAGGGAAAGCGAAGATTAGAAACTGCTGGGTGTCCCTCAGTTTTGAAAGAGAATGAGTTTAGGCTCTGATTTATCCAGCAAAAGGTTTTGTTTAGATCCTCAGAAAGCAATTCCAGTCGAAAGCCAAAGCTATAAAGGAGCCATTCATTTCTTCCCTGACTTTTAGTTACCTCACTTCTGATCGATAGCCTAGAGCACATGTGTCAAACACAAGGCCCGAGGGCCAAATCCGTCCCGCCAGGCCTTGCAATGTGGCCCGCACCGCGCTGTCATCACTGCACTCCGCTGCGTTTCCATCACAATGACAGTTTATGACTGTTCAGTAAACCATTCGGCCTGCGATTTAGGCTGGATTTTAGATTTTGGCCCCTTCTCTGATTGAGTTTGACACCCCTAGCCTAGAGTCTCTGAATCCTCAACCCTTCGCTCCATCTTGAGGATTTCAAAAAAGCCTGAATTTAACTCCAGACACAAAGGAAGGAGTGAAAGGGAAGAACATCCTTCCAGTCGAAGGGCAATGTTCTCTCCCTCTCCATTGGCACTAGTAACCGGATTGGGAACAGCGAGGGGAAGGGCCTTGACCTGCAGTTGGTGGATTGCCTAGTGCAGTGGCTGGCAAACTGTGGTTCTCAAGACACATGCAGCTCTTTGATCCCTTGACTTTAGCAAAGGCCAGCTTAGGAGTACCTTAATTAAGTTAATAACAATGTACCTACCTATCAATATATAGTTTCAGTTTAAAAAATTTGGCTCTCAGAAGAAATTTCAATCATTGTACTGTTGGTATTTGGCTCTGTTGACTAATGAGTTTGCCGAACACTGGCCTAGTGCCAACTTCCATGGTCCATGATCAATAAATCCTGTCACAAGAGTTTTCCAGCGACTTTTAAATGCTTGTCCTGTGCCCATACAGTGTGGCAATCGGCAGGGAGGGAAGAGAACAGTTAGTCATGTCCTTCAAGGCCAGGTGGCAAGGACAATAAACAGGCTTACCAGTGATGAAACAATCCAAGTCACAGTAAGACAAATTGGGTCTTGGCACCAAATATGTTGTAGGCTATGGCAGTGGTCAGCAAACTCATTAGTCAACAGATCCAAATAACAGTAATACAATGATTGACATTTCTTTTGAGAGCCACCTTTTTTAAACTTCTTCTAATACCACTTCTTCAAAATAGACTCGCCCAGGCTGTGGTATTTTGTGGAAGAGCCACACTCAAGAGGCCAAAGAGCCGCATGTGGCTTGAGAGCCGCAGTTTGCCAACCACGGGGCTATGGGAATGGCGCCAGGTGGGGTCAGACCGGACCTGGATTCAGCAACCTTGGTACTTGAGTTCTGGCTAGGAAAGATTTCAGAGCCAAGACCCAAACTATAAGAGAACATTTACTTACAAAACCACAGAGCTAGAAGACATAATTTCTAGAAATGGGCTTAGGAAACAGGTTATACAGGTAAGGAAAGGCCCTTGGAGCTTGGGTGTGAGAAGGTAATGAAAATGCATGGGGTGGGGTGAGGGGGGCGATGGAGGAGGGAGAGGAAGAAAGGTGCAGGCTTGCTCCAGAGTGTGCTGGGTCCTCTGACCTTAGGGTTCTCAGGGTGGAGATGTTGGGGAGGTCCTAGAGGGAGATCTCAGGAGAATACTCAGCAGCTTCCCAGGTGCGTGCTTTCAGGGTCTAGATCTCTCTTGATTGATTGATTGATCAACACCAGGGCATGGGGTCATTGGTCAGTGAAGCTGGTCCTGAGGTCAGCCATGGGGTCACTGGTCTGGTTTTGCTGCTTTCTGGACCTGGAGCTGAAATGCAACTGAGGCCTAGATGCCATCGTTAGGATAGAAAAGTCAGGGGCCCAAACCACAGGAGGAAGAAAGAGTGGCTATTGGAGCTCTACATCACTTAGGGTTATGGGGTTGGAGTGTACATTGTCTTCATAATGCTGGGACACGCAAGTTGAACATTTATACATTTGTGATCTCTGTTTTACTTTGGCCAAGAAAATTTAAAACTGTGCTATAGCCCAGAGTACATAGGACTCCCACAGGAATTACTTCCACTGAAGATGAACTCTCAAAGATTACAAAGTATAAAAGCAATCCATGAAGGATAGCCAGCCTGTCTATTAGAAAGAGTGGTTCAGCAGACTTTAAGTATGGTTAAAGTATAAGGAAGATTTAGAAACCATGCACACCAGTTGGTTTTTTGCTGCATTTATAAACAATACCAAACCCTAGTAGCTTAAACAAGCCTGTGGGTTGAATATGGGGTTTGTAGGGTCAGCTATAGGCTAGTTAGTCTGGGATGGCCTCACATGCCCACCAATTGGTACTGGCTGTCAGGTAGTCCTGGTGGCTGGGCTGGTGGGGATATTGGGCAGCATTGCTCATGCCCTCCAGCAGACTAAACTGGGTATTCAACATGGCGGTGGCCACAGGGTTCCCAAGAGCAGCGGAGACAGAAGCCTCGGTGTGCCAGTGCTTCCCTAGTCTCAGCTTGCATGATGTGTCTATTGTCTGACGGACAAAGTCAGTTGTGAGGCCAGCCCAGCATCAGTATTGGAGGGAGGAGGTGGGCACTACCAACGAACAGGGAAATAGGAAAGGAATAACTTGTGGCCATTTTGTTATAATCTGTATACTTCAAGACAAAAACTGAATAGTGTGGAATAAATAGCAAGCAAGTGTGAAAGTGAGATGATCAGAAATAAGAAAAAGTTATTGAAATACTCTGGATAGATTGCATGTGAGGCTAAATACAGCCCACTAAGTGATTGGTCAGTTGGAAGATTGATTTAGGGAGACAATCTGTAGTGCGTGCTGGAGAGACAGAAAAAGGAAAAAAAATACAGAAGTTTGAGATTAGAATAGGAGGGTAGAGTAGAAAGACTAACATACATCTATTGGAAGTACCAGAGGGAAAGACAGAATGGGGTTCTAAGTGATAGTTATTACAAACATCGTAGCATTTAAGAAAGATACAAATTCTACCACTGAAGGAGCATATCAAATCCTGATACATACAAGCAAACCCATATCCAAACGTAAAGTAGAGAAGTTTAAGAACGTCAGAAGCAAAGAAAAGGTCTTTAAATTGCCAGATGGGATATAGTAATCATGATAATGACAAGCAACATTTATTGAGTGCTCACAACAGGCACTCTTCTGTGTGCTTTACTCGTGTTAACTCATGTGACATTGATAAAATCCTTCAAAACAATCCTGTGATTACTGCCATTTTATAGATGAGGAAAGTGAGACGCAGAGAAATTAATCAACTAGCCCATAATCATTTGTCTAGCTGTGTTTTAAAATGTTTCCAGGATTTTGTATTAATCATGTATGGTAGGATGACAGACACAGAGACGGTTGCTTTGAAAGAAGTTTATTATTTCTAGTTCCCAAGAGGAGGGTCATGTAACACCCCTCCCCCTCCCCTTCCCATTTACCCTCTCTCTCTCCCTCCCCATCCCCCCTCTCCTCCCTCCTCCTCCCTCTCTCCTTTTCCCCCCCTCCCTACTCTCTCTCTCCCTCTCCCTCATTGGTGGTGTTGTTAATCCACACCCGAGGATATTTTCCCATTGATTTTTAGGGAGAGGAATTGAGAGGGAAAGACGGAGAGAAACATTGATGTGAGAGAAACACATGGATTGGTTGCCTCCTGCTCAAGCCTGACCAGGCCCTGGGCCAGGGAGGTGCCTGCAACCAAGGTACATGCATCTGATTCAAATCGAACACAGGACCCTTTGGTCTGCAGGCTGATGCTCTATCCACTGAGCCAAACCAGCTAGGGCTAATCTCATTACTATTACTTTGCTTACAAAGAAACAGATTTACAATAGATTTCCCATGAACGATGAGAAATACCAGATGAAACATCAGTGAAAGTATCATTAATGTGCTGAAGGAAACCTGCTGTTCATCTAGAGTTCTGAGTCAGCTGTTTTAAGAAAGAAGGTGAAAACAGCATTTTCAGATGTGCTAAGACTGAGGGTGCTGACTATACACAGGCCTTCATGAAAGAACTGTCAGAGGATATGTCTTTATCACAGATGATTTGAACCCAGAAAAAAGTAACAGATGTAGGAAGTAATAGTAAGGAAGGAAATTGGCAGAACTGCTGGTAAATATATGCAGGGTGTCCCAAAAAAATGTATATACACTTTAACAGCTCATAGCTCCATTTTTAAAATGAAATGTATTTTAATAAACACTGCCTTTATGATTATTCAAAGTGTGTGTATACATTTTTTGGGACACCCTATACTTCAGAGAACATTGGAAATCCAGTAGTCAGGGGGAGGAGTGTGTGAATATTGAGGAGGATAGATAATGAATCCAGGTCCCTATGGAAGTAAGGGATTGAGATCTAGAATATAGACCTTTAAAACAGTCACCTACAAGTTTACCTGTTGCCTAAACTCGTTTGCTTAGTCATCAGTTGATGTACTGGAATCACAAGAAAAAATTTAAAGCTTTTATTTTGTGCTGTCTAACATATTTCTTACACGTACATCAAATAATTCCCCAGTAATCTCTATAAAACTGCTAGGGATTGTTTATATATTGAACCAAAGGACCATTTTCTACATTAATCCAAGAGAAAGAAGAAAAATGTCTCCTTCAAAGAGAATCTGATACGATTCTAGATGCTGAGTTGTAGAAACCATTGCATCATATTTAGATCATCTGTACTCAGTCGGTGAAGCGGTAGAGCAACAATTCTCCATTGACAGGGAGCCAACAGTGAGCAAGCGTCTAAGATTTTAAAAAGTGTTGGGAGCCATCCTGAAGGAGCTGGAGAAAAGCTAAATACTTCCTGGGTCCTAAGTAGACCTTTCATTTCGAGTTGCTTTCATTTCTGTAGGGCCTTCAGCCATCAAAGGTAAATAATATCTACTTATATGCATACATAGTTTTAAAAGACATTACAATTTTAAATTTCTTTATTGACATTATTATTGATTTAAAAAAATTTTGAGAGGGAGGAAGGGAGAGAGAGAAATAGCAGTTGGTTGCCTCCTGAGCACTCTGCAACGTGGGGATCTAACCAGTGGCCTAGGTGTGTGCGCTGACTGAGAATCGAACCCACGATTTTGGATGCATGGGATGACATCCCACAAAGTGAGCCACTCGGCCAGGGCAAATTCCTATATTGACGTTCTGATTAATAACCTGTGTTTTCCAGTTTCTTATTAATCATAATTCACAATTGGACAGAGTTTGAAAAATAACCAAAGTACTAGTAAAATATTCTAATAAGCCAGCTTTAAGTTTTTAAGGGAGAAATATATATTTTTTAATTAAAAATTTTTTCCCGCCAAAGCCGGTTTGGCTCAGTGGATAGAGCGTCAGCCTGCGGCGGACCAAAGGATCCTGGGTTCGATTCCTGTCAAGGGCATGTACTTTGGTTGCGGGCACATCCCCGGTGGGGGGTGTGCAGGAGGCAGCTGATCGATGTTTCTCTCTCGTCGATGTTTCTAACTATCTGTATCTCTTCTTCTCTGTAAAAAATCAATAAAATAAAATAAATTAAAAAAAAAAGTTTTTTCCTGCTCTTGAAAAATCTAACCCTATGCCTAATGCACTGTGATGTGACATGTTCTTAAGATTAAAAGAAGTGTTTTTAATTAGACACTAAACTAAATTTATAATAATTGTTCCAAGTACACAGAATGTCCCTGGCTGCTTATTGTGTCGTCTGTTGTAGAAGAATGGGAACTTCAACTCCTCCTCCAAAGAGCAGCACGTCCTGGAAAGATATCAGTGAGTAGTTCGAACAGTAATGTTTCCTCATAGGAGCAGTGGCCTGTTGCCAGGTGGTAGGTTGCCAGGATAGTTCACAAAAGCTTGTTGAACCCAGGATAAATCTGAGCCCTGTTTATCTTCTCTAGGCTAATGGTCCACCCCCAATTGGTAGGCCTAGAGCTACGCACACTTCTTTTCTTGGGACTCTTGTCCCTCTCACGTGTTTCCTGTTAGATTCATACTAATCCTTTTGAATTTAACTTATGTATTACTGCATTCTCCTTCCGCAGCTAGTTATTGTTTAAACTGCAAAGCACATGTATTAGAAGTGAGCATCGAAGATGTGCTTTACGTATCCCAGTAGACAACCATAGTCCCTCAATGCAGTGTTGGCAGTGAAAGGAAGAACTACCCTGTTTCCCCGAAAATAAGACAGTGTCCTATATTAATTTTTGCTCCCAAAGATGTGCTAGGTCTTATTTTCAGGGGATGTCTTATTTTTCCATGAAGAAGAATATGGTACACATTTATTGTTAAATGAACATAAAGGAAATTTATTACCTGTATACGGTACGGTAGTATGGTAGTTGTCAACACAAACCAGACAAACTGTGAATCCTACAGTATCAAGAATTTACTCATTTATTCAATGACAATCATGCCAATCATCTTCTGGAGCATCATAACAATCTAATTCCTGAATTTCCTGTGAATTTCTTGTGACTCCATTTCTTTCAGAATCAGTGGACCAAATCTCTCATGTTTAGCCTAGGGGGGCCTTATTTTTGGGGGATGCCTTATATTTCACTCAGAAGGAAACCTGTAAGTAGGTCTTAATTTCGGAGGATGTTTTATTTTCGGGGAAACATGGTATCCCCGCTCCCTTATTTAATGGGATGGGAGCTAACAGGAGTCAGCGGGGAAGCTAGCTCCCAGGACATGGGGTTCGATGGGGGCACTGGGCCTGGAAGCAGCAGCCAGCGGGGACCAGGGCCTTGCTGATGGGGTGGGGACGGAAGGGGAAGACAGTGAATATGAAATGAGGTGGTATTTTTGCACCCAGTGTATATCAGGATAGTAAGCCTGGTGTTGATAGCAATTTATTATATTAATGGAGAAATATCAGTCACTTATTATCTGAATATGCCTATTTCCTGTCATTTTTTAAATGAAATTAATCACACTGACTTTTTTTTCCTTTGAAGGAAACATAATCAAGTTTACTGGATCACTCATTTTAGGGTAAGTCAACAGTGAGATACTAATTGGCTTCATTATACTGTTATTTGAAATCCCAATGAAAGTGTTTTCCAGACTGCATGGGGGAGTGAAAGGTATAGATCTTGGAATTAGTGGACTCATCACTGGCTAATCACTGGTTCCACCACAGCAGCGTCAGGTCGCTCCAGGTACTTTACCTTCTGAGTGCTGGTTTCTCCGGTCCAAGTGTGCCAGGGGACCTGCCCACCAGCACTGTCACTCCGAGGAGAGTGCTGCCCTGCAGAGCGGGGACTCACCAGCAGCTGTCACACACCTCCAGCCACATCTGGTTTCGGGGTCTAACGTGGGGAAAGAAGGTGAAAGTCAGCTATAGTCAAAATTAGTTTGGAAAATCCTATGAATCAGCGTAAAACTCTTATGAAAGGAAATTGAGGCTGACTTAGAAAAGCAATTGATTGACATCTCCTTTCCTGTGCTTTTTTAGAAGCACTTAATGACGGAGAGACTCTCTTTCTGAAAATTGTATTTCCATTCTCTTTTCTTTTTTCTCGGGGGTGACATATGTTAAATGTATGTCTCATACTGCTCTAGTATTTTTGTTAATAATAGTCTATAAATACAAAATCAACTCGATGCTATCGGGTTTAGTAATAATTAATGTCGTTTTTAAACATTCATTTAAAATCTTGCTTGGCGTTGTCTTATATTGACATAACCTTCAAACACGTGGTATCTACAGAATGTGTGAAGTGCAATTAACAAGTTTTGCTTGAAAAAGTTTGTGTTTGGTTTGGTTTTTGTTGCAAAACTAGGGCTAAGAAGATGGCGGATGAAGAGCATATTCGGCACTGCATGCTTTACGAGTTCCAGTTAGGAAGAAAAGCAAGTGAGGCTGCAAAAAACATCTGCAGTGCTCTTGGTCAAGATGCAGTTAGCGCCAGAAAATGCCAGTGTTGGTTTGAGAAATTTCGCGAGGGAAATTTTTCGTTAGATGACAAGAGTGGTCGAGGCCGTGTGTCCAATTTTGATCAAGAAGCTCTTCAAGCTCTTTTGGTGCAAAATCCTCAAATTACCCAACAAGAGCTTGCGACAACTTTAAATTGTTCACAGAAAACAATTTCCAATCAATTGCGTGCACTTGGCAAAGTCCAAAAGTTTGGAAAATGGGTTCCTCATGAGTTGACCGACAACAACCGTAATCAGAGAGTCACAATTTGCAGTTCGCTCCTCTCTCGTCAAAACCGTTTGCCGTTTTTAGAGCAAATTGTTACCGGAGATGAAGAATGGGTGCTGTATGTTAATTTGAAAAGGCGGCCTCAATGGTTGGACAAAAAGGAGGCTCCACAGCCCACGCCAAAACCTGACTTGCATGCGAAAAAAGTGATGTTGTGTGTTTGGTGGAATTTGAAAGGAATTCTTCATTATGAACTTTTACCATCTAACCAAACCATTACAAGTGCAGTGTATAGTGCCCAATTGGAAAGGTTAGCCCAAGCTTTAAGAGAAAAAGAACCCGCGCTGATTAATCGGAAGGGCGTAATTCTTCACCACGATAACGCACGACCGCATACTGCAAGAATCACTGCTGAAAAACTGCGCCAGTTGGAATGGGAAGTTCTCCCGCAACCTTCATATTCTCCTGATATTGCCCCTTCCGATTACCATTTGTTTCGTTCTTTGCAAAACTTTCTTCTTGGAAAAAAATTTAATAATGAAGAATGCCTCAAAAATGCATTGACCGAATTTTTTGCATCAAAATCACAAGAATTTTACAACAGAGGGATTAAAATGCTTCCTGAGCGCTGGGCACAAGTAGTAGAAAACAACGGCAACTATATTGTTGATTAAATTTTGTTGTATTGTTTAAATAAATTCGATTTAAAAAAGTATTAGAAAACGACATTAATTATTACTAGACCTACTAAAATGATAGAGATATAATTGCCATTTTATCCAAATATATACATTTCTCCATGACACTGTAAGGTCAGGCAAAACATAGATGATTTTTTCCTCTGACTTATTCTAGGCAAAAGATAAGTGAGTACTCTTTTGTAAAGTAGTTTGTTTATATCATAGTTATATTCAGGAATAGAATGGAAACTAATCGCATAATTTTTAGTAAAAAATTTTGTCTTTCAGGGGAAGCATGATAAAATACTGAATACATTGAATCTTTTTGGCTGCTCAGATAGGTCCCCAAGAGAGAAAAGGGCTCTTTTCAGCCTTGTCTCTCTTCCTCTGGTGCCATCCAGTGCCTGGCCTTTCTGTTCACCTGCTTTTGCTTTGGGTTGGGAAGTTCAGGAGATGCTTAGGTTAGTAATGTTACACTGCAGGCAGCCTAGGTATCTGGATCAAGGGAGTATGCGAATCAGTCTGATTGGGGTGCGGGTTGATTCATTTGGGGATACACAACAAACAACATACAGGTGACATTTAAAAACTGACCTTAGGGCCGAAACCGGTTTGGCTCAGTGGTAGAGCGTTGGTCTGCGGACTGAAAGGTCCCAGGTTCGATTCCGGTCAAGGGCATGTACGTTGGTTGTGGGCACATCCCCGGTGGGGGGTGTGCAAGAGGCAGCTGGTCAATGTTTCTCTCTCATTAATGTTTCTAGCTCTCTATCTCTCTCCCTTTTCTCTCTGTAAAAAATCAAAATATATTAAAAAAAACAAACACAAAACTGACCTTAGGTATAACTTAGGAGAGGAGAAACTTTCCTATGTTGGTGATTGAGTACAAACTGACTAATCTTTTAAACAACAGTTTGGCATTATATAGTAAAGTGGAATCATAGTATGCTGTCAGCAAGTCTGTAATTCTGCTTCTAGATATGTACCCTATAGGAACTAATGTGTGTACAGTGCACCTGGGTGTGATGTGCAATGGTGTTTGTAATAGACCCAAACTACCAAGTCCCTAATGCCCATCTGGGTAGAACGGGAAAATTACTTGTGGTGTATTCATACAGTGATGATTAATGATGAGTGTAAATGCATGAACTAGACACATGCAGCGACATGGATGAAGCTCACAGAGGACTGAACAAAGAATACAGTGTCATCCCATTCTTGTGAAGTTCACAGGCAGCAAAACTGTTGTTTAAGGTCCCATATGCAGATGGTAGACTATGAAGAAAAACAGGCTATTATAATGAGGTCAGAATGATAATTAGCTGTGGACATGAGAGAGTCCCGATCAGGAAGGTGCCCACTGTGGGCTTCTGGGATACTTGCTATTAAAGTTCTGTTGTTGTTATTGTTTTGCCTGGATATGGTAATGTAGCTATTTATTATTATTTGTTTAACTGAAATATGTGTATACCTTTACATATATAATTTGCATATATAAAAATATATGGTTTATGCCCATTATTGCAAATATATTATGTTTTTCAATAAGAAATATAGAAAAGTTGCTGAAACTGGTTTGGCTCAGTGGATAGAGCGTCGGCTTGCGGACTGAAAGGTCCCAGGTTCGATTCCAGTCAAGGGCATGTACCTTGGTTGCAGGCACATTCCCAGTGGGGTGTGTGCAAGAGGCAGCTGATCGATGATTCTCTCTCATCGATGTTTCTAACTCTCTATCCTCTCTCTTCCTCTCTGTAAAAAATCAATAAAATATATTTAAAAAATATAGAAAAGTTATTATCTTTTTAAGTTAACTACTTAAAGCTTAATAAAAGAGTGACTCTTGTGTTACATTTAGATCATATGTTTAAGATGAATTTTTTGTTTCTTTTTTAGAAGTTCTTTATTTCTTACATATGAACTTCTGGCCCTAAAGAAGTCTTTGACATTGGATACTCAAGTGGTAGAAAGAGAAAAAATGAAGTCATATATATGTATGCATACAGTTCTAGATAAAAGAGAAAATTATGGTAAGTTTTGTGGTAAAGTAATACAATTTTTGTGACAAATGGAAGCTAGTTATTGAATTTAGAAATGAATGTTTATTTTTTTTTATTTTTTTTTATTTTTTTATTTTAAAGTAAAGTTTATTCCCTAGTAATGAGCGGGACTCATAAAAGAGGTAGAGAAATCAGAATTGAAGGAGCTGTGAAGGGGGATGGACCCAGCCGGGCTGCCGCCTGGACATGGAGGACCAGCAGCACGTGGCTGGTCTGGGGGTCCTTTTAAGGGGAGGAACAGGAAACGGTTGGACCCAGGGCAGAACAGGAAGAGGTGGGCTCCAGGACACCTTGGCAGGCACTGATTGGTGGCTCAATGTCTTGGGGATGTCTCTGTGACAGATGCCAGTAATGTCAAACTCCGCCCACCAGTTGGGAGGAGGGAGAACCTTATACAGAACTCACTGTTTCCCCCCAAAACCACATTCTTCCTCCAGAGTAGCATTCCCATTCAACCCATCACCCACACCAGGAACCTGGTGACCTCCTTGAGTGCTCTTTTTCCTTACGCTGCTCTTCCTACAGGTCACTAAGCACTGTTAACCTTCCTCAGATCCCTGCCTTGCTTTGCCTTTCTTCTTGCCCACTCTGGTGCAGATCCCGTTTTGCTCATCTGGGTTGCTAATGATGGTTGTAAAGGTGTGAAACCTCAGTTGTGCCTGCAGGATTCTCACAGCACCCAGCAGCAACAACCTATTCTCCCCGTTGTTCCCAGCCCCCTCAAACTGCCCCCTCGAACTGCCCTCCCCCTTTCCCCCCAGACCAGAGCTAAAGGCCAAGGAAAAGGAGCTGAGGCTGAAGCCGGTTTGGCTCAGTGGTAGAGCGTCAGTCTGCGGACTGAAAGGTCCCAGGTCCGGTTCCGGACAAGGGCATGTACATTGGTTGCGGGCACATCCCCGGCAGGGGGTGTGCAAGAGGCAGCTGGTCGATGTTTCTCTCTCATCGATGTTTCTAGCTCTCTCTCTCCCTTCCTCTCTGTAAAAAATCAATAAAATATATTTTTTAAAAAGAAAAGGAGCTGAGGAAATGGGCAAAGGAGATATCAGTGACTCAATAGACAAGTAGGCAACACTGTCAAGGTCATGTGCCTCTACTCTGCAGCCATTTTGAAATATACCGTTCTGTGACTGGAATACTAGAAATGAATGTTTAAAGCACAGTATAAATAAGGTAGGTTCAGCTAACTTTAAGAATCTCCAAACCCTGTGAGAACCAAGTTCCTAAAGAGTTAATTGGAGCCTTGGCCGGTTTGGCTCAGTGGATAGAGCCTGCAGACTTAAGGGTCCTGGGTTCTATTCCAGTCAAGGGCACATCCCCAGGATGGGGTGTACAGGAGGCAGCTAATCGATGTTTCTCTCTCATTGATGTTTCTATCTCTCTCCCTTCCTCTCTGTAAAAAGTCAATAAAATATGTTAAAAAAAGAAAAGAGTTAATTGGAGCTCAAGTTTGTAGTTCCCCTTTAACTGGGTGAAGTGAAGGCTAGCTAGCTGTTTCAGGATAAACTTGGAGTTCCCCCCTTAGTGGCACTTCAGTCCATAGGCTGGCCCTCAGTGTTTGTCACTTGGGAGATATTTCTGATTTCAGGGATTTATTCACTCTGCACACTAAACTGGAGAAATGGATTCATAAATATGAATACAAACTTCTTTACAGAGGGAAAAATCTGTCTTGAAGGCTAGAAAACCTGTTTCTACTAGTCAGAACATTCCTCTTCTCCATAGTTAGGTTACATGGAAACTAATTAGTGATCAGACAATTGCTTGGTAAACATGAATTTGAGAGCAGAGGAGTATCGTTCCATCAAGATGTGGGTAGTCTAGTAAGTCAGCACACTTGACTCGGAGCTGCATATTCCTGCGCTGTCGGTCGGAACAGCCAGTCCTTCTGGTACATGATGGTTCTGAGTGGGCAGGTTCTGGTGCTCCCTGCCACAAGCTGTGTGTGTTACCATTTCACCTTCCTGTATTTAAGCTTCTGTGGTATCACAATTTCAGTCACACAGATCACTTTTATAGCTTGTAATTTACCTATATAGTGAAGCTTAATCTCAGTGAGATATCTAAACTTTAGTATGAGAGGGACTCTTTTTAAGGGACATTTTCCTGAATGTAGCTACTCCTGTGCTTTATATGGGGATTTTTGTTAAGTTTAGTGTTTTTGTTTCTGTTTTGTTTTTCACCTTTTCCCTGACTTGGAGAGCAATCTTTTTTGGATTTAGAACTCTATGTTTCCATAATGGTTTTTGTTGCTTCAATCAGGTGACAGTAAAAACAGAAAGATTATATTTTATATTTTCTTTTTGAAAAAATTTGCATCAATCAAAGGACTTGTATGCATGCATATAAGCCTAACCAGTGGTCACAGACAACAGGGGGTGGGGGCACACGTGGGGAGAGGTTTGGGATGGGAATGGAGGGATGAGGACAAATATGTGATACCTTAAATCAATAGAGACTTTTTAAAAAAGATAAAACCTGGAGTTTAATTACATTTCTCTTTGAAGTATTAGAACTTGTTATTAAGAGTACATACTTGATGTTATTTAAATTTGTAAACACTTTAGGACTCCTTTACCAGGCGCGAAAAGAGCTTCACAAAACAGTAAGAAGAATATTAGCAACCTCAGCCAAGATACTGCAGGGTCCATTTGCTGGTAAGTATCAAATCTTTAACTAGGAATCTCATTCGATGGTCTACCTAAGATACTTTTCCATTTTGTGTACTAACATTTATTATAGCAGTGAAATCTTGGATTGTATTAAATTTTAAGCCTTAATTACTTGAAAAATTTTTTCCTTCCAACTTTGAGAATATATTGTTTAGATATTTGTAAATAAATAATGAAACTAAATATACCCTCTTCAATATTTAAAATTTGTTAAGAAATCTCTCATGCTTTCTTGTAATGAGAATACTGCATCAAAAATGTAGTTTTCACAACTAGCAACTCTACAATGTAGAGCTAGCTATAAAAGAACAGATCTCTTTCAAAAGTTGATGTCATGAAAAAAGAAAAGATGGAAAGCTTTCTAGAATTAAGAGAGACTAAAGAGGCTTAAATCCTGGTTTCAAAAACCTCTCAAGACATTTTGGGACAATTGAAGGAATTTGAATATGGAGTTAGACTGGATTTTAGATAATTTTGAAGGATTCTTTTGTGTGTTCTTGAGTGTTACAATGGCATTGTGATTACATATAGGAGAATGCAGGCTTATTTTTAGGAGATTCAGTATGAACCATGAAAGGGTAAAAGTCATAGGTCCACAACTTCCTTTTACATATATGAAAGTAAAAGTCATAGACCTACAACTTCCTTTTACATAGTTTAGAAGAAAATATATAGATCTCTGCATATAGCTTGAGCAAATATGACAAAATAAGTTTTTAAATCTAGCTGTGGTAGGCATATTGGTATTAATGTATTATTCTTTTAATTCTTCCATATGTTTGATTTCTTTTTTAAATATGTTTTTTATTAATTTTAGAGAGACAGGAATGGAGAGAAAAAGAGAATCGTCTATTGGTTGCCTCCCATATTTATCCCAACTGGGGATTGAACCTGCAATCTGCGTATGTGCCCTGACTGGGAATTGAACTGGTGACCTTGTGGTGCATGGGACGACGCTCAACCGAGTCCCACTGGCCAGGGCTGTTTGTTTTTTTTTTTTTTATAATGAAAAGTTTTTTTAGGGGAACAACAAAAAAAAAAAGGTATCAGCTATTATCAATACCTGGAAATAGATTGTAGATTTCAAATATTTATAAATTACCACTCTAAATAAATGGGAGGATAGCCCTAGCTGATTTGGCTCACTATACAGAGCTTAGGCCTGCAGATCGAAGGGTCCTGGGTTCGATTCTGATCAAGGGAACATACCTGGGTCGCAGGTTCAATCCCAGGCCCCAGTAGAGGCGCGTGCAAACCGATGTCTCTCTCATACTGATGTTTCTCTGTGTCCTCCTCCCTTCCACTCTCTCTGAAAGTCAATGGGAAAATATTCTTGGGTGAAGATTAACAAATAAATAGGAGGATAGAAATGTTTGTAGCTGTTCACATTGCTCATATTGTCTTTTTCTTTCTTTTTGCAAAGACACCTTTAGCACAGTTGACATAGAAGATCATGAATGTGACGCGTGGCTGCTCCTGAAGAAGAGCAGGTCAGGTGACAGGACGGCCCGGTTGCAGGCTGTGCAGGCCATGTCGGAGGCCCACCACTGGCATGGTAATGACCCAGCACATGCGCACATTGCCACTTCTCCACTTCTGTACAGAGGGGAAGGGAATGAGGTTTTAAGGAAGGAAATAATCCAGGCAATCTAAAACTACATTAAAAATATTTTCAGAAATTAAAAAAAGAAACTCCAGTGCAAACCCTTTGGCCTGGTAACCAGCGTAAGAACAGCTTCAAACCCGAGGTAGATCTCTTTGTGTAACTTTGTAGCGGAACCAAGTTTTATTTGATCAGAGAAACTCTTGATTCTCATAGTTATGGCCTCATGTCGTATTACATTTTTTTGTGGTTCCTATTTAATGAAATATATTTTAATTGCTTGCTGCACCATAGCATTATATTTGCTTTCACTTGACAACTGGCCTAATACTAATACTAATAGTTAAATGTATCTGATTCATGTGTATATATCATTGTAAGGGGTATGTAACAAAAATACCATAGACCGGGTGGCTTAAGGACAACAGAAATGTATCTCTCATAGTCTGGAGGCTGGAAGTCCAAGATCAGGTGCCGGTGGAGTTGGGTATCTGGGAGGCCCTGCTTCCTAGTTCAAGGCTGGCCATCTTTTCTTTGGGTCTGACCTGGCAGAAGGAACCTGGCAGCTCTCAGGGGTCTCTTTTATAAGGACACTAATTTCATCATGACCTACTCATCCCCAAAGGCCCTTCCTCCAAATGCCATGACACTGGGGATTAGGTTTCCACATATGGATCTGGGGGGAGACAAACATTCAGTCTGCAGCAATCGATAAAGAATGGAGTGGAGAATCATGAAGGAAAAGATAAAGTACCTCACACACTACACCAGGGTGGGGAACGTCCAATCTGCGGGCCATATTAAGGCCCACAAAATCATTTGGTCTGGCCCTGCCAAAGCATTAGGGGTGAGTTAATTAAATGTTTAACCAAACATAGCAAGCTAATTTTAAGTTGATAATTTTGTGTGACCCACAAATGATGTCATAAATATCCACATGGCCCTTGGCAGGAAAAAGGTTCCCCACCCCTGCCCCACATGGACATCATGGAAGGTATCATACTGTTACCAGAACAATAGACCTAACTGCAATTGCAGGCTTTGGAGTAGCAATCAAAATAGTTTTGAATGCTAGAATTATTTTTAAAGAGAAGATAAATTGGTTCTCACCTATTAACTTTCACATTTGAAGTTCCTCTTTTCAAAAATGTTAGTTGGACCCTGACATACCCAGATACATGTTGAGGAGAATTGTGAGATCAGATATGGAAATGATGGGTATTTAGCTTATTGATGTTGTAGTTGTGAAAAAATACTCGGGACTTATAAACTTGTAATTTAAAAATTAGAGTGCTTTCAAGTAGTTTGTCGATTTAGTCCTTGAAACTCTAAGCCAACCTGGAGCTAACGGCATACTTTTACAATAGATTACCAGTATAGGACAATTGCTCAAGCCTGTGATCTGAGAACACGTATTGGTTTAGCACGAAGCCAAGAGAGTGATCTTCGCTTTTTTCTTCCTCCACCTCCTATACCAGCTTTAAATGACGTAAGTAAATAAAATACAGAGAGCGAAAATTGTTTAATATATAGTCTTCATTTTGGGTGTATAATAAATATTCAAAAAGTAATTTGTTGGCTACTTTTTACAAGGAAGTAAACAATGTCGACCTGAAACTGTAGTTTTCCTACAAAGAGTTCTTGATTCCTCAGGAGATGCTGTTTCTCCATTATTTTCCCCTTTGGAGTATCGGGAGTCTCTTGCACCAGAGGATAACTTCATGGCATATCAGCATCCATGAACTGGTCCCTTGACCTAAGGTTGCTTTTAGGTTAGTTTTTCTCAACTTCAACACTATCGACATATTTGACCAAATAGCTCTTTTTAGTGGAGGGTGTTAGTCCTATGCATTGTAGGGTGTTTAACAGCCTCCTGGCCTCTTCTCATTAGATTCCAGCGGCAACTCCAAGTGGTGACAACCAAACCTGTTTGCAGATATTGCGGAATGTTTCCCGAAGTGCCACACACAGCTGGAGAACCACTGCATAGTTACTGATGTCTGACACAGGAGATTCCCGCTGTTAGCCAGCAGGACAGATACTTGAGCATGTTTCTTGAGTACCTTTCCTAGACTAGAAAAGGAAAAATCTGAAAAGTTGCTACCATGTTTTGAAGAATAGAAAAACAATTATACTAGGTGTAAGTTATTAGGGAAATCAGATAGTAATGAGTTCTGGATTTTAAAAGCCAGCTAGAGTTAGAAAGGGTAATAGTCATTTGAATTAAGAAGTGAAGTAGCCCAGGAGGTGAAATGTAGAGCTGTACTTGGCCAGAGGTCTGCAGTTTGGATAGCAGATGTGAAAGCAAAGCGTTCAAAATGAAATGATCTGCTTACCTGGGTGGGTGACTGTTTTTGAGACTAAAAGCACTAATTTATCTCTGCATGTTTTTGTTTGATTGTTTGTTGCTTGTTTGGCTTTCTTTGTGTACTCTTTGTTCAGCTGTTGAGCTTAATTATGAAGAATTTATTTTCCTTTTGTTTCAGGATACTTCCATTGAAGAAGAGCTCAGACACTTGCTGGCTTCTTTACCTCAAACGGAGCTGGATGAGTGCATCCAGTATTTTACATCTTTGGCTCTGAGTGAAAGCAGTCAGAGTCTGGCAGCTCAGAAGGTTAGCTCATCTGTTCATTCTGTAAATATTTCTGCGTTTCCACTCTTTCCAAGGTCTTGTGTTGATGGCGTGGCTCAGTGGTTGAGTGTCAACCTATGAACCAGGAGGTCAAGTTTCGATTCCTTGTCAGGGCACATACCTCGGTTGCGGGCTCGACCCCCCAGTGTGAGGCATGCGGAAGTAGCTGATCATTGATTTTCTCTCATCATTGATGTTTCTCTCTCTCTCTCTCCCTCTCTGTTCCTCTCTGAAACTAATACAAATATGTTTAATAAAAAGATTGCTGTCTTTTAGGAATAATTCCATGATTTCTATTCTAGTAAGCAACAGTTTGCATAGCTAAAGTCCCCATAATATTTAGGGACCCACGTATCAGTCCTTTCTAATACTGTATACAATACGAAGATTTTTTTTGCCAAAACCAGTTTGGCTCAGTGGATAGAGTGTCAGCCTGCGGACTGAAGGGTCCCAGGTTCGATTCCGATCAAGGGCATGTGCATTGGTTGCGGGCACATCCCCAGTAGGGGGTGTGCAGGAGGTATCTGGTTGATATTTCTCTCTCATTGATGTTTCTAGCTCTCTATCCCTCTCCCTTCCTCTCTGTAAAAAATCAATAAAATATATATTTTTTAAAAAGATATTTTTTTTTTGGTTCAACAAAAAATATTAGTCATGTTTTCAGTAAAAGTTTTAATTTTCTTCCTTTCAGGGTGGCTTGTGGTGTTTTGGAGGAAATGGACTTCCTTATGCCGAGAGCTTCGGAGAAGTTCCCTCAGTGACAGTGGAAATGTTCTGTTTAGAAGCTTTAGTAAAGCATTCTGAGGTAACTCACATTTTCATACGTGATTTATCTTTATGATCACATTGAAAAAATTACACGTGTTCATTTAAGGAAAATTATTCTCATTTATTATAAAAGAAAAAAAACTTTTGCTTGTTTTAAAATTTCTGCTTTCCTCCACTCATTTGTTCAAATTGCTAATCATGTTTTAGCAGCAATATATGAATTTCATTCCTGCTAAGTATGTCTAAAAATGGATGTAATCTTACTTGCACTTGAAAAAAGCAATGTGTTGTCTAAATACAGCATTTGTCTTTGAGCTATGCTGTATTTTACTACCTTTCTCAGATCATTTTTACAAGTAATATTATCACAAAGTTAATTTCCATTAAAACCTGTCCAAGATGTGTCAAGACAGAAAAAAGAAAGCACTCGAACAACCAAATTTTAACCATAGCATATGCCAGTGATCATCATATTTCTTGGCTTTACCACAACCTTCCTATTATGATTATAGCTTGATTTTAAAAAGAAAAAAATATCAAACTTTATGGTGTTCCAACATTAGTGCATAAAAATTACGTGTTAAAAACACGCATTTCCTGCTCACCTGTATCAATTTTCATTCACTGATGTGGGGTGGAGCCCGGCATCCCTGGCGAGGCTGCTGCTCATGGTTCTGGTCATCCCCGTGGGGAGGAGCATCTTCCTGCACATCCTGAACTCTCCCGTTAAATGTTGGGACCCATTAGACGTGGCTCAGGACACGGGCTTGCTTGGCACCTACTTCCCACCTGTGGAATTAGGGTCAAGGACAAAGCAGAGTTAGTAAAATATCGGACTGCCGAAGGGAATGGGGGACAACGAGCTTGAGTTTTTGTGACAGTCTAGTATCTGAAGCAGAGGTGCCTCTGCAGGAGAAGATGCAGTGCATGGAATACAGTAACCTTTCCAGAAGCCTCTCAGGCTCGTACACATCACAACTGATAGACGTCGAAAAGGCATATTTTAAATGCACGTAAAATGTGATAAAATTTAATAAAAATGTAGGAATGAAAAGAGTTGCATATACGTGAGTGACAAGGTGTCATCTCAGTGAGTACAACTAGAGATGGAAAGAGGCAGCACACCACAATGACTGGCCATTCATTCTGTCACCTTACCTTAGTGTACATATTTCCTTTGGTCTTCTTTCATCTCTTTTCTCTATTAAAAATGCATATTCTGCCGAAACCGGTTTGGCTCAGTGGATAGAGCGTCGGCCTGCAGACTGAAAGGTCCTGGGTTCGATTCCGGTCAAGGGCATGTACATTGGTTGCGGGCACATCCCCAGTCGGGTGTGGGCAAGAGGCAGCTGGTTGATGTTTCTCTCTCATCGACGTTTCTAACTCTCTATCCCTCTCAATTCCTCTCTGTGTAAAATCAATAAAAAATATATTTAAAAAAAATGCATATTCCCTTTTCTTTCTATTTGTACTAGATTATTCTCTTTAAAAAGTTTTCTGACTCCTGAGCTCAGACAGTCCCTATAGCTGTGATTCTAAGGTAGTTTTAAGCCAATCAGAGTAATCACCAGAAATTTAAACAGTTCTGTAATAATGATGCTGTTAGGTTATTTCTGACCAAGAGCTAAACAGAATAACTTTAAGAATAACAATTTCAGAAATCCTGGTGAGATAACTTATTTTTTCAATGACTTAGAAGCACTTCCCATGTCTACAGGGGCTTATGTGTTAAGTAAGCTGAGTTGAGAGGTTGGTGGTCTCTCAGGGTCTCTGTCCTTTAGCAGGGCCCACCTGACTGCTCAGCCGCATGCTGCTACCTGCTTAGTGAATGTGTACGACATAAAGTGGGCTTCCATTCATTTATTGTGCAGATACCCTCACACTGTGATAAAATTGAAGAAAATGGAGGCTTGCAACTACTTCAGAAGCTGTACCAACTTCACAAGGACTGCCTGAAAGTACAGAGACATATCATACGTATCATTGGGAATATGGCTTTGAACGAACATCTTCATTCAACTATAGTTCACGCAGGTAACAACTTTGTATGCTGAGGGCTTGGGATCCAGTTCTTTATCTTCCTACCTCCATTTCTCATGATATATTCACTTTTTCAACAGACTGAAGACTGCTTAGGGCAAGTTATCGGTCCTACAGCATGTTGTTTTAGTGTAGGGGCAAGGAATTGCTTCGTTATTTGGATAATCCACACCTAAGTTAATCAGTGTATGGCAGACACATGAGAGCAGTTTTTGCTGATGATCACCTAAATTTTTATATCTTTGATATGAATGATTATTAGAGACCAAGATCTGGGTACTGTGTGTGCTTATTGCTCCTGGGGTGTCTTTATTCTTGACTTTTTCAGTGGAAAAAGCTGTGATAAAAAAACACACATGCATACATATATATATATATCTACATACATATCTGCATATGTACAGTTGACCCTTGAACAACACAGGTTTGAAATGTGCAGGTCCACTTATATGTGGGTCCACTTATATGTGGATTTTTTCAATAAATACCTGTACCATTTTAGATCCACCATTAGGAGTCCGAGGATGTGAGAGCTGCCTGGCTGCGTTGACCTATGCCAGTTCTATAGGGACTTGCGCACCCATGGATTTTGGTTTCTGAGGGGCCCTATAACCAATTCCTGGCAGATACTCAGGGAAAACTTAAGTTTCTGTAGAGTCTAAAATTATATGAAGATTTTCAACAGCATGGGTTGGTGGGACCTAACCTCCTCGTTCAGGGTCAACTGTATATGCATATGTTCCTACATTTACATGTACATTTAAGAGTGTCTTTTGATCAGAAGAGGAATCAGAAAATTCTATCAAGGACCACTTTCAAATAAATTTTATTTGTTGCTCTTTTTATGGGTTCTTAAGTTAGGAACTTAGATCACTGATTTCAACCTTTTTCTTGTTTCAATTATATATTACTATGTATCAAGCCATCCCACAACTCACTCATTAAAACAGCAGTTATGGTCAGCTGTGGGCAGTGGGTGCACTTTCCAGATCACTTGCTCACAGAGCTTGCAAGTTGGTGCTGGCTGGCAACTGGGAGCTCTGAAGGGCCGGGGCCGTTGGCTTCTTTCTACATGCTCCTTTCCGCCAAGGCCGAGAGAAAGCCAGGCAGACCTAGGACCATCATTTTCTGAAGCCTCTGCACCACCGAGACGGATGATGGGATTTAGGAGGTGTGTTCTCCTCACCAGGCTGGGTTTCCTTACTGGCAGAAGCACTGAAGTCTCACCACATTGTGGAGGCCTCGCATGCCGCCAGAACCCTGGCTAACCTAGACCGAGAGACGGTGCAGGAGAAGTACCAGGACGGCGTGTACGTGCTTCACCCCCAGTGTCGCACGAGGTAAGCGAGCAGCCGTCCCCTCCGTCCCTGTGGGGATGGGAAGCCACAGGCTTCCTGTTTTAATTTATTTCCCATAATTTAGAGAAGTTAAAAACCTCACAGATAAGAATGTCACACCTTATATACACGGAAAGTTGTCCTCGTCTCAGAAGAATCGCAGGCTGCCACAGAGCAGGGGAGGAACCTAGTTCTCAGGGTTATTTCACACCAAAGGCTTGCGTCCAGGAAGGCGGCCTTCACCTTGCATTACAGGTCGCACTTAAACTGTGCGCGTATTTCTTTGTCTCAGAGCACTTTCCACGTAGACTCAATATCTGATCCGGGTGGTACAGGTCGTTCTGGATGGGAAGGAGATAGGACATTATTATTTATATGCAGGCAACCAAATTAGCCTGGGCCTAGCCCTCCAGGAACTGGAAAAAGTTGATGCCAGGTTTAAAAGCATGGCAATAAGTCGTAAAGGAAGCAATAAGTCGTAATAAATCTTACATGACTCCTCAAGGTCATTTCTGGCTACCTTTTCCAGTTGTGTCATCGACAGAAAAGACTACAATGAAAAAGTTACATATTTCTTAGATTTTGTCAGACACTTTAAAATATTAACTCAGAAAAGAGCAAAAACTTTTTTTTTAATTTGAAAAATGGATTGCCTACTTAATTCCAATTTGTAAGTAAAATACTTTGGTATTTGGGTGTTGTATAGTTGTGTGTGCCCTATAAAAAGATGTAAGTAGCCGAAACCGGTTTGGCTCAATGGATAGAGCGTCGGCTTGGGGACTGACGGGTCCCGGGTTCGATTCCGGTCAAGGGCATATACCTTGGTTGTGGGCACGTCCCCGGTAGGGAGTGTGCAAGAGGCAGCTGATCGATGACTCTCTCTCATCAATGTTTCTAACTTTTTTATCTCTCTCCCTTCCTCTCTGTACAAAATCAATAAAATATATATTTTTAAAAATAAAAAAATAAAAAAATAAAAAGATGTAAGTAATATACTATCTACATATTTTAAATGTCATACAAAGAAAGAATATTGCTTTAAAATGTCATTAGCAGCCGGCTGGAGTGGCTCAGGTGGGCGAGTGTCACCCATGAACTGAAAGTTCACCGTCTATTCCCGGTCATGGCACAGGCCCAGGCTGCAGGCTCGCTCCCCAGTAGGGGTTGTGCAGGAGGCAGCCAATGGATGGTTCCCTCTGACATCTCTCCCCTTTCCCTTCTTCTCTAAAATCAATAAAAACATATTTTTAAAAAGTCATTCACTCTATTTCTGATAAACATTATCCTTGGTAAATTTTTGAAAATCCCTTTTATGCACACTGACTTTGAAACTACTCTAGCATAGCATATTCTTATTTAATTTTTTAAATACCAATTTGTGGGACAGTACCATGGAGTTCTTTGTAGGGCAATTTGACATGTGTCACTTCTCTCATCACGTGACTCACTGCAATTGATTTTAGTTGGTCCATCTGACTAGATGTCCCCATTTCTATGGAGCAGTGAGCACACTCCGTGCATGGCTTTGCCAAACTCCTTGCAGGGTTCTTCAGCAAATGTGGGCTCCTAAAGCTTGCCTTCGTTTTTATCTTATGTCCCGTAACCCTGCTAAGCACCATCCACAGAGTGTGCTATGCAGATTCTCACCAAAACAATAATGTGTTTATTCTGCTTCTCTTTAAAACTCTCTCCCCTGTTAGTCAGCCCATTAAAGCAGATGTCCTTTTTATTCACGGCCTTATGGGAGCAGCATTCAAGACGTGGCGTCAGCAGGACCAGGCGCTCACTGAAAAGGTTTCAGGGGATGAAACCAGGTATACAACGTGTTGGCCCAAGGTAAGGATACGGCTGACTCTGGTGGGCCACCTTTGTCATGACACTCTGCGTGTCACTGCCTGTCGGAGCCCTCATTGTGACTTGCTTTTCTATTTCCACTCTGATTTTTTTCCTATGCAGTGTTTCCTTCCTTTAGTGACGCCTGTGGTATGTTATAAGAACAGCTGGGCTTATCACTTGTGTAATTTATGTACAGTCTATGACTCTTAAAAAATATTCCAATAAGTAAAAAAACAGGGACAAGGGCCAGTAATCATTCACTCCAATTAAAAATATAATACAGCCCTACTAGGTTTGGCTCAGTCGATAGAGCGCTGGCCTGCAGACTGAAAAGTCCCAGGTTCAGTTCTGGTCAAGGGCACATGACTGGTTTGCAGGTTTGATCCCCAATAGGGGAATGCAGGAGGCAGCAATCAATGATTCTCATCATTGATGTTTCTGTCTCTCTCGCTCTCTCTTCCTCTCAGAAATCAATGAAAGTACATTTAATATATATATAACAACGAATATCCTATATATATTAGGTCTAGTAATAATTAATGTTTTCTAATACTTTTTTAAATCAAATTTATTTAAACAATACAACAAAATTTAATCAACAATATAGTTGCCGTTGTTTTCTACTACTTGTGCCCAACGCTCAGGAAGCATTTTAATCTCTCTGTTGTAAAATTCTTGTGATTTTGATGCAAAAAATTCGGTCAATGCATTTTTGAGGCATTCTTCATTATTAAATTTTTTTCCAAGAAGAAAGTTTTGCAAAGAACGAAACAAATGGTAATCGGAAGGGGCAGTATCAGGAGAATATGCAGGTTGAGGGAGAACTTCCCATTCCAACTGGCGCAGTTTTTCAGCAGTGATTCTTGCAGTATGCGGTCGTGCGTTATCGTGGTGAAGAATTACGCCCTTCCGATTAATCAGCGCGGGTTCTTTTTCTCTTAAAGCTTGGGCTAACCTTTCCAATTGGGCACTATACACTGCACTTGTAATGGTTTGGTTAGATGGTAAAAGTTCATAATGAAGAATTCCTTTAAAATTCCACCAAACACACATCACTTTTTTCGCATGCAAGTCAGGTTTTGGCGTGGGTTGCGGAGCCTCCTTTTTGTCCAACCATTGAGGCCGCCTTTTCAAATTAACATACAGCACCCATTCTTCATCTCCGGTAACAATTTGCTCTAAAAACGGCAAACGGTTTTGACGAGAGAGGAGCCAACTGCAAATTGTGACTCTTTGATTACGGTTGTTGTCGGTCAACTCATGAGGAACCCATTTTCCAAACTTTTGGACTTTGCCAAGTGCACGCAATTGATTGGAAATTGTTTTCTGTGAACAATTTAAAGTTGTCGCAAGCTCTTGTTGGGTAATTTGAGGATTTTGCACCAAAAGAGCTTGAAGAGCTTCTTGATCAAAATTGGACACACGGCCTCGACCACTCTTGTCATCTAACGAAAAATTTCCCTCGCGAAATTTCTCAAACCAACACTGGCATTTTCTGGCGCTAACTGCATCTTGACCAAGAGCACTGCAGATGTTTTTTGCAGCCTCACTTGCTTTTCTTCCTAATCGGAACTCGTAAAGCATGCAGTGCCGAATATGCTCTTCATCCGCCATCTTCTTAGCCCTAGTTTTGCAACAAAAACCAAACCAAACACAAACTTTTTCAAGCAAAACTTGTTAATTGCACTTCACACGTTCTGTAGATACCACGTGTTTGAAGGTTATGTCAATACAAGTCAACGCCAAGCAAGATTTTAAACGAATGTTTAAAAACGACATTAATTATTACTAGACCCGATCTCTCTCTCTCTCTCTCTCTCTCTCTCTCTCTCTCTATATATATATATATATATATATATATATATATGTATCAAATAGGATATTACAGGCATGGTAGTTGGCTAGTTCTATGATTTTAATGATAAAAATAGAAAGACTTTGAAGAAGTAATTCTACTTTGGATTTTTTGACATTGTTTCTTCCAAAGAGCTTAGCCCTGAGCTACAGTCCCGAGCTCCTGAAGCTCAGTGACTATGCTGGAGCTGGAGAGAGGTCCCAGGGCTTGTCCCGCTCTGCTCACTCCCCGCCATAAAGGCTGGTCAGCAGGAGAATGGCTTTTACTCGGTGATGACATTGAGGTGTGGGGATAACGACAGAGCCTGGCCCATAGAGACAGAACTGGGACTGTAATGAATGGCTCTGAGTGCTCGGGCTGAGTCTCTAACCATCAGACCATACTGTCTGTCCTGAGGTCATAGCTTTCTGTGAAATGCTTTCAAAAAGCCAATTTGATCCAGACTCAGAAACAGGCCTTGCTTCTGGCTGTAGCAGATTAAAACAGTATCCTCCGGACACCACTGGCCTGCCGCTATAAATACTTATGCCACCTGTGACAGAGACATGGAAAGATAAAATGCCGGCCTTTTTCTCTGATCAGTGCGGTTTTTGGTCAATATTGCAGGAGTCCTTTAGTTATGAATTTCATTACTAGGAAACAATAGGGGCTTTGGAAAGTCATCTATGTTCTTTTGTACCTTTTCTTTTACATAGACGTGGTTAGCAAGAGACTGTCCCGCTCTCCGGATTATATCTGTGGAGTACGACACCAGCCTCAGTGACTGGAGAGCGAGGTGCCCGACAGAAAGGTAACAGACGCTTTGGGATGGCGAGGGTCCAGACCACAAGTGGGCCCTCAGGGAGGGAGACGGAATTTCTTAGGAAAAACTAACCTTTTCCTCTCTTCTCGGGCCGTTAGCCACGCATCGATTAGCGGTAGACAGAGTGTCGGTGTTGGGCTCCTGACGTGGCTACCTGCAGCTCTTCTAAGCCCAGAACAAAGCACCCCTCCTCCTTTGGCTTCGTGTTCCCGCTCCCACTGGCTGAAGGGAGCAGAGAAAACGGTGCTGAGCAATAGAGGCTCCTTAGGCCACTTGCCTGTCCCCCGTGCACGTGTGTGTACGGGAAGTCACAGACTTCAGCTCTCCCTCTGACTCACTGGGTGACCTCAGACAAGTCATTACTGTACGGAGAGCTTGGTCTACAGATTGGGAGGCTCAGTCTGAGTCTTGGGGTTCTGAATGGCCCCCACCTAGCTGCTCGAAACGGTGCCGAGGGTGGGGAGACAGGACCCAGGGCTCCTCCCGTTTCACCCAGAGCACTCTGACGAGCTTTTCTTCTGAAGAAAGATTCCACAGGTAAACAGCTGGAAACTTCCTGACGAGACAGTATTGACATTCCCGTTTTGAAAATTACTCATTTTGAATGCTCTCATTCTAATAATAGCTTTCTGATATTTTTTAATTTTTTAAAATATATTTTATTGATTTTTTACAGAGAGGAAGAGAGAGGGATAGAGAGTTAGAAACATCGATGAGATAGAATCATCGATTAGCTGCTTCTTGCACACTCCCTACCGGGGATGTGCCCGCAACCAAGGTACATGCCCTTGACTGGAATCGAACCTGGGACCTTTCAGTCCACAGGCCGACGCTCTATCCACTGAGCCAAGTGGTTTCGGCGCTCTCTGTTATTTTTAAGTAACAAACTAAAATTATGTTTTCAGCCTCAATACAACAATTCAGTACAATGACAGCAGCCTTCATGTAGGCAAACCACAAGAAAGAGGCCACTAATGAGAAAAGACCCATGTCCTAAGTGCTGGGGGCAGTTGGAGTGAGACCGACCTTTGACCTGTGAAAATTGCCAGACTCGTATTAGATGCTCAAATAGTGCTTGTTTAGTACATGAATGGCTTGTTCTGGGCTTAGATACTCTCAACTATGCCGTGTGACTAGGTTAGAAATGGAGAATGAACAATTGCAGAGGTTGAGCAGAGAGAATAGGGAAGGGTATTCCTGACTCCAGATGTAGCACTAGCATTGGTCCATAAACAAAAGCTCTTACCTTAACAACTGGATAGCAAACTTTGGGGCGATCAGTAGCCTCCCATCATGCCTGCTGTTTTCATTTTGTTCAGAAAGACCATTGCATTCAGGAGCAACGAACTTCTTCAGAAACTCCGAGCTGCTGGTGTTGGGGACAGGCCGATGGTGTGGGTGTCACACAGCATGGGGGGTAAGTGCCTATCAGCCATGCAGGCTGCCTGAGTGACTGCAGCTCTCTGTCTACTCGTGACCCTTTCCCCCTAAATAAGGGTTCTCTACAGCTGGGGTTTCAAAATTCCTCCACCCTTCGCCAAGAAGGGGCAGCTAGTGACAAACCATATAAAAGGGATCTGAGGTTGACAGCTTAATGCTGTCATTAATAGTGACGCACAAACACCAGAAGCAGTCCCTGGCTTCTACAGCCTGACATGTGCCTGTTCCTGGCTGCTCCCAGGGCTCCCCTTTCTTCCCTGCAGCCCAGCCACCGCAGAGCCCATGACTGTTCCAGTGCCACAGCCACAGCCCCTTCGTGCCTGCCGCCCGGCCCTGCAGGTGCCCGCTCTGCGGCTCCTTGTGTTCGCTCCCTGCGGGCATTCCCCAGCCCTGTCCCCAGTCCAGTCTGAGTCTCGCCGCCCACCTCGCAGCGGCCTTTCTGCGCTGCTGCCAGTGCACCTGCTGAGGTGCGCAGGCGCCGAGGGCAGCATTCAGCTGAGGAAGGCAGTGCCGCCATCTCCGTGACCTTGTGTTCATTGCTGGCTCACGCCCGCGGGCACAGAAGCTTGATTTGCACGGAGAGTCAGCTCCATGGCCTGTGCTTTGGGATGTTAGTACTGTCCTAGCGGAGGGCATCGGCAGGCCGCTGTGGGCAGGATGGAGACTGGCAGCTGCATTTTCGCTTCATTGACAGACACGTAACATAGACCTGATACACCTCTGTGGGACAGTGCAGCCTGGGGCACAGATGAGCTTCTAGACTCTTGTTTGTGGGTGAGAGACTGACCCAGAAGACAGGGAGGATTAGTCAGTGTCGATATTTTAAGGCCCTGAGTATTAGACTACAGAGAACTATTCTTAAACTTTAAAGAAAGCTTCTCTGTAGTTCTTGTTTTGCATATTCTGGTTCAAGAGCAGTGGAGGGAAGGAAATAGCTTCTGCTTCTTTGACTTCTCCGTGGCCAGGCCTTCTTGTCAAGAAGATGCTGCTGGAAGCATCTCAGAACCCAGAGATGAGCTCGGTCATAGACAACACCCGCGGGATCATCTTCTACAGCGTGCCTCACCACGGCTCCCACCTGGCCGACTACTCCGTGAACGTCCGCTACCTGCTCTTCCCCTCGCTGGAAGTCAAGGAGCTCAGCAAGGGTAACCCGATCTGTCCTGAGGGAAACGGGACTATTCACATCAGTTTCCTGGGGAAGGAGAAAAAAGAGCTTCTAACCTGATTAGATCATTGCATTTTACTATTTGCATATGAATTGTTAGACTCTCACGGAAAATGTTCAGTTTGCGTCTGGCTTTTCTTTGATACTTCCCCTTTTTGTCTCAAGCCATTGTTTGTTCAAATATAACAATTTTAATACTATGTAATATACATATTAGTTCTGAGATTCTGTATAAATTTTTATTATTTGTAATTTTTAATTGGAAGGTAGGAGAATTACAAGGGTTCGTATATGAAATTATAAGTCTGCTTATAATTAAATCTTACATATAATGGGCTTAATTACAGCTAGGACTGGAATGGCAGCTGGGACGGACCAGGGGCAGAGTGGGGAGTATGGGTTGGGGTTGGGGGGAGGGTGGATGCTAGTGTATTAGGTCTTAAATGATATTGGTGAATATTAGGGAGAGGCAAAGTTACTTTAAAAGGAGTGGCTGACTTGATTTTGTCAATATCTGTACTGGAAAGGGCCCAAAGTGGTCTTGGAATATCCTGTAACAAATGTTTAGTCTCAAGATTATTTTCCTCTTTAAAATCATTATTTTTCCAATTGATTTAGCATTTGATTCATTTGGTTCTAAATACATTTCACCTTCCAGAAAAAGGATAGGTGGGCATTGTGGGTTTTAAGAAAATCTCTTGTTAAGTCAGATGGAAAAGGACAAGAACCATATGATTTCACTCATATGTGGGATATAAAACAGAAAGCAACAAAAGAAACGAAACAAACTCATGAACACAGACAACAGTATGGTGCTTACCAGAGAACTGCGGCTGGGGGCAGGTAATAAAGGATAAAGGGGGTCAGATATACAGTGAGGGAAGGAGGCTAGACTTTGGGTGGTGATCATGCAATGCAATGTACAGATAATGTGTTATAGAATTGTACATTGGAACTTACAATACTATGTAAAATATTTAAAAATTTAAATTACATGAGGTTTTAAGTATAATTCCAAATTACCAATTGCTTTTATCCATGAATTTGGAAAATCATCAACTGTTAAAATATGCACACGCGTTCAAGGTTTTCACCATATCAGCTGCAAAGCATTATATACAGGGCAGGGCCAAAGCAGGTTTACAGTTGTTCACATGGAAACTGACAAATAATAATACAAGATTAAACTCTGTGTTTTGCATAGTCACAGCTGTCAACCTACTTTTGCCCACCCTGCATTTGCTTTCATTAGTCAGCGTTTTCTTACCCCGGAGTACCTGTGGGTCAGGGGTGGCCCTCGGCGTGAGCTTAACGTGCCAGACGTCTCTCTATTCCTGTTTCCTCTCCTTTACGCAGAGAGAGTTAATTTTGTTGAACCTTTTGTTGAATTCCATGTTTGCAGTCCTTTTATTTTCATAGATATTTCTTGTTCGTTGATCCATTATCTTTTGAAATCATTCTAAAGAGACAAATTAGTGGGGGTTGTAAGTTTCTCTCTGTTTCTTCCCCCTCCGGTTTTCTGTTTGCTCTTCAGATCTATTTTCTAATACTCTGAGCTTCGTGGTAGTCCTTTTACCTGAGGCTGAGGGTTCTGCTGGAGACAGGCTGTGGTCTGGGAGGCTGTGCTGTAGGGTGGGTGGGGGATGCCAGCCAGCACACGGCAGGGGGGAGACCCCGAGTCCCACACACTGGGGGCTGCTTCCTGTCAGCAGTAATGTGGGAGCTCTCCCCCCAAAACTGGCCGCTTGTTTTTGCATTTAGCCCTCTACTCTCAGCTTAAGGAAATAGAGGCGGTAAACAAGCCACCATCCAAATTAGAACCCTGATTTTCCCTCACAGTTGGAAGGTTAATGTATTTTATTGTGAATTGGATAAACAGAGCCTGTCACAGCCTTATTCTCTATAATTTCAGATTGTCCTGCGCTTAAGGCACTACAGGATGACTTTCTGAAGTTTGCTAAAGACAGAAACTTCCAGGTGCTGAGTTTCGTGGAGACACTACCAACGTGCATTGGGAGCATGCTCAAGCTGCACGTGGTGCCTGTGGACTCAGCAGGTACTCCCCCTGCAGGAGCGGGCCGGCGTCACACACCTGGTGGGCGATGCCCGGCATTTAATGATAAACGTCAGCTTTTACGTTTAGTTTCTCAGTTTTAGGGAGATCTAGATTCTAATCCTGTTATTCTTTTCAGCCACAGATTGACATTTCTCCAAAAACATATAACCTTGGTATTACCACTCCCCACCCTTCATTTAGTTGATTAGATGGCAAAGGTTAATTGGCTAACTCTAAATCAGGCATCAACAGTGAACTCTGTTGTATTCAGGTAAGAACACAAAACCCTTCTACCGTGTTTCCCCGCAAATAAGACATCCTCCGAAAATAAGACCTAACACATGGAAAGATAAGACATCCCCTGAAAATAAGACCTAGTGCAACTTTAGGAGAAAAAAATAATATAAGGCACTGTCTTATTTTCAGGGAAACAGGGTATTAGCTAGACTGAAAGGGGCTTTTCATTTAAAAGACTGATACCTGCATGCAGAAACTTTAAAAAAGATCACCTAAAGATATGGAGTCTTTAGTAAATAAATGGAAGATATATGGACCATTCAACAAAGATTCTGATGGGAAAAACTAATGTTAAAAGTAGAATCTCTTCATAATCCTGAAGTGAGGGAATGACAGCACCTGCTCCAGTGTATTGATTACACTGGGCCATCGGCTCTGAGAGGAGGGCCCAAATCTTCATTCTCCTTGTGGCTCCTTGATTACTCCGTGATGGCAGTGACTCTGCCTGTCGCTCCCGGACTCCTCAGCTTGCTGTGAAACCCTTTTCCGATCACCCGGCAGTGGGCGTAGGTGCTGTCCCAGAGCCCACGTGGCCCCTGCAGCCGGACCGTGTGAGGCAGAGCACTTGCTGGGTGGCTCTTCGGTTGGGTCCGAACCTCCTCCATGCTGCCTAAATAAGATGAAAAGCCTTCTGCTCCGTGAAGCCTAGGGATGGCTTTCCTAGGAAATGTGCCGTAGGGCGGGCAGTTACTATTGAGAAGTTGCAGAGCTCAGGATCAGCTGCTGGTATTTACCAAAAAGGACTTTGGAAGCTTAAACCAAAAGCAAAGTTAACTTATGGACTAACTGCTTATAGTGACATCGCCTCAACTCCATTCTGTGTGTGCCTTGTTCTGGGTCACCTCCACCATAGCCGGCTATGGCTAGAATGGGCCCTATGTGAGATATCCCCATTCTTTATATCGGGACAAGGGAGCTCATTATCAACTTTTATAATAAAGACTCTAGAAAAAGTGTTTCATTATATTATAGTGACCAGGCTCTATTCACTACTAAATTAGGAAGTATACAAATGAATTTGTGAAATGCATAATTATATCTTCTGAGAATCCATTCAGGCATGATTAATCAAATATAGTTTAGCTACAGTGAATCTTAGCTAAAGATCCTTTATCTTTTAAGAGTCACAACCAAGTGAACATTAAGAACTGCAAATTTGGCCTCTTTCATTATTGATAAGGGAGAAGCTTACATTTTTACTTAGATTTTGTTCACATTTTTGTTTTCTTCAGATTTAGGCATTGGAGATCTAATTCCTGTGGACGTGAACCATCTGAACATTTGTAAGCCAAAGAAAAAGGATGCTTTTTTGTACCAACGTACCTTACAGTTCATCCGGGAAGCTTTAGCCAAAGACCTTGAAAACTGACAATTACCTTCCATTTTTCATGTGAAGCTCGGTGGTCTCTTTTGAAGCAATCATGCAAACAGTCACTGTGGCATCGCGTGGTCTGGAGTCTGTTGCAGGCAGCAGAACACTGCAAAGCACAAGCACAGAGTGGCACTCGGAGAAGGAAGGGCTGGACGGATGCTTTCGATTTCAGGGAATTCCGTGGGGGCCAGTGGATGCTGTGCAGTGCTGTCCCTGTGAACACGCTGCTGTGGATGGAGAGTACCTTGTGTCACCTGTGACCGCCTATGGCTGACGCGAGCGGAGCACTGATGGCTTCTGAAGGGACAGCGCGCCGCCAGCTTACCATGACAAGGCTAGTGGGAGAGCACCTGGAGCGGGCAGAGAATGATCTAGAACATAAAAGACTCTTTTTGTTCTGGGATTCCATGTGCTGTAAATTTTTACTAACATGTAAGTGTAAACCTTTGTCTAACATGTTAACTGTTAGACCTGTTGCCACCCATGGGCCAGTTCCTTGTACATTTTTATTTTCATATGGCTGAGAACAGATATTTCTCTAAAAAAATCTAGCTTATAGTAATGCTTTCCAGACTTTAGCTACCTATACTTGTATTTTTCCCAGATAAAGTAGCTAATCCACTATTAATCACAGTGTGAATAAAACTATTCTAAGCCATTGTATAGATTAGTAACACTTAGTATTAAGGTTCTCAATTCTCTTTAGGCCAAGTAAAACATCCCTTTCTTTCCTGCTCCTTTGACTTCCAGCAAGTGAGAAATAGGAAATCATGTTGACTTTTTCTAAATAATGACATTATTGAGATATAATTCACATTTCATAAAATTTACCTTAACTCAAGGTTGTTTATTTTTAGTAAGTTTACAGGGTCGTGCAATCACCACCACTGATCTCAGAACACTTTTATCATCTCCTGGAAGAACCCCATAGCCTGGAGCAATCACACCTCACCTTTTCTCCCCCAGCCCTGGCAAACACTAATCTACTTCATCTCTACAGATTTGCGTGTTTTGGACTTGAATATAAATGGAATTATACACTATGTGCCCTTCTGTGTCTGGCTTCTTTCTCTTAGTGTAATGTTTTCAGGGTTCACCCTTGAGGAAGCATGTATCGGGGCTTCATTCCTTTTTATGGCCAAGTAATACTCCATGGTATGGATATACCACACTTGTTCATCTGGTGATGGACATTTAGATTCTTTGAATTTGGGGGTATTATGCTGCTTGAACATTTAGATTCTTTGGAATTTGGGGGTATTATGCTGTTTTTCATTCTCTTGGATATATACTAGAGTGTCTTATTAAGCTCACTAGAGGCCTGGTACATGAATTTGTGCATGGGTGGGGTCTGGCCAGCCGGCCTGCCCCCGATCAGGGCTGATTAGATGGGGCCCACTGAGGGGAGGTGCCACGGGCAGTTGGCTAACCCCTGGTTGTACTCCCCATCGAGGGGACAATTTGCATATTAGCCTTTTATTATATAGGATATAACCATTTTGAAGATGATGGACATTGTAGAATGGGATAATCAAAGCTAAAACGAGAACATGTCATCAGTAAAACCCTGTCAACATCTAATTGTTTAATTTGCAACAACCTAACAAGTGACTTAACCACTTGTATTATTGTGTAGATACAGTGAATGCATGGTTACGAGCTAACAATATTAAATAATAAATGCTAGCTAATGGGATGTTATGGGGAGAAGGGGTAGATACACTTGGTTCATTTTCTTTTCCTGGTTTCCATGAAAACAATTGTTCATTAACGTAGAGTAATGCAATGAAGCCCCACTCCTTAAATCTCTATAGAGCTGCTTTAGCGGTGCTTTTAAAATGAGGTCTGGGAGAGGGATCCACTGAAGTACTAAATTACACAGTTTTTCAGGCAAGGCATTTTTTTTTATTCTGCCTATGAAATGGATATAAATGTACATGGGTTGACTTTATCCATTTTGTGATAGTTAAGTCAATGTTTTTAAAATAATCATTGCATGAAAAATGCTTAAAAAACACTAAGTATGAAAACATGTATTTGAAGTAGTTTCAAACTTAGACCATCAATAAAACACTCTGGGAATTTGATCAGCTTTGTTTAAATATCCTTTCTGGGGGGAAAAACTCAAAAGCTTCATATCACCTTCTCCCTCATGTGAAAAGTCACTTTTTATGATCTTTTTTAAGAAGGAAGTAAACAGAATATAGGTGTTACCAAACAAATTACTGAAAGAAAGCTGTAAATACAGCAAGAATAGCCGGGACCGGTTTGGCTCAGTGGATAGAGCGTCGGCCTGCGGACTGAAAGGTCCCAGGTTCAATTCCGGGCAAGGGCATGTACCTTGGTTACAGGCACATACCCAGTGGGGGGCATGCAAGAGGCAGCTGATCGATGATTCTCTTCTCATCTTTGTTTCTAACTCTCTATCCCTCTCTCTTCCTCTCTGTGAAAAAATCAATAAAACATATTTTAAAAAAAAATACAGCTAGAATGAAAATGAAAAGTCAGTTATTTTTACTTATAACCTATTTCTTTCTTTCTGGTTACATTTCCCCTAAACCTACCAGATTACATTGTCAGCCCTAAATTTCAAGGGCACCGAGTCCCCTTTTCCCCAGAGTTTACATTAAATGTCGCCACAGAAAGAGACTACAAAAAGGAGGGTCATGATACCTTTCTCACCAGCCTCTCAACCAGTCACCCAGGCTACGCCAACACGCAGGACACGGTGGAGGGTGCAGGCCTGCGCCCTGTGCCTGCCTGAGGTGGGAACACCAGCATTCACTTCCTAGTGAGAAGCACAGCGCAGTGACACAGTGATGTGTCTTGAACTTGGTTCATAACTCACAATGCCCCTCAAACTCCAATTCCTAAAATTTGAGCTTTAGGCATACCATCCTGAATTTTTACTCCTTCGTAATATCAAATATATCGAATGAGTCTTTATTGACATTTAATATAAAAAATTATGTTCAACCAAAAATTGAAGCATTTATATAAATGTCACTTTAAAGTCTTTCCTACAACTGATTGTGCCCTTATATTAGATATTGAACACTCCCAATAGCTAATCACTTAAAATAGATTGGAAGTTTATGAAATATTTGATTATGAACTGGTAACACCTCGGCCTGGCCTGTGCCCTCTTGCAATCCGGGACCCCTTGGGGAATGTTGGATAGCCGGTTTCAGCCCAATCCACGCAGGCCCGATCCAAACAGGAGGGAGCCCCATCCTGTGAGTTGAGCATCTGTTCCCTGGTGGTCAGTGTGCATCATAGTGACTGGCCCACCAGTTGTTTGGTCCCTTAGGCATATATATATATATATATATATATATATATATATATATATATTATATATATATATATTACCTTAATAGAACAGAAGACATAAATCAGTTTAATATCTAAGAAATTTTCAAATTTAGAACAAGCCATTTCTCATAAAATTTTTTATGAACACACTTTAAAAAAAATATATTTTGTATTGATTTTTTACAGAGAGGAAGAGAGGGATAGAGAGTGAGAAACATTGATGAGAGAGAATCATCCATCAGCTGCCTCTTGCACACCCCCTACTGGGGATGTGTCCGCAACCAAGGTACATGCCCTTGACCGGAATCGAACCCGGGACCTTTCAGTTCGCAGACCGATGCTCTATCCACTGAGCCAAACCAGTTTTGGCTATGAACATCCTTCTTAATGTGTGTTCAACTTGGTCTTGGAGTTTAGAAACATGGCCATAGAGTTCAGTACCTGGTCCCAGGTTGGGAAACACTAAACTTACTAGAATCCTAGATTTTTAGTTTAATCCAAACTTCAATGCATAATCCATGGATGCACACAGTGGGGTGGTAAGGGCCTGTGGCCAGGGTGGGCTGGAAGGGGGTCCATGGGGGAAAAAGGAGATGTGTAATACTTTCAACAATATTTTTTTTAAAAAGAAATGAGGCCGAAACCAGTTTGGCTCAATAGATAGAGCGTCGGCTTGGGGACTGAAAGGTCCCGGGTTCGATTCCGGTCAAGGGCATGTGCCTTGGTTGCGAGCATATCCCCAGTAGGGGGTGTGCAAGAGGCAGCTGATTGATGACTCTCTCTCATCAATCTTTCTATCTCTCTCCCTCTCTGTACAAAATCAATAAAATATATTTAAAAAGAAAGAAAGAAAAAAGAAATGAGAAGCCATTTCAACTGATAACACACAAATACTAAGGTTCACAAGAGACCAATATGAATAATTACATGTTATACCATCTCTCAGGAAGATAATTTAAGAATTCCCCCCCCCCCCCCTCAAACAGACACCATTTATAAGCTATAGTCCAGGTGCTTTGAAGAGTTTCTATTAGCCCAGGCAAAGCCTGTAATCTTTTTTTTAGAATAACACATGCTAAAATTAAAAAAAAATTTTTTTTAATTGACTTTTAGAGAGACAGGAAGGGAAAGGGATAGAGAGATAGAAACATCATTGACTGGCTGCCTCCTGCATGCCTCTTACTGGGGAGCAAGCCCACAACTAAGGTATGTGCCCTGATGGGGAATCAAGCCAGTGATCTCTTGGTTCATGGGTGGATGCTCAGCCCCTGGTCCACACCGGCCTACAAAGCCTGTAACCATGGCCACTCTAACAGATTTGTTTAGGTTTCTGTTACCCACTATTATCTGCAGAATAAAATCCTAAACTGTCATGTAAGGTCTTCTGAAGTTCTCTCCCTTTCCATGTACATAAATCCACGTTGCTACTTGTCAAATCCTTAATCCTCTTCACTCAACTGTCCCCTGGCCGTGTGTTCACAATCACTCTTTTGTACTCTCCTACATCACTGAGTTAACGGTGATTCCGTAGACACAAACAGTTGGCCTCCTCAGGGAGCGGGTGTCAAACCCCTCTCCCCCATGACCTTGGATCGTAACCAGCGGTTTCTCCCCAGCCAAGCCCAGGGGCTGTGCAGTCAGGTCAAGGGACTTCAGAATGGTACTTACAGGGCAGGAAGGACTAGCCATCTTTATTATTTCGAGATTGTCAGTATATCCTCATTCCTAGAAATCATCAGAGAACATTTTTAATGTATTTTTTGTGTTAATTAGCTGAAAACCAACCTAGACAGAACTTGAACATTGTTTACTCTCTTCTGCCTCGACATAGTAATGCACTCAAACCAGTGCAGTCTAAGATTGCATGTCGGCTATAAGACCCTACAGAAAACGAATTCTCGCATCTCTCACATCTTATAAATATTATAGCTTAAAGTTATTATGTATGGCGTCATAGTGGTCCCTACCCGCATTATTCAAGTCACGAATTCTTAACCAAATGATTCTAATGCTTTTTCAACTCAGTCTGATGGTTGAAAAAATAAACAAACTCAAATAGAGGAAAACTATTTGTAATGTAGTCACATTTCACCCAGAACAGAAGGCTGGCCAAAAAAGCTATCCCAAGATTCTCTTCATATCTAAAAAAAAAAGGCAAATTACAAAACAAAGACAAAACATTTAATAGATTTCTTTTTTACAATTTCAGTACAAATGATCACTTCAAATAAACATTACAAGGATTTTTTAATTGCCAGTCAGCCAATAAATAATTTTTGTGGCTTTCCTTGCTGTTGAAATAAATCACTCTGTTATAAAGTTTTAATACATTACTTTGCTTATACTTATACACATCAGGAGAATTCTATTAACTGTCTTGAACTTCAACACTGTAAAACCTTTACAGGAATTGCTTAGACAGATGTCCTAATTCCAGTAATTTACTGGAATAAATTTTAAAAATAGCCAGCAAGTCGGAGATGACACCGTGGGAGGGAAGAGGGCCATCGGAGTCCTCGAGAGCGTGCCGAGTTGTCAAGTACCTTGCTGAAAACACGGACTGCAGCGAACTTAACGTCTTACAGAGAAGGAATGACACACAGACCACAAATAAGGTCCCAGTAAAAAGCCCCGCGTGGGAGGGAGTATCAAAGAAAAACCGAAAATACAAACCCACAGAGTGACATCCCCGGATAATGACATCCCTGATGGCAGCCCTCGCTGTGTTATCCACTGCCTGCCCCTCACCCAGGAAACCGGCAACCAGGAGCCTCCATTTAAAAAATAAATAAGGTGACGCTGATTGTCTCCTTCAGAGGAAGGTGGTTGGGAGCCTCACATACTAACTCAAAATCCAGCCTCTGTGGTCCCTGACCGTGAACACCGGGACCAAGTACTTGTTCAGCTCGTCCTGTTAAACAACTGGTCCTGTTCCCGTGGCTGCGCCCCGAGGCTGACACCACCCCGCGCGCCACTGCTCACAGCTGGATCCCTACGTGTTGCTGTGGGACCAGCACCTGCCTCCACGGACACTCAGCTCCTGTGCCCGCCACTGGCTACCGGTTTTCTAGAACAAAGAGTAACCTGAGAATCAGGCCTGTTCCCAGCATTGCAAGCAACTGTGGTGGCACAGACTTCCCCTGCTTTTCCAACCAATGGCTACATGCACCTGCTTTCAAATGCACCTTCCCTTGGCGGGAAAACAGGTGGCAGACAAGAAGCATGGCTGCATTAAGAAACCTTTGCTTCCGTTTCCAATTGTACTCTAGTAGCCGCTGCAAATCATCGAACTTCTCCGAGACTGCTACCCATCCTGCTTGCTTGCTTCCTCTGAGGAGTTCAAGGATTACATTCTTTGTTTGCATTTGCTAGAGAGGTAGAGATGATACGAAGCACGTACTCCAGAAAGTGTCCTAGCGCCGTGGCCAGAAACAGCATCTTTTTCTGACAGGACAATGCGTGTGTTCTGCTCATCTCGATGGGTCAGTAATGCCTTTTCCTGTGCTCAGTTTTCCGATGAAGTGAAATAACGTGGTGGTTTGGTTTTTGACTTGAGTGCTGGATTTAAGAGCTGTATGTGTACCTTGATAGTGGCAATGAGAAGTAATCCTGAACACCCCGAGGTCTGATCAGTAGGGAGAGAGTGGTATTGCCTGGGCAAGGCCATCCCTGCCATCCCAACCATCAGCACTGAGTGTAGGGGTTCCCGGCTTATATCAGGGGAGCCCAGACTCACTGTGTGTGGCCCTATGCTGTGAAAGGTTCCTCCGTATGCCATGTGACACACTAAAATTTTTGCCAGTGAATTTATTAGCAAAAATACAATATCTTCTCCAAATGAAACTCTAGGGCAGTGGATGGCAAACTCATTAGTCAACAGAGCCAAATAACAGTACAATAATTGAAATTTCTTTTGAGAGCCAAACTTTTTAAACTGAAACTTCTTCTAACGCCACTTCTTCAAAATAGACTCGCCCAGGCCGTGGTATTTTGTGGAAGAGCCACACTCAAGGGGCCAAAGAGCCGCATGTGGCTCGCGAGCTGCAGTTTGCTGACCACTGCTCTAGGCCTTCTAACATTGTTTTTTTCAATGTGGAACAGAATGGCCATTTCTTTTTAAATGATTTCACGGGCAAGAAGTAGTGTTGGAGACGTAGAGGGGAAACGCAGGTAAAAAACAGACCCAACAGACACAGAGAGAAGCCAATCCAGAGACACTGCCTCATGGAGAAGGGCTCTCCTTCCTGACGCTGCAGCACAGACCCGGCTACAGCAGGCAGCCATTACCGTGACCGAGGACCCATGGCATGCCCAGAAGGCGTTCTCCCATTTGTGCGTTTACCAGGTAGGGAATTTAAGGGAAGAAACGAACTCACAAGGTTTCCTTCAAAGGGGGCTAGACGGCGTGTAAACACTGGTGTACACAGCACACCAGGATCAGGGCTGTAGCAGGGCACGGAGCGTGCACACCTGAGACAGGACACGGGCGTGTGGAGCGGGTGAAGCTCAGGTAAGCGGATGGCATATGCTTCAGGCCCCCAGAGGCACAGACCCCGTCCCGGCACGGTCAAGGCTCACAGGGACACGCACATACATAACCCCCCGGGGATGGGCAGCCCGGTTACCGGGCTGACCTCTCTGCTGCCTCTCTCTGACGATTCTAACCCAGTGCCAGGCGGTCAGGCACGGCTCCCCGTGGTGCCAGCTACCTGTGCGTGTGAGCCTGACTTTACGCATCCGCCCCCAGGCGATGCACCAAACCATGGCTCTGAACCTGTAAAATACAAACGAAGTGAAGGAACACCACACACACACGTAAGCCCAACAGCCACTTAACGCTCGACGGGAGGGAACTGGGCGTCGTCCACGAACTCCGTTTTGAACACCCACATGCAGGCCCCGCCGGGAAGGCTCCTTCCCGGGCCCCGAGCGGAAACTCGGGCCGCGTGCGTCTGCAACAGTCACAGCTCGGGGGCTGAGCCATCATCTTACTGGAGTGAGAGACACGGTTTCTGTAACTGCACAGGAGGGGGCGGGAGCGCGCAGGGACAGAGGCCTCTCCCGGGGGCACCGAGGAGGACGGGCTTTTCTCCGCCGGGCACCGCCCCAGGGAGGCCCGCGGTCTGCAGGGCGCGGCCGGGCTCCGTCAGGTCTCCGCCAGCGGGTCGAAGGCCTGCAGCACCGTCCTCCGGTCCGTGTCGCTGGCGGCCCAGGGGCCGGGGTCTGGGTGCCCGTGCGCCGGTGGCCGCTCCTCGGGGGCCGGGCCCCTGGCCTGCAGCGGGGCCGTGTGCGCCCTCCGGAGGAGCCTGGGGCCCGCGTCCAGGGGCTCGGAGCTCTCGCACAGCCAGGCGCCGCTCGCCAGGCCGGCGTGCTGGAGGAGGCTCCAGAAGGGGTCCTGGCCGTCGCCCAGCGGGGAGGCCCCCTCGGGTCCAGGCTCCCTGCGGCTGGCGGCCTGGGCGCTGGCGGGCGGCGGGAGGGCCGGGGGGCAGTCCCCGCGGAGGCCGCTGCGGGCCAGGTCCTGGAGGTGCTGGCCGTGGCTCTGCAGCACCTGCAGGTGGAAGGCGGCCGGGGCGGACTTCTTCCTCCGGGGGGGCACCCGGGGCAGCGCAGGCGGCGCCCCCGGGAGGGGCAGCGGGGGCCCCGGGCCCGGCCGCCCCTCGGCGCCTTTCCCCGGGGGCAGCGTCCTTGGTTTGGGAACGGGCGGGGCGGTCGCAGGCGGAGGGGCGTCCAGGCTCGTCTCGGGGGGCCCGATGGTGAAGTGGACAGGCGGTGGCCCGGGCGGCTCCTCCGGCGACGTGGGCTGGGGAGAGGCAGGACACGGAGTGAGTGACACGCCAGCGGGGGCTGGGGCACCGGCTCAGCCTCAGCCGGAGCTGCGGGGCCGCGGGACATTCTGGAAATCCAGGATTTGAGAATGTCCGGGATGCGGCCACGTGACCAGGGAGAGGACCCGGCAGAAACACACACACACACACACACACACACGGGTCAGGAGGACCACGGGCCAACGAGAGGCGAGCGGGGCTTGAAAACCAGGGCACAGGTGTCGCCGGAGACGGGGCTCCCTCTGCTCCGAGGAGGGGGGCCTCCCGCACGGCGCGCACACCTCTCCCACGCTCTCTCGGTTGAGACCCAGATAAGCCAATGCAGAGCCGCTGCTCCTGGGCGTGGTGTGTGAGTGTGGAAGGACGGAAACCGTTCCGCGAACACTGTGCCTCCTCGGGTCGAATTCAAAGACCCCGAGGCCGGAGTGCGGGGCCGAGGGAAGCTTTGTGCGCAGTGGCCGGCAGCTCGGCCTTCAGCGCTTGCTTTGCTTCTTCAGACAACACCCGGCAGGCACAGCCCCTCGGTGGGCTGGGCCATGGACTAGTTCTGCTCCTGGCTTTGAAGGCGAGAGACAAAGCGAGGACAGGGAGAGGAGGAGGGAAACGACAGGCGCCACGAGCCGAAGGGGGCAGAGGCGGCGGCGAGCTGGGTGCGCGTGAGCGAGGGGCCGGCCCGGCCCGCAGTCCGCAGGGAGAGCAGGGGTCAATGCCAAGAGCAGCGCGGGTTACCGGGCGTCCGGCACTAGAACACTGAGGTCAGACGGAAGGTCCAGGTGCCTCTAGAGGTGCCAGTCTCTGGGCGGCTACCGTCCTGACAAACTCATGTCTCTGAAGCAGCAAGCAAGGCGGGGGGGCTGGGGAGCCAGAGCAGAACACAATCTGCAAGAGAAGCGGTGAGAAGACGGAGGCTCGTCCACCTCGAGGCGGCCCGCCGGGACCGGTGACCGTTCTTCCGATGCCAACGGGACTGCCCACGCGGCCCGCACACCCGCCCGGACACACGGACGAGCCCGGAGCCGGGCAGCAGGCCTCCCTCCGCCGAGCTCCCCGCGTGGAGGGAATCCCGGGCTTTCCCGCGCAGCCAGAGCCGGGCACGAGGGGGAGGAAGCGATGGCCAGGCGTCCCCCTCCAGGACGGGGCCCAGCCAGGGGCTCGTGTTTACGGAGAGAGAGACTCGTCGAGATGGGACTCTATCCAGCCAGACGTGCGGGGTTCGAGCGCCTCGGGGGCAAGAGGCGGGTGCTGCCAGCTCTTACCTTCCCGGTCCGCCTGAAGGTGGGCTTCTTCATGGCGGGGACCCTGGGTGCGGGCCGGCGGGGCAGGAGCGGGGCCGCCCCCGCCTCGGGCTCCGGCTTGGAGGACTCCTGGTCCCTCAGGGCGGGGGCGTTCAGGACTTCCCCCGGGGGGCCTGGAACACAAAGCGCACGCTGACGCGCCTGGGCCAAGTAACCTTTAGATAATCTACATTCTGAGGGTAATTTATTGATGCAGTATATTTCCTTTATTTTTTCTCTAAAAAGGATGCTTGAGGGTTGGGGCCGTCCAGGGGAGGAGCTGTGGGCAGTTGGCTGGCCGGCCCCACCTCCTGGTTGAACTTCTGGTCGAGGGGACAATTTGCATACTAGGCTTTTATTATATAGGATTTAAAAAGAAATAAAAAAACAGCCTTGACCAGGTAGCACAGTTGGTTAGGTGTATCTCTGATACAAGGTACAATCCCATGTCATATAAGAATCAACCAATGAATATATAAATAAATGGAAAAATAAACTGATGTTTATCTCTCTCTCTCTCTCTGTCTCTTTCTCTCCCTCTCCCTCCCTTCCTCTCCCTCCCTCCCTCTCTCTCTCTCTCTCTGTCCCCCTTCCCTTCTCTCTTTAAAATCAATGAAAAAAAAATTTGATGTTTGACAAATATTTGAAAATAGATTTAAATGAAAAAGAAACCACTTGAGATGATGTTACCCTACAGCAGTGCTTCTCACCCTCTTACTTCCTGCCCTCTTTCGATGTTATTTGAAAATCCCAAGTAAGTTAAACACCCTGACTAAAAACAACTCAGTCCCTTGTACGGCAAGTGGCTTTTCAGAGGGCATGCTCTCCTCGCTCCTGAATCGTAGGGATGTGAATGTGCGGGGGGGGGGGGGGGGGGGGGGGGGGGGGGGGGGGGGGGTGTGCTCAGGTAACATATGACGGACGTGGGCTGAGGGAAGTGGCAGCAGCTGCGTGAACAGGCAGTTAAATTACCTGTGGGCTCTTTGACATCGAACTGGGAGCTGCTGATTTAAAAAGTGGGTTTTGTGTCTGGAACAGGATGTGTGCCCGAGTGCACCTTCCGCAGGATGGGTCAGTGCCTGGGGCATCAGCCTTGGCTAACATCCATTTGTCTTTCTGTCACTCTCTCCCTTAAGCACTGCTTCACAACCCTGGGATCCTCTCTATGTGCTCACTGAATTTTAAAGATATAACTTTAAATGGTAGAATTCTACAAAATGTTGCTAAGGTGGCTTCCGTTTAACCCTGCCTTTAGGAAAAAACTCTTTCCTCCTCTCGGCCCTGTTTAGTAGGCAGATGAAAAGGAGGACAGAGCCGAAACCGGTTTGGCTCAGTGGTAGAGCGTCGGCCTGCGGACTGAAAGGTCCGGGGTTCGATTCCGGTCAAGGGCATATACATTGGTTGGGGGCACATCCCCGGTAGGGGGTGTGCAAGAGGCAGCTGGTCGATGTTTCTCTCTCATCGACGTTTCTAGCTCTCTATCCCTCTCTCCTCCTCTCTGTAAAAAAATCAATAAAATATATTTAAAAAAATAAAATAAAACGCAACAAGCGACCCCCGGCGGGAGAGGCCCGGGGGCACCTACCGCCTCTGGCTTCCAGGAGACAGCGGATGGCGGCCTCCGCCTCCCGGGCGTTGGTGGTCTTGATCTGCTTGACGTTGTAAGGCTTGCTGATGCCCGTCCTGGCCTTGGGCTGGGGGCGGAGAGGAGAGAAGCACTAGGAGCACAGGAAGAAGGCAGCCTGGGCCAGCTCCCCGCCCGCTCATCTGCTCCTGAGCCATCAGCGCGACCAGCACCGTCCGCTCTGAACCGCGTCCTCAGCCCCTGCCCGGAGCCGGGCTCCCAGGTCTCCCCACCGGGGTCACCGGTGTTTGCAATGGGGACAAGCCAGCCTCTAGCCTTCTCTCCATAACCAGGGAAGAGCCAGAGCAGAGCCGGAGCCATTTCATGGCCCAGTGGAGTTATTAAAGTGCCTTCCAGATATGTTCCCTTCTGTCTCCTCACCCCGTTTAACCAGCAGGTCCCTTTGTTAACCAGCCTTTATGCCTGCAAACCCCGGACAGAGGGTAGCCAACCCCCTGCAGGGACGGCATGGCATCTGGCCCCGCCCTCTGCCCCTGTCCCGGGACCCAGCACCCAGATCTCCTCCCTCCTTCCTCGCCTTGACGCCACCCACCTCCACCCACAGTCTCTGGCAGCCCGGGCCTCCTCTGGCACTCCACCCCTCTCCCTGCACAGCTGCTGTCACTCCCAGGGCCCCTCCTGTGTTATTTAGGCCTCTTGGGCCTGGTTTAGCCTCTTCTCTCAGCTACCTTCACCCCAGCGTCATCCTAATTTTGCCCAGCAATGGATCGGAATTTCTCTCCTTTCCCTTCTGCCTCGCACTACTCTGCACACCCCGGTCCAAGCCAGGCATTGGGAGAGAGAGAAGCGGGTGAGTCTGGAGGCCAGCAATCCCCCCACACGGGACACTGGGACTTTTCATCAACGGGATCTCCCTCCCAGGCCCTGCACGGCCATTGAAAAGCCCATAAAAAACACGTGACTAAGCTATGGGGCTTTGGGGGGACCCGGTGGGCAGTTAGAGGGTTAGAGAGGCAGCAGTCGATGTGTGAGCTGGAAAGGGTGACCCGGGGTGAGACGAGGGGCCGAGGACGAACCACAGGCCAGCCCCTGGGGCCTGGCACGTTTCCATTCCACTCACCGCCTGCTGCGGCGCTCCGGGCAGCAGCCTGGCCGTCTGCAGGATGGAGTACTGGCCGTGGGTGCCGGAGATGGACACATCCGAGGCCGACTTCTTCACCATCAGACCTGCTGTGAGAACCGCCGGGCGGCCTTACTCTCAGCACCGCGGTGCTTCCGGCCACGTCGCGGGGGGCAGCGGCAGCGGGCAGCACGGGGAGCTGGGCGCGGGCACCGCGGCCACGAGGCCCATTCTCCCTGCCACGCTCCTGTGTGAACGCAGACGCTCTGGCAAAGCACGGCCTCCCTGTAACGGCTGGTTAAACGTCACCCTGACATGCCGGGGGCTCACAGGGGTGCACAGGCCGGCTGGCTTACGCACGACTGTGATGAGGACCAAACTTTTAAAAATCGAAAATAAGCCCAGAGCAGGGGAGTACTCTATGCTAACCGACACGTGCAGCCACGGACAGGCCACGTCCCGGAACAGCAGGTAATGACACGGGCATCGGGTGAAGGGAAAATGGCCAAACAAAACCGCCACCCACTTTGTAAAACACACGGAAATAAATAAGAGATCGGATGTCGATGTGCATGAGTGGAGGGGGGCTGGCAGTCTTTGGATTCACAGCTGTTCTTTCTCGGTAGTCAAGTGAAATGAAGAAATTACGTCTTTTTTATATTTATCTATGTTTACAAGTTTTCCTCGGGAATACATAGCACTTAAAATGTTGGTTTACATTTTATTTCCTGCGTATCCACTCAGAAAAGGGAAAAGCTCACCACTGGTCACTACTGCGATGTAAGCCACGTGGAACCTGATTCTGAGAAGTCTTAGCAAAATCTAGGCCTAATGGCCACAAGTTGGGGGGCTCAGGAGGTGGTAAGCAGCAAAGGGAACTCGCAACTGGTGAGAAGCATGTCCCAGCTGTGTCCGGGCAGGCACTGCGTTCGGAGGGGCTGGGAGGAGGGTGTCTGAGGCCCAGGGCAGTGACAGGGCCAGCGGGCTGGGCTCAGAAAGGAAGTCGCCTGGTGAGAGGCGGGCGTGCAGTCACCTGACAGGTCAGGGGCCTGCATTTCCTCAGGGGAGAGGGCCAGGGCCCTGGCAGTGCTGCTCAATGGTTGCAGCATCAGCTTGTGCACCAAAGGGCAGAGGCTCTCGTCCTGGTGAAAGGCCCGTAGCTGGGTCCATCCCAGCCCTGGTTGGGGGGTGTGGAGGCTCCAATCGGTGTGCCTCATATCAATGTTTCTCTCTCCCGCTCCCTCATTCCCTTCCACTCTCTCTAAAAATCAATGAAAAACATGTCGTCGGGTGAGGATTAGCACAGAGAGAGGGGTGGTGTGTGTGTGTGTGTGCGCGTGTGGCAGCACTCAAGGGGAGAAGATTCTGGAAGACGCTGTGGGGCTGGGGAGAAGCTGAAAAGCCCCGCTCTGGGCTGAGGCCCCGGTTTCCCATTCTCCACGGAAGCAGCTAGAAGCAGCCACAGGGGGCCCGGGCCAGTCTCCCAAAGGATCGCCAACTCTGAGAGGAACCCAGCTGCACCTCCCGTATCAAATGTCACGGATTTAAGACAAAAAGAGGCCCAAGGAGGGCAGAGGGCAGAGTGCAGAGGGCAGAGTGCAGGGTGCAGAGGCAGGTGCATGTGGGCAGGGTGCAGAGGCAGGTGCATGTGGGCAGGGTGCAGAGGCAGGTGCGTGTGGGCAGGGTGCAGAGGCAGGTGCATGTGGGCAGGGTGCAGAGGGCAGAGACAGAGGGCAGGGTGCAGAGGGCAGAGACAGAGGGCAGAGTGCAGAGGGCAGAGTGCAGAGTGCAGAGGGCAGAGGGCAGAGACTGAGGGCAGGGTGCAGAGGCAGGTGCATGTGGGCAGGGTGCAGAGGCAGGTGCATGTGGCCGGAGGCGGGCAGGTGACGCAGCCGCTGGTGCGGAGCGGAGCGGGAGCGGGAGCGGGGCGGGAGCGTGCCAGCCAGCAGGCGGAGCCCGCAGCGGTCTTACTTGGCGGGGGCGGCCTCTGCGGCGGCCGGGGCGGCCGGGGCCGGTTGGGAACCGACAGAGACCTGCTCGGAGCGCGGAGGCGGTCCCCCGCGGCTTCCAGCTCCTGCGTTAGCTCCGCCAGGGCGCCGTCATCTGGAGGACACGCGGGGCGGGAGGAGGGAGGTGAGCGGTGGGGCACAGGCGTGCGGAGCCACCTGGGGCGGAGTGTCCCCCTGGCGGCTGGCACGGGAGGGCAGGACCCAGTGCCTGCGGGGAGCACTCAGGGACCTGGACCAGCCTCGTCCAGGCGGGGGAGACACCAGAGACGGAAGAGCACAGAGAGGTGTGTTTCCTTCCCGCACCGAGCAGAGGCGGCAGCGGGAGGCCGAGCCTCCTAAGCCCGCACGCTGCACACACACGGACTGCGAGACCCCGAGAGCCATGCTCGTCCTGCAGCCGCAGCCCCGCATGGGGTGTCCGGGCACTCAGCTCCCAGACACCGAGCCAGGGCCCGCGACTTCACCAACAGCCCCACCCAGACCCCCTAGCCCAGTGGTCGGCAAACTCATTAGTCCACAGAGCCAAACATCCACAGTACAATGATTGAAATTTCTTTTCAGAGCCAAAAACCGACTTCTGCGCACGGGCCACGAAGTTTCAATCACACTGTACGTGCACGCCCGCACGTGGTATTTTGTGGAAGAGCCACACTCAAGGGGCCAAAGAGCCATATGTGGCTCGAGAGCCGCAATTTGCCGACCACTGACCCAGCCCAAGCCTTCCAAGGCTCAGAGCAGCATGAGGAAGTGCCGCTCATGTTTCATTCCATGTATGTATCATGTGTGAACAAGAGCAAGGTCAGGTCTTCTCTCACACTGCAGCACAGCCCGGTCTGTTTCACTTTGGCTCCCACACCCCCTCCCTCCAGTCCACGTGGATGCCCACCAGGTGGCTGGGCAGCCCACATGGCCCGCTGCTCTAGTCTTCATTCCAAGAGGCACCTGGCTCTGGCCACTTTGGCTCAGTGGATAGAGCGTCGGCCTGTGGACTGAAGGTCCCGGGTTTGAGTCCAGATCAGGGCACATGCCCGGGTTGTGGGCTCAATCCCCAGTGGGAGGTGAGCAGAAGGCAGACGATCAATGATTCTCTCTCATCATTGATGTTTCTCTCTCTCCCCCTCTGCCTTCCTCTCTGAAATCAAGAAAAAATTTTTTAAAAAAAGTATTCAAGAGTCAACTATACTACCGTGTTTCCCCGAAAATAAGACATCCTTCGAAAATAAGACCTAGCACATGGAAAGATAAGACATCCCCTGAAAATAAGACCTAGCGCGACTTTGGGAGAAAAAATTAATATAAGACACTGTCTTATTTTCGGGGAAACAGGGTATATAATCTGGGGACTTGCAGTTCAATCCACATGCCTTTCAGTCAGTGGTGATCTGATGATGCTAATGTTGATATCATTAATTACGTATACGTATACATATATATGTAACTATGTAATGTATAAAATTGTTACTATATAATATCACGCTATAAAAAAACAAAAACAGGCCATCAGCTTAGCACAGATATTAAACATGCCTCTTACAGGACTGAATCAGAAAAGTTTTGGAGAGGGGGAAAAAAAAAATCAAATGTAAAATCAGTTCAGAGCTGTGCTGTTGGAACACACAGGATAAATGGGAATTATCCTGAATGTGGGATGTTAAAGGGGCAGCAAACACTGTAAGACACAAATCACTGGAGAAAAGCAGCGTGCAGCAGCTGCCACCTCCCCGGAGCCCGTGCCCGTCGCTCGCGGTGAGCCCTCCAGGGCGGCGCCCCTGAGTGTGGCAGCACGCCGATGTGCCGAGATGAGACCCCGTGCCCGGGCTGTTAGGAGGGAGAGGCCCCGCTACCTCTGTAGGTCGGGTGCTGCTTCTTTTTGGGGAGCGCAGGCGACTTGCTGGGGGGGGCCGCCGTGGAGCCCGGGGCATCGGAGGGGTCGTCCCCGCCCAGCTCGCTGTCGGAGACCACGGGCTGGCTCAGCTCATCCAGGTAGTCTTCGTCCTCTTCCAGAATGTCCCCTGGGAACACGGGAGCCACAGACGGTCAGGGTGGGGGGGCCGGTCTCGGCACCAAGGCCCACAGTGGGTGCCAGGACCCTGGGCCCACATGACCCCAGGACGGGAGCCGGAGTCCGTTCACGCCTGGGACGGGACCACACCGAAGCCCTGACACCCTCACAGCCACTGCTTTCCAGGGAAGCCTCGACGTCTCGGGTCCCGGCGGCCGTTCCACGCATCCTCCCGCACACGCGTGCTGCCCGGAGCCGGGTCTGTCCCGAGGCCACCGCTGGGAGTGCGCCCGCTGCCCGCCTGCCGGCCGCTCACCCTCGCACTCGTAGTCGGAGCTGGTGAGGTCGAAGCCCTCCTCCAGCAGGCAGGAGTTGGCGGTGGGCGACACGGGGGCCAGGCTTCCCCGCTTCCGCAGGAGCTCGGCCTGCAGCCCCTTCAGCCAGTCCTTGGTCTTCGGGCGGATCTGCACGGCCCTGCCCTTCACCTGCGGGGACAGCGCCCGGTGAGCGCCCCACGCCCAGGCCGGCCGGGGCCGTGCCTCCCGCTCCCACCCTGTGCCGAGCCGGCCGGCCGCACGGCGGGTCCTGGCCTCGGCAGGCTCGCTCCGGGTCTCAGCAGAAGGCAGACCAGCATCCTCAGCTTTTCGTTCCCAGCGAATTCGAAATCGTCAAAATGGAAAACGCCTGCGCTGCCAATCCCAAAGCGCAGGCTCTGAGGTGGGAACCCTGTTCCCGCCACGGGCCGGTGGATGTTTGTACAATAGTATTGTTTGCAGACCATGCAAGATGACCAGCTTACACATCAGCCTGCTGTGTTTGGTCACACATTGAATTAACTCACCCCTAACGCCTGGGCAGGGCCAGGCCGAAGGATTTTGTGTGTGTGTATATATATATATATATTTTTTTTTTTTAATTGATTTTTTTACAGAGAGGAAGCAAGAGGGATAGAGAGTTTGAAACATCAACGAAAGAGAAACATTGATCAGCTGCCTCCTGCATACCCTCTCACTGGGGATGTGCCCGCAACCAAGGTACATGGCCTGGACCAGAATCGAACCTGGGACTCTTCAGTCTGCAGGCCAATGCTCTATCCACTGAGCCAGACCAGTTAGGGCAAATGGTTTCTTTTTACACGGCCCTGGGACCAGACGTTCCCCACCCCTCCTCTCAATAGACAAGAGAGCAACACTCCCCTACAGAGGCGTGACCAGATAGACCCAGGAACCCGGCGGGAAAGAGACTCCAAAACCTTTCTCCCAAATTCTGCACGTGGCCCGGGCTGGCCATCAGACGCCTCAGCAAAGTGCCAGGAGGAGATGCCGGTGAAGGGTCGTGGCCTCTGCCCGCGCACAGAGCCGACACCTAAGGCACGGCGAGGAGAGGGGGCGCGGGACCGAGGACGCCCGGGACACGCAGACTCACCTTCATGCCGTCCACGTCCAGGACGCTGAGAGCCGAGTGGCTGTCCGCGAACGTCACCAGCATCTGCCCCTGGTTGATCCTGGAATAAAGGAAACGGCCCCGTCAACCCCGAGCGCCTCGCAGCCCCCGCAGCCCAGATGCCAGCCCAGCGGAGCCCGGATGCTGGCCCAGCGGCCCGGATGCCGGCCCCGCGGAGCCCGGATGCTGGCCCAGCGGCCCGGATGCCACCCCCGCGGAGCCCGGATACCATCCCCTCGGCCCGGATGCCAGCCCAGCGGAGCCCGGACGCCGGCCCAGCGGAGCCCAGATGCCAGCCCAGCGGCCCAGATGCCGGCCCATTGGAGCCCGGATGCCACCCCCGCGGAGCCCGGACGCCACCCCCGCGGAGCCCGCGGGCGGGCGGCGGGCGGGGACACCTGACGAGGACGACCGTCCCGTAGCTCTCCAGCGTCCGCATGAGCTCGGCGCGCACGTCCTCGGGGAAGTCCCCCTCCTCGGCGGAGGGCGGCTGCAGGTTGACGACCACGGTGGCGTCCAGGGGGCCCTGGAAAGAGGACACTTCCTGGAACACCCGCTCCCGGGCCCCCGCGTCGACTTCCTGGACTTCCACCTCCACGATGGCCAGCACGGGTCTGCGAGACACGAGGGAGACGCGGCCGTGAGCCCGGCCGAGGCCACACGGCGCCCGTGCCCAGGGCCCCGCGGACGGACACCGCCCTGCGGCCCCCGGGCTGCCCGGGGCCTCCGTCCCCCTGGGTCTCAGCGAGCAGCCGGTGCCCGCGGCCGCGAGGGCCGTACCTGTGATCGGACGCCTGCAGCTCCGCGCGGCCGTAGTACTTGAGGGACCCGGGGGACCAGGTGTGTCTGACCTTGGTGTCCGCGTCGAGGTCGCTGTCTAGAAGGTTGAGCTCCCCAGCTGCTCACGGGTGCCAATCCAGAGACCCACAGACAGACGACAGCTCGGTGTCAACATACACGGGCGCCGAACACAGACCCGGCCACAGGGCGGACCCACGTGTCAGACTCCTTCGCTCTGACCCCTGGTCCCCTGTGGAGTGTCCAGCCCCGCCCGCCCGCCCCCTCCCCAGGGGGCACAGAGAGGCGGGGAAGAGACAGGGAAATCACACTGTGGGGCTTCCGTGCAGGGCGCAGGGTCCGGCTCTGCAGCCCTCTGCATGGCAGGAGGTGCCAGGCCACGGCTGGGGCCACCAGGTGCCCCACGTGGATCTGAACTAAATGCGTCTTTCAATCTGCAGGTGTGACCACTTCGTGGCTCTGCAATCCCAGCAAGTGTCTCACCAGAGAAGTTCAGTTGTTCATGTACCAGTTTACAGACAGATGACCTAATTTTACTTTATCTTATTGTTTTTTAAACGTTTAACTTATTTGAAAATGATTTCAGAATTATATAAAAGTTCAAGGAACACCATCCATCCTTTTCCCGGGTTCCGTTCGCTCCATTTGCTTTTTTTTTTTTTTTTTTTAATTATCTTTATTGTTGAAAGTATTATAGATGTCCCCCTCTCTTTCCCATTGCCCCCTCCCACCCACTCCTGGGGGGTTGTTAAGGAAACGCTCCTTCTGTGCCCGCGCCCCGCCCCCGCCCCCGCCCGGCGGCCGCAGCGCCCCCGCACCCGTGCGGTCGAAGGGGTGCCTCTTCCTCCACCACAGCACCCTGTCCGTCCAGGCGGGCGTGCGGCACTTGTCACTCGTGTCGTAGGCGGCGGAGCCCACGTCGTACTTGTAGGTGGGAGCGAAGTCAATGCTGCCCTCGTGGAAGTCTTTGAAAATCTGGCGGGAGGAAAGGAAGCCATGTGCTCCCCGCGGCCCCCTGTTCCTAAGTCCCAGGACCCAGGTCACATTCACAGATAGGGCCCAAACGGGGCGTGTGTGTGCCTTCTAATCAGCAAAGCCGGGTGACTGTCTGTCCGTCCACCTGTCTGACTCACTGCCTCTGGGGCACCCCGCCCCGGACACCGGCCCATCACTCCGTCTGCTGGCTGGCCCCGCAGACAGTGAGGGGCACGAGCAAGGAGGCCTGGGGGGCCCCGCCCACCCCGCACAGCCGTGAGCGAAGCCTGTTCACGACACGCAGTGTGTGACAGCCCCGACCGAAGGTGAGTCCTCCTCTCCCTCCAGCACCAGGTCCAGCCGTGGTTCCGGGGAGGCCCAGGAACAGCCGCCTGCTCAGTGCACGAGGGGAGGGTGCAAGAACACGGGCCCAGGGGGAGCAGGACGTGTGTGTGTGTGTGTGTGTGTGTGTGTGTGTGTGTGTGAACCGACGATGACACCCATTTCCTACAATGTTTCACGATCCTTTTTAATCTATTCCTGGAACTTAACCTGCAGACGCGAGCCCTCACATCTACATGTTACTCCCTCCTGCAGCAGCTGCCCAAACGGCTATAAAGCACGACTCACCTTCCCACTGGACTTCTGCAGGCGCAGCTGATCGAACTCCAGAAGTTTCTTCCAGTCTTGGCGCTTGACAAAATAGAAGACTTCTTCATACGTGAGGTCGATGCGGTAGTTTAAGTCGCCACACCAGAACACGTAGTCATGAGAGAAAATGTTCCTTCCCTAAACGAGAGGAAAATCACATCATTCAGGCCCAGCTTCCAGGGGAGGAGGGAGGGGCAGGGAAGCCCCCCCGCAGGCGACGAGCAGACGCATTTTCTTAAACATTTCTTTAAAAAAGTCTAATGTGAACGCATCTTACGTTTCATCCATCCCCGAGGCCTACTGGGGAGCTTCTACAAGGCTTGCTTTTTGTTTTCAATAATCGTGCTTTTGAGTGGTTTGGAGAAATGCCCCACTCTTCCCCGCGGCATGGCTGCCAACATCTGCTCTGCTGACCCCCCATGGGCAGACCGAGCTGCTGCCTCTATATCCAGACCCTAAGAGCCGCCCAAACATCGTGCTGTGAGGATGAGGTGCAAGGAAATAAGTAAAATTGCACAGGACGCGCAACTTCCTAAAGCTTCAGAGATTTCAAACTTTTCTCATTTTTCTCTTGTAAATCCTCACCCGAGGATATTTTTCCATTGATTTTTAGGGAGAGTGGGGGAGAGAGGGAAAGACAGAAACAATGATGTGAGAGAAACACATCGATTGATTGTCTCTTACACACACCCTGACCAGGATCCAGGCTGGGGAGAAGCCTGCAACCAAGGTACGTGCCCTAGACCACCATCGAACCCGGGACCCTTTGGTCCGCAGGCTGACGCTCTATCCACTGAGCCACACCGGCCTTTCCTGACGAGTTACTCAGCTCTGGCTCAGAGGTTTTCTCGCCTCCACTGCACCAGCCGAGGCCGCCCCTCCCCCAGCACAGGGACCACAGGGCAGGATTCCATACATTTTCATCTGTGACCCTCCTCCCCATCTCGCCCAGTCCCTCGGGCCTGGCAGCTCGGTCCCTCGCCCTCCCTTCCCGCAGGAATCACGGTGAGAGCGGCCGCTTCCTGTCACCTGTCTCGGGCGGGGCTCTGTCCCGGCACCCCTCACGCAGCCCCTGAGGCACACCTTGCCCGCTCCTCTTCCAGGTAAAAAAAATTCAGGAAAACTGGCTGAAGGCTACACAACCAGTGTGTGATAAAGACAAGATCTGAACGTGGCTCCCACATTTGTTTCTGTTCTGCTACACCCCAACCCCCAGCATTTGTCTGGGCAGGAGATTAAAATGACCAGGACCACAGACAGTGAGTGCTAGAGCAGGCTCTCCAGAAGCTTCTGTGGTGACGGACGCGGCCCTGCCCGCGCTGTCCAAGCCGGGACCGCCAGCCGCTGCAGCCACGGAGCACTTGCAATGTGGCCAGCACAACCGAGGGAGTTTTGTTCAGTTTTAATTAATTTCCATTTAAATAGCTGTTATGTGGCTAGTAACTCCTTTACGGGACAATGCAGGTGTAGAATACCAACTTCTAGGTACCTTCATTACTTCCACTGCTGAAAAGGGAGCTACCTATCTTTTAATTACTTAGAATGTGTCCTTCCAATAGGTCGAGGGACAAGGTTCGACCTTTTAAATTACACAGACACACGAGGAAGATAATGCCCTACAGAGTCTGGAAAATGACAAAGCGCCAATTTCCCAACTCTTCTGTTTCCTCTTTAACCCAAGAACCAGGACGCCGAGGCCTCCCGCCTCGCCGGCCTGTGCCGCCTGGTAAAGGAGGCGCCGTCTCCGGGCCTGGCCTCCCTGTGACGCGCTCGGGACCTGCGGAACGTGGCGCGGACACTGGGATCACAGCTGAGGTCGCCCCTCCCGCCGGGACACAGGTGGCTCGCAGCAGGCTGACGGTGCGCGGCCAGGTTGGCACTGAACGTTCAAAGCTGAAATGGGAGGCAAATCTGCGGCCTCAGAACGAAAAGCTCCGGGTCACCACTAGAGGGCAGCGCGGCCCTGTGACGGGACGGGCCACCCAGGGCTCCTGAGTCAGACATTCCCTGGCTTTGAAAACGGCCTTCTCATCTGAGCCGCCACGGAATCTATGTGCCGAGACTGAATCTCAGGAAGACAGCCTTGTGCTCGGACACAGGGCAGACGCATTGCTTTTCCTTCCCATTCCACACGCTTGAATCAGAAAACCGGGAAACGCACGTAAGAACACACAGGGTAGGTGAGACTTCACAGAGACGTGTGAAGACGAGCGTGGTCCCTCCAGGCTGGACGCCCGGCTCGCCTCCACTGCACCAGCCGAGGCCGCCCCTCCCCAGCACAGGGACCACGGCAGGGACTCTGCGCTGGTGCGTCCCCTGTGCCTGCCCCCGTTCTCAGCTCAGAAACCCGCCCGCGGGGGCCTGCGCAGGGAGGCCAGGGCCTGCCCCACCTCCTGGCCGCCCCTCGCCGGCCGCGGGCCGCCCTGCGCCCTCACCGTGGGGAAGCTGAGCTTCTGGGTGATCTCCCGGTAGTCCTCGTTCCGCTCCTTCACCTGCGACTGCCCGGCCGTCAGGTGGCTGCACACGAAGCAGAGGCTGGTGCTGTGGAACTGGAAGCGGATGCCCACGGCGCCCTTGTTGCCCGCCTTCCCGCCCATGCCCGTCTTCACCGTGTCGATGGCCACGTCCCTGCAACGGAAGGGGCACAGGCGGGCTTCTCAGGGGCTTCGGGGAAGAGCATCAACCTGTCTGGCTACAGAGGAGAGCCGGGCCGCAGCCGAGGCCGCAGCCAAGAACGCCAAAACCGCCGGCTCGGAGCCGCTGAGTCCCATCTGCAGACGCCGAGCCACACGGCGACCAGCGCGCCCACCATCAACCCCGCTGCCCCGCCCCCGCCCGCCCCGGCAGCCGCCCCGTGGGCTGGGAGCGCCTCTTCCACGGCCCCAACTCTCAAGGGCTCGGCACCCACAAAAGCACCCACAAAGCGCCCTGAGGCTGACACCTCCACCCCGGCCTCCTGACAGCTGCCGGCAGGGCCGGCGCCACCCGCCGCCCACCGGCTCTCCCGAGGAGCCGCCGGGGAGCAGCGTGCTGAGGAGCAGGGAGCACCCGGGGACGTGCCGGGCCCCGTAGGGGGTTCAATGTGGACTCCTGACCGCCTTAAAGCGCCAACTCACAGTGCACACGAGCGGCTGTGAGCCGACAGACCGAGGCCCACACCTGCTGCGGAGGCTTTCTGCCCACGTGGCTCCGATTTTTTAAAATTCTTTTAAGAGGCAAAGAATTGGCCTTTCCTGACGAGTTACTCAGCTCTGGCTCAGAGGTTTTCCCGTCTAGAATGTCAACAAGGCGCCCGGCCCTGCCCCTGCGCTGAGCTGAGCGTGGGTGACGCAGGACTCCCACAGGGGCCCAGCTTCCCACGCGCTGGCCCCACTGTGGCCGGCTCCCTGGCAGACAATGTCCTATTCAGCCTGGTTTCTTCCCGGGGGTTCGCGTCCATTTACCGGGAATAATGGCAGGACGAGAGGAAGCCAGAACAAAGCTCCGTGTGTGTGTGTGTGTGTGTGTGTGTGTGTGTGTGTCCCCACGGTGCTCCGAAACGCCAGTCCTCACCTGATGAACGGCACGTGGTACGGACGGACGAAGATGTAGAGACAGACGCCCACCAGCTGTGCCGAGGTCAGGAGGATGTACCTGTGGCTGCGCGAGATGGCCTTCTGCAGCTGCTCGCCCCACATCTTCCTGTTGGTGGTGCTGGGAGAGGACAGAGGACAGAGGCTGGTCACCGTTGCTGGCCCTAGGCTCTCTCCCTCCAGCAGGATCCTTTACACGCGTGACAGATGGCCCGTGGCCCTGGGCCTGCCCGGACACCCTCCGGCAGTGTCCGTCTCTCTCCCGCACCCCGGCGCCCACAGCTCACCTGGCGTTGACGATATTCCCCGCGCTCAGTTCCACCATCTCTTCAAACCCCACAGCGAATATGTCCGCCGGGCTGCTGTCATCTGGGGGCAGGAGACGAAGGACGTCAGAGCCACCATGGCCAGCGTCAGCGCCATCGTGGGGCGCCACACTGGCCTGCGAGTGCAGGTACCCCTGTCCAGGGGCACTCATCCAGCCCACTGGGCGGAGCTCCGCACACGCGGACTCTGCAGACGCCGAGCCACACGGCGACCAGCGCGCCCACCATCAACCCGCTGCCCCGCCCCCGCCCGCCCCGGCAGCCGCCCCATGGGCTGGGAGCGCCTCTTCCACGGCCCCAACTCTCAAGGGCTCGGCACCCACAAAAGCACCCACAAAGCGCCCTGAGGCCGACATCTTCACCCCGGCCTCCTGACCGCTGCCGGCAGGGCTGGCGCCACCCGCCGCCCGCCTGCTCTCCCGCCAAGCTCCGAGGAGCCTCCGGGAAGCAGTGTGCTGAGAGGACGGAGAGGAAGCCAGAACAAAGCTCCGTGTGTGTGTGTGTGTGTGTGTGTGTGTGTGTGTGTCCCCATGGTGCTCCGAAACGCCAGTCCTCACTGGCACGTGGTACGGACAGACGGACGAAGATGTAGAGACAGACGCCCCACTGGACGGACACTCCCGGAGGGTGTCCGGGCAGGCCCAGGGCCACGGGCCATCTGTCACGCGTGTAAAGGATCCTGCTGGAGGGAGAGCGCCTAGGGCCAGCAACGGTGACCAGCCTCTGTCCTCTGTCCTCTCCCAGCACCACCAACAGGAAGATGTGGGGCGAGCAGCTGCAGAAGGCCATCTCGCGCAGCCACAGGTACACCCTCCTGACCTCGGCACAGCTGGTGGGCGTCTGTCTCTACATCTTCGTCCGTCCGTACCGCGTGCCGTTCATCAGGTGAGGACTGGCGTTTTGGAGCACCTCCTCCCCCCACGTGCAGGTGGCCCTCTCGTCTGCATCCTGGGCAGGTGCCTGCCCCTCCCTGTGCCTCACACCTTCTCCCCCGCCAGGCCCAGGTTCCCAGGGGCAAACACCATCTCATGTCTGGGCCCCACAGTGCTTTTCTGCGCTGGGCCCAGTCCTCCCCGGGGAGTGACCGCCCGACGTGGCCCTGGCCCCGGGGGGTGTCACACCCGAGGCCAGAGGGGAAGCTGTCTCGGAGCTTGCGCCAAGGAAATGAACGCCTGGCTCACAGGAAGCACACAGGGGGAGGGTGTTAGGCCTGCGGCCCCCGGGTCCCTTGGACAGGAAGCTCAGGGTTCCGTGCCATCCTGCAGCCACCGGCTGCCTCTCTCCATCTCGTCCCTCTGACACTGTGTCCTGGCCAGGAAGCCGGTGGCTCTCGAGCTGCAGCCAGTGACCCCTCCCCCTCCTCCCTGACTCCATCCGAACGGCCAGTGTCCACGGCTTCCTGTCGTCCACACAGGACAGCTGGACCCTCCGGCTTCACTGGCTTAGAGTCTCTTTTCTTTCTTTAAAGAAAAAAAGCACTGTTCCTCTGATCTGCGTGGCAACAGCCACAACTCCCCCCCTCTCCTGAAGGTGGCGACTTTTAGTGGGAGCCCCGGTGCACCCTCTGACCCCTTACAACCCCGCACAGTAAGAGGCAGGGAGCTGCCAGCACCTGCCTGCTCCTGCAGACAAGTGAAGAGAGCCATTTCAGCAGAAGGGGCTCAGAGTCACCGGGCTTGTGCCTTACAGGGCCTGCCTGGGGCAGGGGGGCGGGCATGCAGAATGGTCACCACACACACCAGAGTCCCAGTGACCCCAAACGGCAGAGGAGAGCTCCCCGCGGGCTCACCCTGGGGCTCGGGGTCGGAGAGCCGGGGCGAGTCCAGCAGCCACTCGGCGAGCTCGGCGGTGCCCAGCAGGTTGGTGCGGAACTGCTTCCCGCCGTTCACGTTCCAGGTGCCCATGGCGACGCGCACACGCTTGTGGTGTGTGAACTCCGCCTGGCGCTCCGCCATGGCCCGCAGGATCCGGGGCGTCACTGCGGGGGGCACGCGGGCACGTCGGTCTGCACCCCGCCAGCCCGCCCTCCCGGCCGCGGACGGCTCTGTCCGCGAGGGGGCCCTCTCCTGCCTGCCGTGTGGCCGCACGCGGCAGAGCATCTCGTGAGCGTGGGAAGCAGCTACGTCACGGCCACACGCCCCGCCGCCCGCCCCCTGGGCCGCCACGAGGGTAGGAGGGCTGGCTGGCACCCCACACGCCCCCGTACCCAGCAGCGCCGTGTTGTCCAGCAGCATCCGTCCCTTGTCGGCCGCCTCCTCCGTGTACACGTCCCCGACCAGCAGCAGCCTGATGGCCTCCTGCTTCACGCCGTCGAAGAAGTTGGACTGGATGGTGCGGGACACGGACCGGGCCCCGTCCTTCAGCTTCCCCACCTGCTGGGAGCGGGACCACGGGCGGTGAGGGGCACCCCCCGCCGCCCCCGCCCCTCCCCGCCCGCACCCCTCCCCGCGGCCTGCCCACCTTGGCCTTGCCCTCCAGGGCGCGGCTGCCCGTGAACATCTTGCTCAGGCTGTGCCCGTTCAGGGACCACATGGCTCTGAAGGACTCCACGAAGCGGTCGGCGATGGGCTTGGAGTTCAGCCCGAGGCTCCTGAGCTGCAGGTGAAGGACCTGGGGAGGTGGGGACAGGGTCGTCGGCTTCCGCCCGGGAGCTGCCCCAGCCACCCGCTCCCTTCACCATGGACCGCCTGTCCGGCAGGCCACCCATCCCTCTGCCCCTCCAGAGGACGAGGGGACCCTGAGCAAGGAATGGGGCCTGCACCACAACTGCCCCCACTACCACCCTCCCAGCCTCCTCTGACCCCGTACAGCGGAGGTCCCTGCCCCGCCACCGGGGGGTGCCCAGCGAGCAGGGCAGTTGGCCTGGAGCCAGGAGAGAGCACGCAGTCACAGGAACAGACTGTTCCCTCCGAGGCCTCTAGCCGGCCTCCTCGCACAGCCCCTGCCCGCCTCTGCGCGGCAGTGGGCTCACAATACTCCTGGCACCTGGGCCACCACGTCTGAGAAGCCTGACATGGGCCTGACGGGTCAGAGGCCGGCCAGCCCCGCGGAAAACCTCGGCAGGTGCCTAGCACACCCCGACCCCTCCCCACAGTGACAGAGAGCCCGCGAAGGCGCTGGCCGGCTGCCCGCGAAGGCACGGACACGGCGGAGGCCAGAGGCCGGGGCAGGACAGACCTCGAGCGCAATGAAGCTCTGCACCGTGTTGGTTCGGTCCAGGCAGTCGAGACAGTTCATCCGCAGAGTGCCTTTCTGGAAACTGAGGCAGGCAGAGAGAAATGGTTACGTGCTGTCAGACGGAGCAATGGTGCAGCACCGCGGCCTCTGTGTGACACAGGCCCCCAAAATGCAGCCCCTCGGAGCTCTCAGGACCTCAGAGCACACGCTCAGCAGTCCGCACACCCGGGGCATCCTTTTTTTTTTTTAAATATATTTTATTGAGTTTTTTACAGAGAGGAAAGAAGAGGGAGAAGGAGAGAGAGCTAGAAACATCGATGAGAGAGAAACATCAATCAGCTGCCTCCTGCACACTCCCTACTGGGGATGTGCCCGCAACCAAGGTACATGCCCTTGACCGGAATCGAACCTGGGACCCTTCAGTCCGCTGGCTGATGCTCTATCCACTGAGCCAAAGCGGTTAGGGCCCAGGTCATTCTAAACACTCAGGAAGTGGCCGTGAACTATCGGTGAACCACTAGCCCACGAGCAAACGCTGAGCCCCTGCTCGCGGGAGATAGCTCCCGAGCCTCTGGCCACGCCTTTCCCCCGCCCACTCCGCCTGCAGCCTGTGCCACGGGCTCCGCTGGCAGAGACGCCTTATTTAGTCTGTGCTTTCCTCAGCCCGGAGCTCAGCTCTTCCAGCTGCCCGAAGCCTCCTGAGCTCTCCGTTAGTCACGTCACATCCCCCCTGTGCCGAGTGAGGGTCCCTGGACGGCACTGAGCGCCATATTTGGGGCCGTTTATCCAACGGTGACATCGCCAACCCAGTGCACAAAAATGTGAAGCCGGGGCACTAACGAGACGGCAGCGGGAGAGCGGAACCGAGGGCAGAGCCCGGGGGAACACACCGCCGGCCGGCGGCTCAGGCTCTCCCCGAGGAGCTGCCTGTGAACGCTGGAGTGTGGGTTTGGGGTCACAGGTTTGGCATCACTGCGGGAGGCAACGCAGGGCACATCTGTCTGCACGCCCAGGGGGAGCAATGGGGATCAGCCGTATTGTGACTGGAGGACACTGGACTTCCTTCTTCCGCTCAGCTGAGCAGCAGAACCCGCACCTGTTTCCGTGGGCAATTGGGGTTATGCCAGCCACCCCTTCGCCCTCGGGCTCTCTCCTCTGGCTGGAGAAGTCATACGATTACATGGCTCCCTTTGTAGCCTGGTCGCCTTTATTGGCAAATTTAATGTGCTTCCCTATCTCCCACAACATTCAAAAGCATGTTCTGCCTAAACCGGTGTGGCAAAAATGGATAGAGCATCGCTTGGGGACTGAGAGATCCTGGGTTTGATTCCGGTCAAGGGCATGTACCTTGGTTGCGGGCACATCCCCAGTGGGGGGTGTGCAAGAGGCAGCTGATTGATGACTCTCTCTCATCGATGTTTCTAGCTCTCTATCTCTCTCCCTTCCTCTCTGTACAAAATCAATAAAAATATATATTTTTTTTTTTTTTTAAAAAAAGCATGTTCTGATGGCGAGAGGGGCAGGAGAGGCTGGAACCCAGGGACCAGAAAACTGAGCCTGGCGAGTGGTGGGCAGGCACACAGCCGGGAGAGTCCAGCCCCCTGCGGCCTGGCCCAGCGGACTCCGGCGGGGACTCGCCGTGGGCCTGGCCCCGGGAGGGCGGGCGGGGACTCACCGTGGGCCTGGCCCAGCGGAGGGCGGGGACTCACCGTGGGCCTGGCCCCGGGAGGGAGGGCGGGGACTCACCGTGGGCCTGGCCCAGCGGCGGGCGGCGGGGACTCACCGTGGGCCTGGCCCAGCGGCGGGCGGCGGGGACTCACCGTGGGCTCACGCGCTCGCCCCTGGTGAACACGCCCAGGTCGTCCCAGTGGAGCTGCAGCTGCGGCCTCAGCAGGTTCTCCAGTTTCTCCAGCCTCCGGCCCCTGGCAAACTGGTGGAAGTCGAAGTTTATCATAGGCGTGTCGCCGGCATGGCAGGAGGCCCAGAGCAGCTTCTGGAGGGGGAGAGGGAGGAGTGAGAGTGCGGGGGGGCCGGGGGCGACTCCGGCAGCAAACCTCTCCCGGCTGAATCCGGGCGGCGGACCCATCACTCACTGGAGCACGCGGCCCGGACCCTGCGAGGGAAGCACGCAGCCGGCCCACGGACCCACAGAGCATCCTGCCTACAGAAGGCCCGCCTGGGGCCGATGGCAGCCCGGCCAGGTGAGGCTGCGGAGGAAGCGCCCCCAGGCCTGCTCCGGCACCGCCTCTGCGGGGCTCTCCGAGGGCCGGAGGGAAGGACCACTCTGTTCTTCAGGCACCAAGTGCCTCAGGCCCCCGCGGCGCCCAGCAGCCCGCAGGCTGGGAGCTCATAATCCAGCTCACGGTTGCCTGGTAACCAGCCCCATCCAGACAAGCACTGGCCTCCAGGTGGGGGCGCTCTGGAGCGGCTGGGTCTCCAAGGGCCCTCTGGGTGCTCCTGGCAGAGACTCCCCTCCCACACAGGAACCTCGCCCCCTCAGCTCTCTCTCCAGCCCCGAGAGAAGGAGACCGGGCTGCCACCCAGGGGCTGGCCTCAGGCCTCCCCACCCACGGCTTCCGGACAGGCTTGTCCTGAGATGTAAGGACCCCGAAGGACTAGTAGGACTTGCAGGTGTCTGGTCCTGTGACTCAGGGCACCGTCCACCTGTCCACCAGGAGCCAGGATGCAAACCAATGCCCGGTGCGGCCGACAAGGCAGTGCTGCCACAAAGATGAAGTCGGTGACTGTGTGTCGGGAGCAGCGCCTGTCCCTGTGGCCTGATCACCACGGGGTCGCAGGCCGGCTGCGGGACGGACCTCAGCATCGCAGAGCTGATGGGCCGCGGGAGCCGGACTCCATGGGACACTGGTCAGGTCTCCTGCGGGCGGAATGTCAGCTCTTTCCCTCCCACCTGTCCAGGAGCCTGCCCGCCCCGGCCTGGGCCACGGGCCCGCTGCCATCCTGTGCCCGTCTTGTGCCAAAGGAGCCTGTCAGCCCAAGAGGCACTTCCACCGGCCGACAGGTCGCTGGAGGCGCCTTCCCCATAACTCAAGGCTTACAGGGAAAGACATCCTTGGGCTCTTTTTTGTTCTTGCTCCCCTCCTTCCTTCTTCCTTAAAATGAGCTGCCAGGATGGGTGGAGGGGAGATGTTTCTCAATCGCGTTGCTAGTAGCAACAAACCAAACAGGAAAAGCAGGTCTGGCCAAATGAAATGGCATCTGGAAAGTCTGCTCCTCGCCCATGGCTTTCTTGAGTGAGTGAAATGGGCACCCAGCTGGGTAGCTGCCACCAGCCAGGGCAGGCCTGCCTTCACACTCTCTCCGTCTGGGCTTTTCCTGGCTTAAGTGGGGGTGTGGTGATGGGAAGGGGCTGTGGAGGTGCCCACTGCCCATTCTGGAGCTTTTCCCGTGGCAGACGGAACATACAGGAGCTCTGGGGACAGGGAGAGATGGGGCGCGGGAGGGGGTGCTGCCTCCCCTGGCCAGGTTCTTCCCCACCCTCCTGGTCCTGCCCAGGGAGGCCGCAGGGAGCCATGGGCAGCCGGACAGCTCTGAGGGGCAGCCCAAGCAAGAGTGGAAGGCTTGAAGGCACCAAGTCAGCAGGAGGAAATCAGGGAGATTTCTTGCCTTAAGCCGACCAGGAGCTCTGAAGGGTCACTCCAGGCACAGGGCCTGAGGGTGTTTACAGAAGCTGCCAGCAGCGGGCCAGACCGAGGAGGGAGGGGGAGCTCCCGCTCCCCGAGCAGGTCAGGGCTGCATGGCCGAAGCCCAGATATTCGTGCGCACACGCGTTGGCATGAGTGGCTGGGTGCATGTGTTTGTGTGCACGTGTGTGTGTGAGTGAGAGTGACTGTGTATGTGTATGTGTGTGTGGGTGTGCGTGTGTCCATCCAAGAGGGCGGAAAAGGCCCGGCTGCCCTGAGCCTCCGAGCCCCGGTGGAAGCTCAGTGGTCGGCAAACTGTAGCTCATGAGCCACATGCAGCACTTGAGCTGCAGTTTGCTGCTCTGTTGACTAATGAGTTTGCTGACCACTGCCTTAGGGGAAAACACTTAAAAAACATTTTAATAATGGAATAATCAAAACATTTTAATTACATCTTTAACCTGAAGTCAAAACTTCCGGGTAAGGGTAATGCCTTACGCAGTGGTCCGCAAACTCATGAGTCAACAGAGCGGCAAACCGATGCGGTTTGCCGAACGCTGCTCTAGAGCAAGCAAGTCAAACATGCAGCCCGCAGTCACGAGTCTGACAGGCCTGCTCTGGAGGGAATGCAGCTGGAGATGGGAGATGCTCTGTTTCGACTCAGCAAAGTCTCCAGCTCTGAGTTCAGACAAACAAAACCTCACACGCAGGAGCCCGAGCCACTAATGCTGGAACCTGGTGCGGGCTGCCCTGTGTTTCCAGCCCCCAACCCCCCAGGGAGCCTGCCTCCGAGCAGGGGCCCCTCAGACTCCCCCGTGTGCAGAAGCTGCGTTTACCTTGAAGGCTCTGTTGAGCACCTCCTCACCACCTCTGTTCCCCAGCAGGTTTACGACGACTTGCTTCCCATACTGCTCCTTCAGAAGGACCATGTGCCTGCAACAGAGCAGAGTCAGCAGGATGCGGACCGCCTTCGGGGGAGGGGATGTGGAAGGGACCTGCTGGGCACGGAGGCCCAGAGGGTGCACCTGCCCGCAAAAGGGCAGGAATAAAGCTGGCACATGAGAGGAAGGACTTTCCAGAAAGCGCCCCATTAGACCTGGAACAGCTGACCTGGCCTGCATGAACACAGCCTCAGAAATGCCATGTGCATTATCGCTGAAATTAATCTGTTCCCCTTGGTACTGTCTGTCCTCCAAACTGGACAACCTGGTACGAGAGCAGTCAACCGCAGGGTTCAGTTTTTATCTAGGAGCTGCTTTATGTATTTTTTCCATTCCTTTTTATTTAAAAATGTGTGTGTTTGTCTAAGTGAGAGAGGAAGGGAGAGAGAGAGAGCCCTCTTTCATGGCCCCCGCCGGGGACTGAGCTTGCCAATCGAGCCTGCAACCAGCATGTGCCCTGACGGGAATCAAACCAGCAACCTCTTGGATCCTGGGTCGACACTCGACCACTGAGCCACGCTGGCCAGGCTAAGAGCTGCTTTATGAGGGTCCAAACAAGGAGAAACAACCAAGTCTCAGTCTTCAGAAAATCATTTGCTTATCAGAGACCATTTTAAAAACACATATGTTGAAATATTTGAAAGAGACTCAAATGTATATCTTTTATCACCAGCTTTTCAAAAGTAACTTTACTATTTTAACAATGGCTAGAAAGGTTGAAATGCAGTGTTTAAAAAGAAACGGCATAGGAAAAAGACACAAGCAACAAGCGGATGGAAAACTGTAATCTAATAGGGTCATCTTTATACTAAATATAGAAGACCAGAAGATAATGATGTTGGAAGTGGGGGGATTTTATGTCATTTAAGCTTCTTCTCTTCTCTAAACATTTCATTACTTTCCAAATTTCTACAATGACATGTTTCTTTTATAAACAAAATTTTTTTTTAAAAAAAGTTAAGTATCACAAAAGTACCAAACCCTGTAAGGGAAAACACACACTCTGTTACTAACTTTGAGGGACGGCAGGGGGTAGAAGAATATGACTCTGAAGGGGGCCCTGCAGGTTTCTCGCTGGGAAGGGAAGGTAAGCAGGAGTCTGCAGGCAGCTTCTGTCTGGCTGAACTGCCTTTCCCAGAGCAACAGCCTGGAGGCCCCGCCCCCTCCCCGGCCCCTCCCCGTGGCCCCGCCCTCCCAGCAGCCCTTCAGAAAGAGGGACTGACAATCAGCAAACTGCGGCTTGTGAGCCACAGGTGGCTCTTTGGCCCCTGGAGTGTGGCTCTTCCACAAAACACCACCGCCTGGGCGAGTCTATCTTGAAGAAGTGGTGTTACCGTGTTTCCTCGAAAATAAGACATCCTCCGAAAATAAGACCTAGCGCATCTTTGGGAGCAAAAATTAATATAAGACACTGCCTTATTTTGGGGGAAACAGGGTAGAAGAAGTTTAAAAAATGTGGCTCTCAAAAGACATTTCAGTTGTCGTGCTGTTGATATTTGGCTCTGTGGACTAAGGAGTTTGCCCACCATTGACTGAGATGGTGGGGCCTCTCGCAGGCGGTGCTCTGTCTGTCCCTGGAGCTGTGGGCGTGAAGCCCTGGGTGAGGCTGCTGGAAGGAATGGGACGTTCGTTGGGGCCTCTGCCTAGAGAAGTGACTGTGGACAGAACAGCAGGCTCTTAGGCTTGGATCCCCGAGGGGGTGGAGAGCTGCTGCCGCAGAGCCTGAGACCATCGGAAAACACGATATTTACATGACGACTCATAACAGTAGCAAAATTACAGTTATGAAGTAGCAACAAAAATACTTTCATGGTTGGGGGTCACCACAACATGAGGAGCTGTATTAAAGGGTCGCGGCACTGGGAAGGGGAGAACCACCGCTCTAAGGGAGAGACTTGGAGTCCACACCCAGGCTCTTCCTGGCACGGGTGGCTCCATGCGTTTAGGGATTTTTTTCAACCTTCTCTGCCCATCTGCTGCTGCAGACGGCGCTCCCTGGAAAACGGGAGTTTCCCAGCTCCTCGAGGAGTCAGATTCCATCTGGCAGCTTCCTTCTCAAATTCTGGGTACAGCTGAGGGGCAGCAGTTAGACCACCGGATGTCCAGACACAAGCAGGTCTGTGCACAGCAAGAGAGGGCGGGTGGAGCGGGTCACCGTCCTGCAGAGTGAGAGCAGGCACCGCCAAGAGACAGGCTGACGCTGTCATCCAAGCTGTATGCTACTCCGAGCAGCCACAGCCCACGGCCACTGGAGACACCCCTTCGGGCATGGCGGATGGCAGGACAGCAGCGAGCAACCAGGAAAGCAAGACAGCAGAGCTCCATGGAGAGGGTCCCACCGAGAGGGTCCCACGGAGAGGACTATTCACATAGGGGAAAGGAGAGGGATTTGCTCTGGACCAAACACATTGAAGAACTGAGAAACTCAGAGATTTGGGGGCACGGCTCCGGGGGGACTATGGCACCCCATCTCGGTCTGTGAGAGAAACCTGTGACCTCACTCCCAGACACTCACTTCCAAACGGTGGCCCAGGGAGGGCGAGGGGCCAGCAGCCGTCAGGACAGACAGGCAGCTCCTCCAAGCGGGAGGGAGGGGGCACTGTCTGTCCAACTTCAGGGTGAGAGGCGTTAAAAAGAAGCCCCTGCAGCCGGAATTTTAAGTGGGGGCTGCCCGTTAAAAGACGGCCTCAGAGAGGGGTTTGGTGACCAAGTTTATCCTTAGGTTGACACACAATTTTAAAAACTGTTAGTCATTGTAAATGTTCTTAATTAAAACAAACAGCTCATGAAGATGAAGGCTTTTGGAAGGAGCCCAGCAGGCCCCTTTCCTTTGCCCCAGGCCAGCTCAGGGGGAATTTCATTTTCGCTTATATTTCCTATGAACATTTAATGCAGACCCGGGCCAGCGAAAAGAGGCCATATGCCAAGGGCAGACACATGAACAGTGCTCAGGAAAAGAGGCAAAAGCATATTCACTATCAGGTGACTAGCTCCTTCCAGGAAAAGCTGTTAGGAGGGGTCGCAGCTGGGCTGGTGTTACCAGGCGATGGGAAACAAGTGTAACGTCCCACCGAAGCTCCAGGCACAGTGATTCAAACACAAAATGACTTTCTGAAGTTCAATGACATTCGCTAAGATAATTTTTAAAATTAGTATTTAGATTAAAACAGCAGACATTCTAGGAAGCTATTAATTCTTCAAGTTCAAGTTAATAGTACAGGTTAAAGTTGCAAGCTATTTAGTGTGTTATGGTCCAATTTGTGTTTTATAACATGAACTACGTATATGCCAGCTTTTTTCTAGAACGATACATAAAAAGCAGTGAGAACTGGGAGCTAGGGTACTGCGTCGACTTCTCACTTTATACCATTCTATGTGGTGACATCAGACCTGGGAATATATTACTTTTAAAATGAACACAAACAGCTACAAATACCCTGTGATTCAGAGGAGCCCAGCTTCACCACAGGAGGAACTGATAAGATAAAATAATTCTACATCCTACCTGAGCATTTATTACTGAGCCTCAGGGAGACCTGAGCGCAGGTACAAACCTCACTTTGCATACAGGAACAAAGTAAAGGGCAAGGTCAGATGCGGGACGGACACACACACACACACACACACACACACTCTCTCTCTCTCTCTCTCCCTTCCTGCTGTCTCCTTTGTGCAGTCTGCTGGGAGGAGGTGACACGACGGCCTTACCTGTCGAAAGCAGGGGCGTTGGCTTCCAGGCCTCTGTTGAGCCTCAGATGATGTGAGCCAACCTAAAACGTAAAGAGAAATAACCTGTGACGCCTGCTGCCCTGAACCCAGAAGTGGTCCCCACTCCCTGTCTCTGGCAGCCCAGTCTCCAGCGGCCCATTCCCAGCCCCGATGTGGCTCCTCCAAACGCAGGATGGCCAGACCCGAACTCAGGTCCCTCAGCCCGAGGGGGGCTCTGAGCACAGCGCGGACCATGCCACTCAAATTCTCCCACAGACAGCGGGAACCTCCAGGGTACGACCACGAGGCTGCGACAGACCCACAAACCCCCGTGGTGAGAGGACAGCTAAGCCAACGGGAGAGACCACTGTCCCCGCATCCTCTACAGCTACGGGGCCCTCGGTGGGGCGGCCCTGACGCTTGAGTTATAGCTACCTGTTACTCAGAGCTACCTATTAGACACTGGAAGTTTAAAAACGTGAAGCTAGCGTGTGGCTGCTGCAGCCCGCTGGACGGGCTCTCTCTGAACATTTCTGGGACAATTTGAGGACAATAACGGATTGTAACCTGGACAGCAAAACGAGAATCCATGTGTCTATACCCGTGGTCGGCAAACTGCGGCTCGCAAGCCACATGCGGCTCTTTGGCCCCTTGAGTGTGGCTCTTCCACAAAATACCATGGCCTGGGTGAGTCTATTTTGAAGAAGTTGTTTAAAAAAATTTGGCTCTCAAAAGAAATTTCAATCGTTGGGCTGTTGATATTTGGCTCTGTTGACTGATGAGTTTGCCGACCACTGTCCTGGACTGTTTGTCTCCCCGTGGTTGTGTGCCCGCGTCTGGGGGCTGAGTTCCTCTGCCCTTTCCTCAGGGCTGAGGCCACCGGGCTGAGGAAAAACCATCACAGCCAGGCCCTGAGAAGCCGCTCTGCCCTGCCTCCGAGGCAAGTGGGCTCCCGTCTGTTTTCTGGATTTACAAGGAAGGCACCCGGGAAAACGGGATCCTTTCAGCCACCCTCGGAGACCCCGAGCGCTGAGACCCAAGAGCAGGGGCTGTGTCCGTCTGTCTGCCAGTCTGCCAGTCATGCAAGAAGTCTCCCCGGCCTCAGGGATACTGCGGCTGTTTTTAGACTCGTTCCCATGGGAACGCAGTGAGGGGAGGATGGAGAAACTGGCTCAAAGGCCTAGATTTTAGTTGTGACAGTTTTATTACTGAACACATCCCCCCTCCCCTCCCCCCTCGCCCAGTCACAGCCCACAGTTTCTTCGTCTAAACAGTAGAAATGTCAGTCACGATGACTGCACCAGGAGTGTCCCACCTCTGTGCTCGAAATCCCTCCCACTGTAAACACTGCCTGGATCCCACGACAAGTTGCATAACCAGCCCAGGACGGAGTTAGCGAGCGCACCCCGACACCCACGTCTACACAGCACGGGCACCATAGGAAGACCCCAAGTTCCCTGCCCTGGATGAAACCATCGGGGTTCCAGCTCATGAACAAGCCTGCAGGACAAGGAACAGGAATCTGATGGAAACGGTGCCCCTCCTTACCGAGAAAGAGCCGTGTACTGGAGGAAGATGGCACCGCAGCGGGCCAGGGCGGTGGGCCCAGCCGGGAGGCGGCAGCCCACGGCCAGGGCGCGCAGGGCCCACCCGCCAGTGACCATTCCTTCCGATGCCCCTGGCTTCTCTCTCAGCTGCCTCTGACACCCTTCCCTGTGGACAGGGCCAGGCAGGACCGCCGAGGGCATGTTCTGTCCCGACAGCACTTAGTCCAAGGTCCCTGCTGACCACAAACCCTCCTGGGGGCACTAAGAAGTCGAGGGCACTGTCCAGAGAGTGACCAGGGCAGTCAGGATCCCTGACCCCAGCAGTCCTCAAAGTGTGGTCTCTAGACCCGCAGCATCATCTGTTTAAAGGGCCGGCCAGATGACTCCTGCATGCATGGGCACGTGTCTGTGCATGTCTGCACGTGTCTGCGCATGTGCACAAGCACTGCAGTCTGAGCAGCACTGGTTTTGACTCATCTTCTCCCTCCATTCCTTTTAGCTCAGATTGCAAATGCCTGTGAGCTGAGAAGGTGGTAGGAAATGAGCAGCTGGGGGCGGTGGGGGGAGGAGCTTTGTCCATGCTTGCCCAGCCATGGGCACTGTGACCAGGCCCAGCTTACCCCTTTCCCCTTCCCTAGATATCATGGCCTCAGGCTGCATTCTCTCAGGAGGTCATCCTTCCTCCCACATTCTTTGATTCAAGCCTCACATCCTGCCTCCTCCACTCTGGTGTCAGCTGGTCCTGAGGCCGCCCGGTGTTGGGCGCCTTCGGTCGGGGCTGGAGTGAAGCCACAGTTGGAACCGACTGTGATGCTTTATTGGGCCTCCCCTCCTTCTCCATCGGCCATCCTCCTCCCCCTGGCCAGGTAGACGTTGGACAATCCCTCCTGTCTGGAGTGGCCACTTCAGTCCTACAGACCACACACCTCGGGGCAAGACCTGGAGGACACCTGGCTGTGCGAGTCAGACCTGAGTCCACGCCGGCCCCCGAGAGGGCCCCACGATCACAAAGGGCATCTGCGAATCCCCGGGCACCCCCGCCCCGCCCCCAGTTAAGGCTGCCAGCGTCTCACCTGGATCGCTGAGACTTCCCACCTGGTGTCTTCACCTTCAGTCCTCTTTCCCCAAACTAAACCCCACCTCACTTGCAGCTAATCACGTCACCCACCCCCGGAACCCTTCCGCGCAGCGGGCCAGTGAGTGCTGAGCCCTGCTCCCAGCTCACACACCAGCTCCAAGTCCAGGGACAGCACCGCGTCACCCACCCCCGGAACCCTTCCTCGCAGCGGGCCAGTGAGTGCTGAGCCCTGCTGAGCCAGTCCTCTTTCCCCAAACTAAACCCCGTCTGTGTCTGGCGCCAGGGGCTTTGCCTGCGTATCCACAGATGCTCAGTGAGTGTCTGTGGGACAAACAGATGGCCTGCTCTGGGGTGTCTGAGGCTGGGAGACGGAACAGCCCAGAAGACTTCCCTGGTGCAGCTCCTGAGAGACTGAGGCACCTGCCTGTCCGCCTCGGGGAGGAATCTCATTCTCTGGCCAGAGGCAACCAGCCCTGCAGCCTGAGCTGCCCCTCCTGGATGTCATAATTTACGTTCCTACGTTAACAGCTACCATTCCCGGGGCTTTCCAGGGTCTAGCTGCCGAGCTCAGTTCAGACTCCCAGTCCTCTCCATTACCCAGAGGTGGGTATTGTTTACTCCACACAACAGAAGAGGAAGCTGAGGCTTAGCCAAGATAAGAACTTCTCTACTGTTTTTGAGATAAGAACTTCTAGTTTGAAATGAGAACATTTTTTGAGATAATATTTTTGAGATAAGTACATTCTTCTGTGATAAGAACTTTTTTCTTTTTTCTTTTTTTGAGATTAGAACTTTTCACAAAGGTATGATTCCCCATGGACATACACAGTGTGGTGATTCCCAGCGGAAAGGGAGGAGGGTAAAGAGTAAAGGGGGATAAATGGTGATGGGAGGAGGCTGACTTGGGAAGGTCAGCATACAGTACAGATGCCTTTAGGTATGGTATACATGAAACCTATATACTTCTATCCACTGATGTCACCCCAAAAATTCAATTTTAAACGGAATATGGATCCTGAGAGAACCAGAACTTGGGTAGAACGTGGGTCTGTGTGAGTTCACGGGCTCTATGCTCTGAAACACAGGAAACGTGGCCTCGTTCCTGGGACGGCTGCCTCACACGCAGCAAGCACGCAAACCCACGGGCAACACGCGTGTGCAACTATCTCGGCTCCAGTCCGTGCTCGCTGTATCCCCCCTCACCCCACCCTCTGCGTCATTTCTGAAGCGGTTGTCCTCTGAGCCATCTCACGTTCTGGAACAAAGGAAAGTGGGACCACACAAATGAGCACAGCACACGGCTCAGCGGTTTGACGGGGAGGCGGGTCCGGTGGGAACAGCAGAGGCGCTCACCGACCCGCACCCTCCCCGCTGGGGCGGCACAGGAGCTTCAGAACTCGGACTAACTCGCCGGTGCAAGACACGGTCCCTGTGTGCAGTGACGGGGGAGGGAGGTTCTTACCTGACACAAGGGGCAAAGTCTTCCACAGACACGCGGTATGTAAAGGACAGTCCCTGTAACTGACCCTCCGGGAGAGCGGTGAGCCTTGAGGGTAAAACGTCCATGTGGCTGCTTATAAACTGTGCAACCCCCTGACCTGGTGAGGATGGACTGTGAAAGGTACACGGTGGCTGGAAATGGCCTCAGGACCCCGGGCTTCCTAACGAGGGTACCGTTCCTATGAAAAGTCGCACAGGAATCAGTATCCCACAGTCCTCTCTGCCCATACCCACCCCTTCCCCTTCCCCCATCCTGCTCTGGGCCCTCAAGACTCAGGTTCCCTGGGGCAGCCTCAAGAGGGGCAACAGTGCAACTTAAAATGCAAGCTATTCACCCCACACCTCTGTGCTTATAACCCAAGCGAAGAAGGAAGGGGGGAGGTCCCCATGGAGAACAGCCAGCATCTATCCGTGAGGGAGGCCCTGCCCGCTGAGCAGGGCCTGCGGGTCCCTGGTGCTCCCCTGGGAGGAGGGATGTACTCGGAGGATGCAGGCGCACATCAGACTCAGAGGTCATCAGGTTCACCGACACAGAGCTTTTGGGATGTGTTTGAAGGAACACGCATGCAGCTTCCGGAGAAGCACCGGTGTTAGGATCTAACAGTGCTACAGGATCATCCCCCCAACGTGAGGGTTTCTTAAACGCGGTCTCCCTCCTCCCTTCTGCACCCTGCTCCTCTGATGTCTGACTGTCTCCTTCTACAGAGCTGCAGAAGCTGCAGAGGGAAATCCCCAAACCTAAGGAAAGCCCAGTGTCCCTCTGCGGATGGGCCAGAAGGGGCCTCTCGATGGAGACTCAGTTGCTTTGGCCGCGAGGAGCGATGGGAGGGAACGGGGAGCCACTGCCCGCGGGGACAGGGTTTGAGCTGTGACGAAATGTCTGACGTTAGATTCCATGATGGCTACACGGCTCTGTGAACGCACGAGAACCACTGGCTCGCTCGCTCCACACGGGCGAGGTTCTTGGAATGTCACTGTGTCTCAGCCAGCTCTGCACACCCGCTGTGGGATGCACGCCAGGGGTTCTCCGCCTTATAACCCCGCTTGGGGGGCCGCTCTGCCGCCACTTGCCGCCCCCGGCTGTCCCAGCCGCTCAGCCGTTCCATCCTTACCCGCAGGCGGGTGCTGGGAGGCTTCCCTCCCGGGACTCAGACCAGGTGACGCTCACCGGCCATCTCAGCCGCAGAGCTGACGGGGCTGCCCGGCAGCATGAGACAGACTGGAGGACAAGGCGCCTACAGTGACACCGGGTCACGGCAAGGGCCGGGGAGACCCAGCCCTGCCCGACACCCCATGGTCCTGGGAGATGCCTGAGCCTCCTCGGTCACCCGAACCGCTGTCACGGGAGCCACGGGACCGAGGCCGGGCGGGAGGCCTGCTGAGCGCACAGCGACGCTCAGGCCAGAAGGACGGTCGGATGGTGGACGGTCGGATGGTGCTGAGGAACCTCAGGACCCCCACAGGGGCGCTGCCCACTCCCTCGAGTAGGAGCTGTGAACGAGGCAGTGCCAGTCCGTGGACAGCAAATGTGCGCTTGGCACACGGCACCCAAACTCTCCCCAGGAGGCAGATGCCAAAACCTCGGCGCTGGCCAGAGCGCTGTTGTGGGTGGCAGGGGTATTTTTAGAAACCACGAGAAGACTCTGTGCAATTCTCACGTGGCCGCACAACGGGCCCCTGTAATGCCAACTCCCAACGCCTTTAACAGCCTCGTGCACAGAATCTGGGGGCTAACAAGGTGATTCAACTCAATTATACTAGAAGCTCCCTATCAGCAAGACTTCTCCCTGCAGGTGCATCAACAGTGGGCTCACGATGGGAACATTACACACAAGGCATATGTTTCTGCATACACATCACACACACACATCATACACACACACCCACACACACCATACACACACCACACATACACACACCATACACACACCATACACACACCACACACACACCACACACACACACCACACACACACACACACACCACACACACACACACACACACCACACACACACATCATACACACACACACCATATACACACGCGCACACACACACACACACACACACCACACACACACATCATACACACACACACACCATATACACACGCGCACACACACACACACACCACACACACACACACACACACACACACACACACACACACGCCGGGTCAGCCGGATTGCGCTGTGGGAAAAGGCCAGAAACTGCCATGAAAGAACATGTTGACAGAAACCAACCACAGCCGAGGGGGACAGAAGGCAGGGCGAACAGGAACACACGCGCACGGGCCTTTTATGACCTACCTGGAGCCCCGGCTGCTCCCAAAACAGCGGGACGGAGCCTCTGATCTGGACGAAAGACGACACACCATCATCCATGTAGATCGTCTGCACCACAGAGACACAAAGGGAAGTGTTCTTCAGTGAAACCCAACGTCCAGGCGGGTAACGGGATCCGGCCGCCTGAGACCGGACACCGGGAGGGGGCGGCCGCGGACGTCAGGCCTGTGCTCCCCGCGGCCTGCGGGCGCCCTCCCGCCTGCTGGCTGCCCACCGGCCTCAGGCTGTGCAGCGGCCGAGCGCCCTGCACTCCCAGCAAGGCCCCGCCTGTCAGGGCCCTCAGCCCACTGTCCATCGGCGAGCAGAGGAGGCACCTGGGGAAGGGCTGCATGGATGAAGCGAACAGGCTGCGGCCAACGGCGCCGTGGAGGGCTCTCGTCAGCCCTGCACTTGCCACCGGGGCCAAGACTTGAACTTGTAGTTGGCCCTGGCCCCGCGCCACCGTGTCCTCACACAGCCGCTCCCGGAGTCAGCACACAGCACAGCTGCCCCTCGCTGCACGGAAGCCCATACTCACTCAGAGAAGACGGCATCTCTCCCTCCCCCGTTATTCCAGAGCGAACCAGCTCCCGGCCGCCCGGGAGGGACTTTAGAGGACGGAGAGGGTGGCCGCGGCGGCTCTCAGGTGCTCTGCCCTTTATCTGGTAACTCTACCCTGGCCTGGCAGGGCGGCCGGGCGCTGCCGCCGGCCTCTCCGCTCCCACCAGCCTGCTCCCTTACCGGGTAGCGTTCCGCCGGCTAGATCTCGCTCAGATCGGCATGCATTAGTCATTTGAGGGAGGACAGAACGCCAGGCCCGCGGGCCGCCCAGACTACAGGAGTCACACCGGCCGGGGCCACGCTGCTGGGCGGCCGTCCCATCCCCCGATCTCCACAGGGAAAGGCACTGGGCGAGGGGCTGGCCGCCTGTGTCCAAACACGGACCACCGTCCTCCTACCGACCTCAAAGGAGCCGAGGGGCAGCTGGCCACCGTGAGGGCGAGCAGACCGAGGGCCCTGGGGCCGCACGGCCGGGCTGCCGAGAAAGAAGCGGCTTGGCCGGCGTTTCTCCATGAGGACACTGCTCCTCTCGCGCCTGGGAGCCGGGCAGGCGCCCCGGTCCGGGCTGAAGCCCCTGGCTGCGGCCCCGGGAAACCCCTCTGCTGCACACAGGTGTCTGCAGCCTGACACCCCCACGTGCTGCACCCGGGCCGCCCGGGGCCTCTGATGTGTTCCACCTGCGGCCCGCAACGGCCTCACCTCCGCACGGCCCGGCAGAGAAGCCGCGCTGAGCCAGCCGCCCCGGGAACGAGGCCCGGGATTAGGGAACTCGTCACTGAGAACCCAGCAGAAGGTCCCAGCCCACGGCCCTCAGAGCCACGGCTGCGGAACACGCCATTTCACCCCTCCCCCTCCCCAGCCCGGCGCTGAGGCGGCTTCTAGGGCGCAGCTTTGGCTGGTTCAGAATGAAACAGGGTCCCAGGGAGGTTTCCTCCCTCTCCCTTCCAGGAGCCATGTGCCGGCCTCAGCCTCACGGCCTCTAGCTTCCGCTGGCTCATGGGTCCTCGGCTGCTCTCTGCTGAACGGCCAGCTCCACCCTCCGGGACCCTGCCTCCGCTCCTCAGGCGTCAAACCCGGGGCCGGCGGGCCGCACGCCCGCTCAGCCAGCACTGAGCCGGCGCTGCCTGCAGGACCCCGGTGAGCGGTGCTTTCCCAGCGAGACCTGAACCAGATGCCCGTCTGCAGGCAGAGCCCCCTGACTGCTCCGTTCCCGCTGGAGTGAGACGCCGCCCCGAATGCCCCTCCCGGAGCCACATGTGCCCGCCAACCCCTCCCTCCGAGCACGGCCAGCAGCCCGGGCACTGCCCTGCTCCGGACACCCCTCCCTCCGAGTGCGGCCGGGCACTGCCCTGCTCCCCCCACCCCTCCCTCCGAGCGCGGCCGGACACTGCCCTGCTCTGCCCACCCCTCCCTCCGAGCGCGGCCGGGCACTGCCCTGCTCCGGACACCCCTCCCTCCGAGCGCGGCCGGGCACTGCCCTGCTCCCCCCACCCCTCTGAGCCACGGCCCAGGCACTGCCCTGCTCTGCCCACCCCTCTGAGCCACGGCCCAGGCACTGCCCTGCTCTGCCCACCCCTCCCTCCGAGCGCGGCCGGGCACTGCCCTGCTCCCCCCACCCCTCCCTCCGAGCGCGGCCGGGCACTGCCCTGCTCCCCCCACCCCTCCCTCCGAGCGCGGCCAGCAGCCCGGGCACTGCCCTGCTCCTCCCACCCCTCCCTCCGAGCACGGCCCGGGCACTGCCCTGCTCCCCCCACCCCTCCCTCCGAGCACGGCCCGGGCACTGCCCTGCTCCCCCCACCCCTCCCTCCGAGCGCGGCCGGGCACTGCCCTGCTCCCCCCACCCCTCCCTCCGAGCACGGCCAGCAGCCCGGGCACTGCCCTGCTCCCCCCACCCCTCCCTCCGAGTGCAGCCAGCAGCCGGGCACTGCCCTGCTCCCCCCCCCCCTCCCTCCGAGCGCGGCCGGGCACTGCCCTGCTCCCCCCACCCCTCCCTCCGAGTGCAGCCGGGCACTGCCCTGCTCCGCCCACCCCTCCCTCCGAGTGCGGCCGGGCACTGCCCTGCTCCCCCCACCCCTCCCTCCGAGCGCGGCCGGGCACTGCCCTGCTCCCCCCACCCCTCCCTCCGAGCGCGGCCGGGCACTGCCCTGCGCCCCCCACCCCTCCCTCCGAGCGCGGCCGGGCACTGCCCTGCTCCCCCCACCTCTCCCTCCGAGTGCAGCCAGCGGCCGGGCACTGCCCTGCTCCCCCCACCCCTCCCTCCGAGCGCGGCCCGGGCACTGCCCTGCGCCCCCCACCCCTCCGAGCGCGGCCGGGCACTGCCCTGCTTCCCCCACCCCTCCCTCCGAGTGCGGCCCGGGCACTGCCCTGCTCTGCCCACCCCTCCCTCCGAACGCGGCCGGGCACTGCCCTGCTCCCCCCACCCCTCCCTCCAAGCACGGCCCGGGCACTGCCCTGCTCCCCCCACCCCTCCCTCCGAGTGCGGCCCGGGCACTGCCCTGCTCCGCCCACCCCTCCGAGTGCGGCCGGGCACTGCCCTGCTCCACCCACCCCTCTGAGCCACGGCCCGGGCACTGCCCTGCTCCCCCCACCCCTCCCTCCGAGCGCGGCCGGGCACTGCCCTGCTCCCCCCACCCCTCCCTCCGAGCGCGGCCGGGCACTGACCTGCTCGGTCTCCACGAAGTTGGCCACGTGGCCGGCGTCGTTGACGCCGCGGGTGAGGAAGCGGGCGCCGGCGCGCTCGCAGCCGATGCGGGAGATGAGGCAGGCCTTGGCCTGCTTGTGCGCGGCGTACACCGTGCGGATGGCCACCACCCCGCAGATGACCTTCAGCAGCCAGTCCCGGCAGCTCACCTGGTGCTGCCGCAGCGGCAGGTGCAGCAGCTGGTTCCTGCGGGCGGAGACCGCACTCGGGTCACCTCGCCGCCTGCGGGGACGGCCCCAGAGAGGCAGGGAGGGCCCGGCGACCTGCCTCCCCCGCACAGTCCCCCCCACCCCGGGGCGTCTGGGCTGCCGAGACTCCGTGTGCAGCGGGAGCGGGCCAGGAGGCCTCTCCCGGAGGCGCAGCCGGTGGCCACGCCAGGGGAAGCCATGCCTGGCGTGGGAGCCATCGCCTCTCAGCGAACCTCAGCGGGCCTCTGTGTACACCTGCGGCCTCCACGTTTTACAGGGCAAGCCCATCAGTAAAAAAGGAACACGTGTTTTGTGATTAGATAACGACAAATGATTAACCCTACGAAACACATGCATGCTTATTGAAATTATATCCAAATCCGAAAAGGTGGATGACAAAGCCGTCACAAATAAACAGAAGAGGGTGCGATGGGAATAAAGCCTGACTGTGTGTCCCGGCCTGGGGACGGCTCTGGGCTTCCGGAGAGAGAGCCCAGGTGAGGAGGGGACAGCAGCCCACGCTCATCGGCGCACAGGGCACATCTACGTGCTCGGGATGGATGAACTCCCTTCCTCCTCGAAATGATGCTGTGTGATGGATGTGATCCTCACCCCATTTCACAGACAGACAAACTGAGGCACAGGGAGCCAGGAAGCGGCTGCATGGAGCCGGGAGCAGGTGTCGTTTTCCCAGGCAGCCAGCCCGGGCCTCTCCTGATGAAGGCCCTACCTTTCCCGTGGCACCACACCCCCCTTCCCTCCCCTCCTCTTCCCTTCCCTCTCCTCCCCTCCCTTTCTCCTCCTCTCCCTCGCCGGTAATTAAGCAAATCTAGATCACAATGCTCCACTTGTTCAGAAGCGGCAGGCCTGGCCCTGTCCTTGGCCTTCCTCAAAGACAGCAGCCCCCTCTCACTTCTGGAGAAGCTGCTGTGAGCCCTGACGTCGCAGGTGGCTCCTCCAGGCAGCAGCGACCCCCCACTGAGGCCAGCCTTCCTGCCGTGACACCGCCACTTCCATCTGGGCGCTGGGACACCCCCAACCCCATCCCTAACTCTCAGAGCCTCAGTGCCCGTCTACCTGAAGGAGGAGGGTCACCAGGACTGCTTTGCAAACACCCGTTTCCCTCCCTGCACGCCCCCCACCCCCCAAGTTCAGAGAGTGAGCCCGCCTGGGGACCAGTGCATGCCACCCACACGCCGCATCTAGACAAAGCCTCCGCGGTGGCCGCCGCCAGCCAGGCAGCAGCAGGAGACTGGCCAATGGACAGCCCAGAACAAGCCTGCCTGCAGCACTGCCTGCCCGCCGGGCACCACACACCCCTGGAGGAGGCTCAGAGAGGAAGTCAGCCTTGTGTTTCCTCCCGGGCCTGGCTTTTCCGGGAAGCCATCTGGGCGGGGCCATAACCAGTTCGGAAAAACGACTTCACCCCACCGCACACGCTCCCTACTCACCAGCCATGTTCAGCACGGACCCCGTCTGACTCCAGACATGGGGCCAGACCCAGCACCCCAAATGGTGGGTGAGGAAATGAAGTGGGTGCACCCTGAGCCCAAACACCAGGCCCTGGTGTCCGGCCCAGCAGCCAGGCACCGCCCCAGGCACCGCTTCCTCTCGACTCTATCAAGATAAAGTCTCCCCAGCCCCACTGAGCCTCCGAGAGGGACTCTCTGCTGTCTTCCTGTTTGTGTGCTCGAGCCGCCGGCCACAGCGCGGGCAGGAGGAGGCTGAGGAGGGAAGCTACATGGGGGTGTGGGTGGCACCCAGGCCCCAGCCATCCTCTGGCCCTACAATGTTCCCGTGGAAGGTCACGGCCTCAGGGACTTCTGGCCTCTGCTCCCCTGTCGGCCTGGGGTTGAAACGGTCTGTGCCCTGGGAACACAGACCCTCGGTCCGTGGGCTCAGCCACCTCAGGGCCGCACGCTCCAGCTGGTCCCCGCAGTGCCCCGTGAGTCACAGACTCCCCCTTCCCGGGCCTGCTCCTCAGAGCTGGTCCCTGGACCTGCAGCGTCAGAATGCGTCTCGGGCCCCTCTGGGTGGGCGCGGATTCTGCTCTCGGGGTCACCGGGGACCCTGGGACCATGCCAAGCGGAGGTCATGGATGCAGGTGCCCGCCAGGGCCCGCCGCCCGGAGACCTGGGCAGAAGGGAGAGGGGGGCCCGGGCCTCACCAAAAGAAGGGGTGCCCCCACTCGTCGCTGTCATCCCCCTGCTTCTGCGCCCGGACGGTGAGGTCGAAGCCGTGGCTGGGCCAGGAGAAGTAGAAGACGCCGGAGCTGAGGATCTTCCTGAGAGCCGGGAGCCGCTCCTCCTCCCGGGCCGCCGCCTGCAGGGGGTGAAAGTCCGTGGCCGTGATCTTGTAGATTTCAGCCTCCGGGATCCTGCCCACGGACGTGCAGCCCGTCACCAGAACCAGGAAGCTCAGGGCCGTGTCACCTGGGGGGAAATGGGACAGAAGCGCTCAGGGCCGTGGCGGCAGCTGGCCATCCCGGGGCCCAGGCGGCCCAGTTTCCCGCAGCCACGTGCCTTCCTGCTCATGACCCCCCCCTCTCACCCCCCCGCCCCCGCCCCGCGCCTCCAATTCCTCCGCTCAGGGTCTAGGAGTCGCCCTGCCGCGGGGACCTGCAGTGCAGGGCCTGGTGCTGAGCGTGGCCCCCTGACCAGCAGCGGCGCCACCTGGGAGGGAGCCTGTTAGAAATATTTGCAAATTCTCAGCCCATGCAGACCCGTGGCCTGGCCAGCACGTGCTCCAACGAGCCTCCCTCCCCTCCCCCCCGCTTCCACTGCCCAGCAGAGCTGAGGGGTGCCGGGCCTGGAGCCTTCCCAGCCCCGCCCCCTCTCCCCCTACCCACCTCCTCTTCCCCAAACCTCTCAAAGCCACCCTCCCCTGAATTCTCAGCCACACCTGCTCAGGGCCTCCAGCCACTGGGTCCTCCAGCTCTGTCACTGGAGTGGCCTCCCCACCGCCCCTGCTGGCAGACCTCCCTGCTCCACCTGATTCCTTCCATGGCTCCCACTTCCCCACTGACAGGGGAGCTCCTCCCACCCTCCTCCCTGCCGAGAACGAATCCCAGCATGTAATAATTACAAGAGTTTTAAAACCAAAAGGTGGGTGAAGCTTGGGGAGCTCAACAGGGTTGAGTCACATGTAGTTTACCTGTTGGAACGGCTAAACGGCACTTCCCCCAAATCTGAATAGGATGATTTAAAATATATATATTATTGATTTTTTACAGAGAGGAAACAAGAGGGATAGAGAGTTAGAAACATCAATGAGAGAGAAACATCGATCAGCTGCACCTCCTACTGGGGGATGTGATCAGCTGCACCTCCTACTGGGGATGTGCCCGCAACCCAGGTACATGCCCTTGACCAGAATCGAACCTGGGACCTTTCAGTCCGTAGGCTAGGGGTGTCGAACTCAATCAGAGAAGGGGCCAAAATCTAAAATCCAGCCTAAATCGCGGGCCGAATGGTTTACTGAACAGTCATAAACTGTCATTGTGATGGAAACGCAGCGGAGTGCAGTGATGACAGCGCGGTGCGGGCCACATTGCAAGGCCTGGAGGGACGGATTTGGCCCGAGGGCCTTGTGTTTGACACATGTGCCGTAGGCTGACGTTCTATCCACTGAGCCAAACCGGTTTGGATTTTTGTTAACTGCCAGTCAGCTCAGGGCATTTTATTGCCTCCTGTTGGCCAAACACCTGAACAGCTGTAGGCTGTTCCCGAAACTGGCAAGCCTTTGAAGTGTGTAGTTCCACCTTGCCTAGGGACAAACTGTGTTAAATAACAGCACAAGGTCCGAAGACAAGGAGAGTCTTCTAGCTCCGTCAGCTGGAGCTCCTCTGACCCCCAATGCCTGCAGCCTGGACAGGCAAGGAGGAGGACGGACGGTGCATCTCAAAATCGAGGGGTTAATGGCCGAGTTCAGTTTGGGAAGAAGAAATGTTCTGAAGACGGACTGTGGCCCAACACTGGGAATGCTCTTAATGCCGCTGAACTGCACACGTAACACTTCACCTCCTGCGTAGTTTGTGACACTCACCAAACCTCTCTGAAACCTCAGCACTGACTGAGGCACTCTTTTCTCGAAGCCCACCTCCAAGCTGGAGCTGCCGCGCCCCGAGCCTGCAGTGACGGCCCACGCCCACCGCGCTGTGGCACCTGTCACCTGGCAGGGAGCCTGGCACTGGGCTCCCATGAGTCACAGCAGACACAAGGCCGTTCATTCCGGGCCAGGCCCCGCCTCCTCTGCGGGCACTGCTGTGCGCTCAGCTCCGAGCACTCGGCTCCGAGATCTCTCCCCAGCGGGCTCCTGCCCGTCTCGGCCCCACAGCTTTCCCTGGGAGGAGGGGTGCTGTCCTCGCACTCGGAAGCTCACTCCCGCCCCGTTGGGACAGAGCGTCCTGGAGTTGGAGAGCAGCCTCTGGGGCCAGAAGGCTCAGGACCCGAGCTGCAGCTTCAGGACTGCCTGAGCTTGGGCAGTTCCGGCCCTGCACTGAGCCTAGGCCCCCTCAGAGCATTAATTAAGGTTCACTTCAGCCCTGGCCGGTTTGCTCAGTGGTTAGAGCGTTAGACCGTGGACTGAAGGGTCCCAGGTTTGATTCCAGTCAAGGGCACATGCCCGGTTGCAGGCTCAATCCCCAGTAGGGGGCGTAAAGGAGGCAGCTGATCAATGATTTTCTCTCAGCATTGGTGTTTCTCTCTCTCCCTCCCTCCCTCCCTGAAATCAATAAAAATATATTTTAAAAAAGGGATCATTTCGTTAAGCACAAGAGAAACCTTTCCAATGGTCCCTGTAAGATGTCAGCCATGGAACACTCCCGAGTGCCTGGAAGTGACAGCGTAGGAACAAGTGTCACAGACCAGATGACGCACAGCAGGTAAGTCCCCCTCTGCTACTCCACACACACCCCAGTTTGTCTCTGTCTGAGAAGCGGGGTGACAATAGCGCCCCCTCAGGCTGCCGGGAGAGCTGCGGTAGTCAGTTCCAGCAGTCAGCAGTGGGGAGGAGGGGGGGGTTGGGGGAGCGGGCAGGGTAGGCACCGTGCAGGGCCACCTGCCTCCTCCGGCATCACGCCTGGGGCTGGGCCACGGGAAGGCCGCTGGGGGTGGGGCGGGCAGCACGTTTTTACGGGAAAAGCAAGCGCTGGAGGCAGCCAGGTCGGGTGTGAGTCCCAGCAGAGTGTGGGGGCGCTTCCTTCGCTGTAAAACGGTGAAGGGGCAGCCCCCACTGCTGCTCTGCAGGACTAAGGGACACAATGTGTATCGAGTCCTTGGCACGGAGCGGACTCAATCAGAGCACTTCGCCCGTGGGTGGGCAGCCCAGTGCTTCTCCTCGGCCTGCTTAGAAATTGCCACTGTCTCTGAAACCGGTGCGGCCAGTGGATGGAGCGTCAGTCTGCGGACTGAAGGGTCCCAGGTTCGATTCTGGTCAAGGGCAAATACCTTGGTTGTGGGCACATCCCTGGTTGGGGCTGTGCAGGAGGCAGCTGGTCGATGTTTCTCTCTCATCGATGTTTCTAACTCTCTATCCCTCTCTCTTCCTCTCTGTAAAAAATCAATAAAAATACATTAAAAAAAAAAAAAGAAAGAAAAGAAATTGCCACTGTCATCACTATTGTTCAGGCAAGACCAGCCCCCAGAAGACCAGAAAACGCCATTGCCATTCTGGTGGCTTCCCGTCCTCCATCCGCACGCCCCCGGCTGAGGGGGTGGGAAATGTGTGCGGGGCTGGGGAGAGCCATCGCGCCTGAAGCAGGTCAGTCGCAGCCCTTCCCATGCTGACCCAGCTCTGGCCTCGGCCCCGAACTCACTGATGGCCCCGGGCGGGCCCACACAGACCAGCCGGCTGAGACAGGGAGGGACGCGGTGCCCCAGGCTTCCCATGAGGTCCAGGAGTGCAGAGGGACCCGGTGGCCCGGGGCGGGGGGCACAAGCCCCAAGGCCGCCTGGCTGACCGTGTGGCCCCTCGAGGTCACACCAGGCAAGGACCGCCACCTGCTCCTCTAAGTCCTCTGCCTTCTCCAGCCAGACCAGGGGCCCCACTTGTGATGCACTTTCCTTCCCTGTGGCTCCCCCTCCTCCAGCCCCTGCCAGTGCCTGACGCTCAGCCCTGGTGGCTGGCTTTCCTCACCACCAATGCCCAGGCCAGCCTGTCCAGGGGGCATGGGACCTGTGGCAGAGTGCAGATCCCTTGTCAGTGACAAACACCCCCATTCACCCCCCCCAAACACACACACACACACACACACACACACACACACTGACGCTCAGATCCCGATGGGCAAACCACCAAGGGGACCTTTCTTTGCACCCAAGGCCAGAAGCAACACAGACAGGTGAGAGCTGGCTGCACTCACCTTGAACTTCCCAGCGAGGAGGAGCAGGCCCAGCAAAACAAACATTCCAAAGATCACACGGTTAAAACGCAGCGCCCGGACCTGGCAGTCCTTCCAGACTAACAAGAGGCCCTGCCCGGCGGCGCTGCCAGCTGCCGCTGTGGGGGTACTCACCGGACCCCAGCCGGAGCTGTCCCAGGCAGCCGTAGGCGTCCGTGAGCCTCCCGAACTGGCCTCTGATGACCTCCTTCTCCGCGGGCGCTGGGGAAAGCACAGCACAGACCGTCAGCGCCAGCCGGCGGCCCTGGAATCTCCCGCTCCCGCAGCCTCCCGGCCCCCGCCCCTGGAAAAGCAAACGCAGAGACAATGGCTCGGCCGGGCGAGGCGTGTGGAGGTTTGAGGTTTCACCATCAGCGAATCGCCAGGCAGCAGAGATTTAGACCTCCCCGCGAAAAGCTCGCTCTGTGCAGCGCCCACAGCTTCCGGGTGTGTGTGTGGAGGGTGGGGGGGTGGGGAGGGCTGGAGCGAGCGAGGGGCACCCCCGCGGGCCGGGCCGGAGGCACTGGGTTGGGGCGGGGAGCAGGCACTGCCCCGGGGCCCACGTGCTCAGACACAGCGGTCACCGTCCCCTGCCGGAGGGCCTGCCCTCCTAAGTGCGTCCGCCGGGGGCTTCGTCTGCTGCCCACCCCACCCCCAGGAACTGTCCACCCACAGGGGGCTGCACAGAGGCTGGGCACCCGGACACCCCAGGCTCAGTAGCGTGAACCCCAAGGGGAGCTGCATGAGCAGAAAACACCCCCCCCCCCAATTCGGCCAGAGCAGGTGGAAAGCAAAGCTGACCGAAGGAAGGACCCTCAGGGGCACTGCCAAGGACACCACAGTCACCACTGTCAGGGGACAAGTGGACAAATGCGTGAGAATGACCCTGATGCAATCTATACGTTCCTGAGCCAGGGGCTTTACTGAGGTTCCCTGCAGCGCACCCCCCCACACACACCCCCCGCCTCTGCAGGCCGGCCCTCAGCTGTGAACTGTGGACGGGGTGGGGGGGGGGGGGGGGAGCTCTGTGGGCACCACACAGAAGAGGAGGAACCGCTTCTGTCTGATTCAAAGGAAGTGTCAGATCCAACCTTGGACGCACGCAGCACGGCCCACGGGAGAGGCTGTGGACACGGGGGCCGCCCGGCCCACGGGTCACAGGCCACAGAGCACACCCCCCCCCCCACCCGGCCTGGGCAAGGAAACAAGCGCCAATAAAAGGCGCTCCGATGGTCTTCAAGCCCTGCCCCGGGGCCCCGGGGCCCACGAGTCCTGTCCCCGACCGGCTTCCTGACGCGAGCATCCTCCTGCCGGCCGCGCGGGGACCACTCAGCCGCCTGCCCGGCAGCGGTCATCCTGCCAGGGGCGCGTTTTCCTGCCGCAGCTGGACGGCTGCAAACAAGCCCGCCCACGCCGACCGCAGGCCACCGCTCCGGGGGCGCGGCGGGAAGCGAGGCTGGGGCAGCCCCCTCTGTGGGCTCCAGGGCCCTCCCTGCCGCCGCCCAGCTCCGGGGTGGCCGCCGCCCCTGCTTGAGGGGCCTCCCTCCCTCCCTCGCCCCATGGCTGCCTTCTCCCCGAGGGTCTCTCTGTCCGCTTCGCACGAGGACACGGCCTCACCCGCCCCAGCAGGACCTCCCCTCCACGAACGACCTCTCTGCGGACCCACATTCTGGGGTGAGAGCTGGGGCCTCAACAGCGGGTGGTGGGGACGCAGCTGGAGCCGTAGCCCTGGGTGATGGCTTCCCTTGGTGAGCCAGCCTGTAAGGCCCACACCCCCTGCCCCCGTCTCCCCGATAAGCGGCTCCTTCGGACCCCCCTGACCCAGCCCCACGTGCCTCAGGCCTGGCCGCCCCGGCAGCCTGCTCCGAAACCACGGGCCCCTGCCGGCCCCCCCAACTCCGTGTCCTCCTGGGTTTGGAAAAGGAGAACCCATCCTGCTCCCCTAAGGACAGCTCCCGACCCTGTGCCTACCAGCAGCGGGCAGGCCCCCGATGGAAGGGGCCCTGGGACCAGAGGGCACGCCCGCCCGCTCTGAGGGGCAGCGGTCAGTGCTGCCCGAGGCCCCCAACAGCCATGCCAGCCCAGTACCCGCAGGTCTCAGGTTTTCCAGAGAAGTGGGACAGGGCTGATTTTTTGCTGCTGACAACCAACCCCACTTATTTTAAGCACCGTGTGGGCAGACGGTACTTGCCTGCCCGTTTGCAACTTCTGTCCTGCTAATGCCTCCAAAATAGCGCGCTCCCGTCCTCCACACCTTCCTTCATTTCCTGTGGGTTTCCTCGGGAGAATGTCTTTGCTTCCCCTGCCATTGGCCGTGAACATCCAGCCTGCTGAGGGAAGTCCTCTAGGCTACTCTCCCATCCTCTCCTGCTCCTGGGCTGCTGCCATTCACCCCTACTGGGGCTGGCACAGGGGCCTGGCAGTGAGCCCAATAGGCCACCATCCCCGTACACTAGAGCCAGCCAGGCAGGCACTGGGCGCTGGCAATGGAGGGCCCTGTGCCATGGATGATGAGTGACAGTGGAGGCCACCCTGGTGGGTGGGACCCTAGAGCAGGGGAGCTGCCGAGGCACATCCACGGAGGCCTAGTTGGTGCCGGGCACCCTGTAAGCTTCCTGCCAGGGCGGACAGGCATGGGCAGTAAGCACAGGATAGACAGAGGCATGGGCTAAGGAGAAACAGTGAGCAAGGAAGGGGGGTGTCAGGTGGTGTGTGTGTGAGGGGGGTGGGGGGGAGCTTTACATCTCATGGTTTGAGAAGGCCTTGCCGCAATTGTGACTTCTGAATGCCACCCTGAAGGAGACGACAGAGAAGGCTGAGCAAAGAGAGGGCAGGGAGCATTGCAGGCCCAAAGGAGCATGTGCGAAGGCCCTGAGGCCCGTGCATTCCTGGCCATCCTGGGGCCAGAGAGGCCAGTGTGTGTGGCAGGAGTCGGCGTGGGGGACACATTATAGAGAGCCTCTGGGTCATAAAAAGCCTTGGGTTTCACGCAGGCTGCCATGCTGGGCACAGAACCCAGGGGGGTTCGGGGAGAAAGCAAGGAGACAGCTAGCAGGCCCGGCAATGGCTCAGGCCAGACACGCTAGTGGGACCGTGATGCAGCAGCGGAGTGCCGAGAAATAGTCCAATTCTGGAAACACACGCGCACACTTTTATCGTGGAAATTTCCTAAGAAAAGCAGAGTGAGTGTCATAAACCGTGTGCACCCACACACCGTGCACCACCAGCCCCACACCAGCTAGCTCCATTCACTCCTTATTTCATTCACTGCCCCCACCCGTCTCACCCCTGAGATCAGAGCCTCAGGTGTGGCCTTCAGACAGCCAGCAGCACCCAGCGTTAGCAATACCAGTTACCAGCCTCCCCCCACCCCCCCCTTCCGGCTTGGCTGAACCAGAAACTCAGGGCTGGAGGCTCGGAGCTGGTGTTGTAATGCGTCCTCTCAGTGAGAATCCTGGCCTTCCTGGCGATCCAGAGGAAACCCCGGACTTCATATCATTCCATCTCCAAATATTTCAGTAACAAGCTCCAAAAGATAAGGCTGTGTTTTTTTAAATAACCATGATAGCATTATCATCTCTAAAAGAACTTAAGCACTTCCCTTAACATCATTAACTATCTCCACACTTTGAAAAGCCGGGACAGGATCCGAGGACAGACTGGATGTGGGAGGTGAGAGGACGGGGTTCGAGGACGCTGCTCCTGTCTCCTGACCGCAGACAGGGTAGCGGCTCCACCAGGAGGGGGGCTGGGGGACCGGTCTGTGGAGCAGCAGGGGCCCAGGCTGGAGAGGGCGAGGCCAGCAGGGAAGCCGGCTGACCCTACACCCGGGTCCCCAGCAGACAGGAGGTATTTATCAGAGGCTGGGAGGTCCCGGGGTGGGGGTGGGGGGGTGAGGCTGGGAGGTCACCGGGAGTGAGGCTGGGAGGGCACTGGGGGTGAGGTTGGGAGGGCACTGGGGTGAGGCTGGAAGGTCACGGGGGTGAGGGTGGGAGGTCACGGGGGTGAGCCTGGGAGGTCACGGGGGTGAGGGTGGGAGGTCACTGGGGTGAGGCTGGGAGGTCACTGGGGTGAGGCTGGGAGGTCACGGGGGTGAGGGTGGGAGGTCACTGGGGTGAGGCTGGGAGGTCACCGGGAGTGAGGCTGGGAGGGCACTGGGGGTGAGGTTGGGAGGGCACTGGGGTGAGGCTGGGAGGTCACGGGGGTGAGGGTGGGAGGTCACTGGGGTGAGGCTGGGAGGTCACCGGGGTGAGGCTGGGGACGGGGTTTAAAGGCTGGGGAGACGGAAGAGACACGGCCTAAGGTACGCAGAGCACCCGGAGTGCGTGGTGTCCCGGAAACCTGCGGAGGGAGGAGGTGGGCAGGAGGGGTCAAGGGTCAGAGCTGCTCATGTCCTGTGACAGGAGCCACCGAGGAGCCGTTTCAGAGCAGCTGACGGGCAAAACCGTAATAAAGACAGAGAAGTGGAGACAGTGGGCAGAGACAACTGTTTTTGTAAAAAATCCTCACCTAAGGAGATACATATAATTCAACTTAGAGAGGACGGGAGAGAGAGAGAGAGAGAGACAGACAGACAGACAGACAGACATCGATGTGAGAGAGAGATCGATGGGCTGCGTCTGGTAAGCGCCCGGAACAGGAATTGAACCTGCAGCGTTTGGGTGCACGGGATGACAGGCCACAGTGAGGCAGTCTTTGAGGACCTCTGTGTGTGCACATGTGCACGTATGTGTGTGTATGTGTGCAGAGGAGAGGGAGGCTGTGGAGAGGACAGCGAGGCCAGGTCTAAGATGGGGTTCACCCAGCGTGCGCACACTAGAAAGGATCCCAGAGGTAAAAACCGATGCAGCAGGAGCGGGAGCTTACCTGGCGCCCTGCCCTGGAGAGGTCAATGGATCTCGGGCCGGGTGGGAGGGTGAGGGGGTGAGATGGCCTGACAGCCAGACAGTCCGCCCACGGCTAACAGGAGGAGGGACAGACTGGTGGGCGGGTAACTGGAAATTCTCTCCTGCTGCTTCCACCTCCTCCTCGGCTACTCCACCAGCTGAGAGTCCAGGGAGGGCAGGAGAAGAGGGAGGGGGAGAGAGCAAGGCCGGTGGGTGAGTGAGCAGGCGAAGGGGGCAGGAGAGGGACTGTGCAGAAGTGGCAGGTTCAGGGGTGGCCGTTCCAGGAGGGTCAAAGAGGGCTGGAATGGGGGAATTACGGTTGGAATGGGGGAATTA